GTTTCAACTCATTCTGTCCTTGGACAATAACTGGCCTCTTTCTCTGACACATTCGTGTGCTCATGAGGCCGCATCCTCCTCCAGGGCCTCCCCTGTGCTTTCCAAGAATTTTTGCCACTATTTTGGACTGAAGAAGGTGAGCTCTTGAAAAGCCATCATGCTGTGAAATAATTGTAGATATTTACAGTTCGGTTACACTGTGCAGTGCCATCCTGTGGTTGTGCAATGGAACATAAAGGAAGAGAAAGAAAAACCCCAGGACAAGAAAGAAAAACCCCAGGACAAAAAACCATGTGTGAAGGAAACGATCTTAATCCCACAAAGGATCAGAAAGTAGAAACCTCAGTAAATGGTGGGTTCAAAGTCTCGCATACAAATGCCCATGAGCGTACATTTCTCTGTTTAAAAAAGCCAAGCCAAGCCAAGCCAGGAAAATGGTTGCAAAACATGGAAGAGGCTGTGAGGATGACAGCATCATGTAAAGTACCCACAACCTACCATGAGAGAGAAATCAGAACCACACAATAGCTGCCTCATGTAGAAAAGCCCTGAACCCTCCATCTGGAGCACACTTAATGAGAGAAGGAAAGCAAACTTACCCAGCTGAAGTTAAAGATAGGGCAAGGTTGTTGATGTGCAGTTGCCCAGCTTCCTTCATGGAATGTATGGAGAAACCAGCTGTCATTGAATTCTGTTTGTACAGAACCCTCCCCATGTTATTTCATTGGCTTTTCCATCTTTTTTCTAACCTCTTTCAGGCAATTCATTTGGAACAAAAATGAAATATCTTGACAATGCCTCTGGCACTCACCTTTTGGAAGCATCCCAAGAGCAGTAAATTGCTCACAAGCTGCACTGCCCAGTGGTCCTGATTCCTGCCACGCTGCTGAGGCTGGCCCAGGACTCACTGCATGCTCCCCACTCCCACCAGCCAAGAGGCAAGTTATCCAAGGTCAGTCTGCTTGGCATGTGAGGCCAAAAATCTCACAAGCACCTCTCCCCTTTCCAGGCAGCAAAACCACAATGAGAATAAATGAAAGAACTGCCCCTTCACTGCCCCTTTATGACAGTCAGAGCTGGTGGCCTGAGGCAGCCACCCTGCTCTGCCCGATGGGAGGGCAGCTGTGCCCTCCAAGTGGCACCCCATATTGCCAATTCGGTGCTGGCATCGTGCTCCCACGAGAGGGATGTGATCCAATGGCCAGGTACCTTTCCCTAGGTAAGGCAGCTTCCCCTTCTGCGCTTCCAGTTTAGTGCCAAAATGGCACACGAGTCACCTGGGAAATGTCTGGGTCCCTAAATGACCCCTTTTTTTCTTCTTTGTAGGTGATTCAGGCAAATCAACAAAAGAGACTCAGTTTGTTCATAAATTCCATTTTACTTAAGCGTCTGGCTCAGGTGTGGTCCAAGCACACGGCTTAGGCTCCGGAATCTGCCAGGGTGCCACATCTGCCACTCACCTCGAAAAGGAACTGAAACAAAAGAAAGGGGAATAATGGAAGAGCAACAAGAGAAATGAAACGAGCACGCTAGGACAAGACGATGCAAAGCTCTCCTTTCCTCCACGCAGAACATTTCGCGTTATCAAGGGACTCGGCATGCGCCATGTACGATGACACAGAAGTATCCAGGAAAGGAAGTGTTGTCCTCCAGAGGACTTCATGTCCTCTCCCTGCTAACCCCACAGTGAACACTGGAAGCCCAGAAGGTAATTTTCCCAAAATCTGGCTGGGAGGGAAGAGCCTGATATGTGATGCAGTGATCCAGGCTGTATGTGATGAAGACTAAAATGGGTCTTAAGCAGTGTTGTTTAAGATGGTGCGATAAGGTTTCGTGCAGCTGTCCACAGGGAAGGGGTATAAAACAGGGTTAGTAGCCATGAGCCTGTAACTCACGGGTTGAATCCTCAGCTCCAGCAGGGGAGGGGATGAGAACTAGAGTTCAGGACAAGAATATGGAGGTACCTGGTTTGTCTTCCCATCTCTCAACCACAATCTATTTAGGGAAGTCCAATAAGGAAGAAGACAGGGCTCCTCTGCCTTGAGTAGTTGTGTAGAAGAGGGAATTTCAGCAAGTGCATGACAAGCCATTCCTAGTGAAATTTCTTCAGCACAGCTATTAAAGGTGGAAGAGCCCTGTCCAGTTCTGGGGTAAAAGAGCAAAATTAAGAGCCAGGGTTGCTGCATTCCAGTCCCAGGAAAACCTATAAAAGGCTGTAGATCCTTGGTGCATGATGCATACTTTTTTAGCTAGAGGGTGAGAGCAGTTTAAGAAGGACTTCAGCCTCCTTATGGCAGAGTTGCCAACTAACTAAAAACCCACTGGCTTGCCTGGTTTGGAGGCTCCCCACCTGCTGCCACCATCTCTCAGCAAAGGAAGCAAACTAGTTTCTGTTTCTACCAGGATTTCTATCCATGTTATTTATTTTTTAGATATTGCTCATGCCTGCATTGGAGCAGGAGAAATCGGGAAACCTGTGTATGAATAGATGCATATTTTTATGCATGCATGCATGCAGGCAGGCACAGCACCAGCATCGTTCCTGGTTGGGCTCTGTGCTTCTTTTGGCATAGCATGGCCTTTCCCCTTCCCTGCTGAACAGCCTGCTTGGCCACCTGGCTTGCTCTGCACCTGGAGCGGTGCAGGAGGAAGAGCCAAAGGATGTGGAATGACCATCGGAAGAGGCAGTGCAGAGTGGCTGGTTAGCTGGCTCTACCTTCTCAAGCCAGGCACTGATTGCCAGTGTTGCCCCTCCTATCAAGTGGCCTGCTTGCGCAAAGTGGTTACAGCCTGGAGGGTGCTAGGCTGATGCAGCAGCATGAATGCTGGAAGGCGGGAGGTTGTAAGCACAGGTAACAGCTTCAGGTATGCCTGCAGACCTGGCTGGGAAACAGTTTGATCTGTCTGGGGCCCCAACCCAGTCCTCTGGGCTTCTTGAGATTTTTCTCCCAGGCATCGATCCTGGCTTTTGTGATGTTTTCCCCCATTCTGGCCAGTGGAGCCGCATTAGTTGATGGCAGTAAAAGCAATAAGTAAAAATACTCCGGTAGGTTTGGTGTCATGGCCCCATCTTCTTACCTTTGGGTCCACCTACATTGAGGCACAACCTGAGAGCCTCTCCTTTGAGCCTCATGCTGAAAGAGGTCCAATACTCCTGCCTTTTCCTTTGGCTTTTGGCTCATTATTGCAGGTTTCCATGCTCAACTTCAGGGCTCCACTCGTTCTTTCTAGAATCTTTGATCCTCACCTCAGATCCTGGCAGACATGGCTCCTGAGCCCACTGGATGCGGGTTCCAGGGGCCCAGCCAGAACTTTGTCTCCCAGCCCTACTGACTGCAGGTTTGGAGAGCCCTCAGTGGGCCTTTGCCCTCACAGTTCAATCAACACAATAAGCCACGCTGACAGGTCGAGTATGGGTTGTTGTTATTATATTGTCTGAACCCAGCTGTGCTAGCAAACCATGGCTTCTTAACTGCGAACAACCCATGAAGAGAAGCCATGGTATCACTTGAGTGTGGGTCATCATGCTGTTTGAAGCCAGGCACTGAACCTCTCTTCTCGCCACTGTTGTCATCAGGGGCGATTGCTCCTCACCACTTGTGTGACAAGCAGAGAGCCAGTGAGCAAGGAAGTGCTGCCCCACTTCAACACTCCCACATTGACTGGGGCACAGCGAGAGGCCGGTGAGCAAGAAGGTTGTAACGATGAAGAGGAGAAGCTGCTCCTGGGGACTCCTTCCAGTGGGCCTTCACTGGCCGTGCAGCACCCTTGCTGTCGGATGCGATTCTCCTTCTGCAGCAGCAGAAAAGAGGGCACATGCATCACTGGCGTGTCCAAGCAGCTATGGAACTGCGCCTCCCCTAGAAGATCAAGCGCAGGAGAAAAGGGCGCTGCCGTGTTTCTAGCAGTACCTGCTGGCTGTGCGTCCATCTAGACTGCCTGGCCCATGAGATATCATGAAGCCACTGCCCACCCACCTGTATTCAGAGATGTTTTAAAATTAACAACAACCTGATAATCAAAGGGGGGGGTTCTTAAAAAATTGGATTCAGAACAGAAGTTTAATCAGATAAGCATGTAGCACTTTTCTACACGAGGCTGTTAATCCACAGTATCTAGTTTAACTTCACAGAACTGAGATCCAGGTTCAACAGTATGGAGCAGGGGTGGCCAGACTTGCTCAATGGAAGAGCCACAGATGGTAAACATCAGATGTTTGAGAGCCACAAGACATTAAAAACTATTTAGTATACTGTTCCAGCACCCTGTAAGGCTGAGGGTAAAAAGGCTGCCTCCACTAGTCCACAGCTTGGCTGCTCAGATTAGAAGTTGTATCAGAGTTTTTTGGTCCATCTGTGAGCTGCAAAATACACTCAACGAGCTGCATGCAGTTTGCAAGCCTTGGTTTGGCTACCCCTGGTACAGAGCCTATCCCAAGACCATGTCCTTTCCTGCTTTTCTGCTGCATAACCTCTAGGTGGCAGTGTGCTATAGAGGAAATCATAACTACACAAGGAGGGAAATGTGTTTTCTTTTGCTTTTAAGAACCCCTGCTCCAAAACCCCCTGCAAAAGTGCAGTTTAAAAACAGATTGGAAACTGGATGATGATGATGTTGTCTAACCTTGTAAACAACCGTGTGCATGGAATGATGAGTACACACCCAACCCTTATGTAGAAAAGCTGGTCATGCGCTTGGGGAGGAAATGGAACAGCCCACCTGAAGCCTGGTGAGAGAGGTGAAGGAAATCAGGAGTGGGGTCCCAGTCCAAGGCAAGCTAATCATGGAGCAAAAGCAAGAGGAAGCGGAGTTTACTCTGTAGCAGGAAGGGCTGGGGAACCGCACACCTGGTCCTGTTTTTCTGCTTCCTGTCTGTTTCTCGACTGAACTCCTCCCATTATTCCCCACCCCTACTCCATTCAGGCATTTGTAGTAATCTGGATGCATACGAAAGCGTCAGTGAAGAAAGCAGCTATGACTGTATCACCCACCCTTGTGAAATGGAGGAGCCAAAGGCAGTGCCGGAACCCCCAGGCCCTGAAATTAGCACTGTTACAGGTAGGCAGAAGTCGGACGGCTTGGTTGCTTGGGGACTGCTGCCCTCTGCTGGCTGCTGTGTATAGCAGAGGAATGCACACAGTTCTCTTCCTTTATAGTGGGGGCGGGGGGGGGCATCGTGTAGCCCTCTAGATTTTATTGGACTCAAATTCCCATCAACCCCAACCAATACAGCCAATGGTTGGGAATGACCAGCCTCCTCCAAGTCAGTGCCCACCAGATGTGCTGGACTACAGTTCCCATGGTATTGGGACTTGGAAGGTGCCAGGGTGGAGAGAATCGCATTCTAGGTTGCTGCAACCCTCATTCTTTGCTCTGGAATTCCTGTCCCAGGTTTTCCAAATTTTCCTCCTTTTCCCTGCAGCTCAGTCCTCCTTTGCCACACCCCAATGGAAAGACCTTTGGAAGAAGCGCCACACAGCTGTGCTCGTGGCTGCCGTGGGCGTCTGTCTCCTGATGCTCATCGTTCTTCTCTCCCAGCGTGAGTGCGGGTGGCAGGAGAAAGCAGCGGCCACCTTCCGGCTCTAAGAGGTGGCAGCAACGGGAGGGAGGGTGGAAAAGGAGGGGAATGTGGGGAGTCACACCTGGTGGGGAAAGAAGATGTGGAAGGTCACACTCGGGCATCCTAAAGAATGACGAAGTAGCACTGGCATAAGCTTCTGTGACTCTGTGTCACTCTCTCGGTGGCATGGAATGCAACGGAGAGTTTCATGTATGTGTGCAGCACGCCTGAGGCAGCAGGAGAGGCAGGAAGTCGGACATGGTCAGATCAGAAAGAAATTACAGGAAGGAAGTATGGATAGTAACAACCACATTATTTGCAGTGGTCCTTCCCATGTGATTGCTGCCGTTAACCAGACATCCTGGCACAAGGTGAGCCACTTAATACATGCAGTCTGATTTTAAACACTCCTGTATCCAGGTTTCTGGTGATATAATTACATCTGCAACTCTCAGTAGCACTCCATGCCTCTGATTCGGCGGGCTACCGTCTGTCACAAAAGGGTCTTCCCTCATAAATTTGCTAGTCTTTAAATGTCACACCTGAAAATCGTTCACTGGTGCTTTTACCGGAAGAGCTCAACAGGGCTGCCCTTTGGAAAATGCTTCGACCGTTGAAAGGAGCAGCAAGCAAGGAGGGGCTGGGCTGAGCATGAAAAAGATCGATGTGCTGTCTTCCTTTGCATGGTCTGGGAGCTTCTCCCCTACTCTCCCCTTTGCTGACTTACCGATCATTGCCAGTTTCCCGCTGTCACAAATTCTCCCGGGGAAAGAGGCTGGTCTCTTTTCCCAGGAACAGGCCCCAGGCCAGGCACAGCGTTCCTGTGGCTTCCGAGGGCTCGGCGCCTGGTGCAGCACCAGCACATCTTTGGACGAGCAGGGATGCTGACTCCGTCTTTCCTCTGAGCTTAGCTGCGGTCCTCACAGTCACAGAGTGTTGGGGGGGGGGTGCAAAGTGAATTTCCCCAGCAGCAACAATACTGCCTTCCCCACTATACTGCAATGTATTTGGGCATTTGAGATTGATTTGCTTTATCAAAGGGCTGCCCTGGTGGAGAGGAAACCTGCTAGAGCAGCTTTGATGCTGGGGATCAACACAGCAGCCTGCATTTTTGACCTCCTATTGGTGGCATGATCATGGGTGGAGCCTCTCCAAAGTCCCAATACAAGAGGACAAAGGGAAGCCAGTGGTGGAGAAGATGATACCTCCTTTGTTCTGACAAAGACAGCGTTCAAGAGACAACCTGTGTGTGTGTAGCTGTAGGAGAAGTGCTCCTAGATAAGTGAGAACATGGAGGAACCAGGACAATCTTGAAAGGGTCATCCTTGGATCAGGTGTGAATGGAAGGAGGACATTTCCCAGCCTTGGGAGGGAAGGGGCCCATGAGAAAGTTGTCAAAGGAAGAGGTAAACTATTAAAGCTTTGTTCTAATTGTATGCTGCACGGTTCCAAGGCGTTCTGCCTTACACATGTAATATTGACAGCCGTATTCTTAATAAACATTGCTGGTTTGCTTTCCTTTGATCTGTTTTGGAGTGCATCATGGAAGATCTAACACAAGGAGTTCCCGCTTGAACTCCATGCTGTAGCCAAGCTGACCTGCAGCCCCAGGAGGACCTAAGGAGGCCTATGCCCCTTACTGACCATTCAGCTTTCATTTCCAAAGCTAGGCTTGTCTCTAGCCTTTGTAGCATTGCAGAGGCAGATGCAAGGAAAAGTGTGCACAGGAAGGAGTGAACTCAGAAGAAGTAAACTGGCTAATGAGCACAAAGGAGTTGGTGATATCTGACAAGCACGTACTGCATAACGTAGCATTGTGTTTCATTCTTCGGACATGTAATGCAGTCAAGTAACTGCAAACATATTGGGCTCACTGCATGTATGTTTTGGTTGTTCTGCAGTTTTCCTACCCATTTCAGGCCTGGTCACCTCAACATTTCTGGCTACACTTTAGCTCTGGGGGACTCATAGCAACCGTGCAAAGTTCCATGGCAGCTCATGAAATGATGTTTCTTGCTTTCCCTTTTAGAAACTTCCATATTTTTGGAACTGAGGAAGCTGAATTTCAGCTCCCTGCAGGAAAGTTGTGAATTTTCAACAGCCTTTCTGATGATCAAGGAATTAAAGAATGCTTTTGAAGTTGAACTTGGAGAGTTAGGAAAACACATTGAAAAAAGAAAAGAAGATAGAAAAGTGAAGGAACAAATACTGAGAATTGAAGAAAAACTGAATCTGTTGCAGAATAAAATGGGTAAGTATAAGAAACAACAGGCCAACAACTAACAGAAGAGCAAGCAGAATTGTCAGGACAGAATTAGCCAACAAAAACCTCTAGACAAAAATATCCATGATGGACCCAGATGGCAGTCAAGAGAAGAGCCCTTTAGTTTCTGTTTCCATAATGCATGGCATGATTCCACAGGAACATGGAAATCCTATGCAGAACTAAACAAACACTATTTGCTTTCAATGGCCTCATACTCTACTTCTGAATAGGACTGGACTGTAAATGTGGAGATAATCATTTGTGGGATCTAAAAATGGTACTATATTATAGTAGCAAAAAAGCAGGATTTTTTAAAAATTGCCAATAGTTGCAAAAATTAGGGAGCACAGTATTGCTGAGGAACCTTGGAGGGGTCAGCTGAAGGCTAGCCCAGGCCAGATGGTGGCCAGCTTCATAGCTGACTTCAGCGGACTCGGTGGGGAAAGGCTGAAACTGCTAAGTTCAGCCCAGTGAGTCCAAAGAAGCTTGTGGTAGGGCTGGGGGAAGCTTTGGCCAGCTGCCCCCAAGTGCTGACTGGTACTTTTGGGTCAGCTAGCAGTTGTGGTAGCCTGCTAGCCCTGCTAGCCTGCTACCAGCAGTTGTGGCAGTGCTGCTAGCACAGAAAAGGGGTTTTGCCACTTTTGCCCAACGGCTCTGGAGCAGTTTGACTTGACCCCTGATGCGTTGTGATATCAGGGTTCAGGACATGCCAACCCAACGTGGGTCAAGTGAAGCCCACGACAAGCCGTGGGTTGTCCAGGTGTCTAATAACCCAAACTTAAACCACCCTGACACACCCATTGCAGGTTCAGATGGCGCTGTAGGCTACCAAGGCTTATAAGCCAGCTTGGCACAGCATGTCATGCTCACCCAGCTGTCCTTCCTTTCAGCCCATATTGCTCCCATTTTAGCTATCCATATTATTTGGGTGTGCATTAAATCCAGGAATTCAAAGGGAAAGGAGCTCAGCCTACATGCCTATTTTAAAAAATATATTTATTTTTAAATAAGTATTTTAAAATATCTTTTGCCACCCAGTCCCAAAAGTATTATGCCAGTCTCTCCTATTGGTCTGCCTTTCTTTTTCGGCCACTCTTCTTGTTTGATCATTTTTCTATATAACCATTCTCTCTTTCAGATTCCTATAGCAGTTGCAACCCTCCACGTTGGCATACTTTTGAAGGGAGCTGCTATTACTTCTCAGAAATTCCAAAGACATGGCAAAATGCTACACAGTTCTGTACAAAGTTTGAAGCCCATCTGATCATTATTAACAGCAAGCAGGAGCAGGTGATGTGAAAGAGCTTATGCATGATCTCTTCCTGCAACCCATCTTTTGTTTTCCCATTGCCCTGGCAGGATACCCACCAGATTTTCATAGGAAACCAAGAATTCCAGCCTCTTCATCTTAGCCTTTCCCCATAGAGTCTAGGAAGGAAATCCAGGCTTCACTACTCTAATAAGCAGGAATTGCTCATTCATTTGTTCTGTAGAGCTGTCAGGATCTGGACTGCTCCGATCCACTATCTGGCCAGGACTGGAATGGCCCCAGTGGAATCATCAGCCTCTTGATGAGTGCCAGCTTAGGAGCTTTGAGGGAATTGTTGTAAGCCGCCCCGAGGCTTCGGCGAATGGGGCGGCATAAAAGTGTTTTAATAAATAAATAAATAAAATAGTTATATAAGAGAAAGTTCTTTTCTCCAAAGGCTGCCTGAGTCATGCATGTTCTGCTGTTGGTTCTGCTCTATCATGCCTGAGCTTTGCTGCATCTAGTTCCTGTCTTGCTTGCACCCTGCCTTGCTGTCTTGCCTCAGCAACACAGGTTCCCCTGTTTGCTATAGTGCATTTCAGCTCCTGCATCTCACGTGATCTTTGCTGCATCTGATTTCTGCCTTGCTGTATCATTGTGCCTTGGTGTATCCTGCCTCTGCAAGACAGGTCGCCTGCTTGTTGTTGTGTGCTCCAGGACCTGCGTCCTGCCTCACCTCTGCCTGATCCATTCCCTGCCTTGCTTTGCTCTCTTGCTTATTTATTTATTTATAACATTTTTATGCTGCCCCAATCGCAACAAAGCCTCGGGGCGGCTCACAACAAAAACAAAATATACAAATATAACAATTATACAACAAAAATATTAAAACCCAGCGCATCTCGGCTTAAAAGATTTAAAATCCTATAAATACCAATAAATTAACAATTAAAATAAGTCTTAGCCTGGCACCGAAAAACAAATAACGACGGTGTGAGGCGGACCTCTCTGGGGAGCACATTCCATAGATGGGGCACCACCGCAGAGAAAGCCCTCCTCTGAGTACTTACCCTCCTAATTTCTTTCACAGAGGGTTCCCGGAGAAGGGCCTCTCCCGCAGATCTCAAGGGGCGGGCGGGCATATATGGATGTAAGCGCTCCTTCAGGTAACCAGGACCCAAGCCGTTTAGGGCTTTATAGGTCATCACCAACACCTTGAATTGGGCCCGGACTTCAATGGGAAGCCAGTGGAGCTGACGGAGAACTGGGGTTATATGAGAACAATGCCCAGCCCCCGTCAGCAGCCTATTCTGCACCAACTGAAGTATCCGGACTGTCTTCAAGGGTAGCCCCACATAGAGTGCGTTACAGAAATCTAATTGGGAAGTTACCAACACATGTGTCACTGTCGCCAGGCAGTCATTCTCCAGGAAGGGACGCAGCTGATGGATCAGTCGAAGCTGAAGGAAAGCGCTCCTCGCCATCGCCATCAGCTGAGCTTCTAGAGACAGCTCAGGGTCGGGGAGCACTCCTAAGCTGCGAACCCTGTCCCTCAGAGGGAGTGCAACCCCATTTAGGACAAGGCCCAAGTCTCCCATCCCGAGGCACGAACCACCCACCAACAGGACCTCCGTCTTGTCTGGACTGAGCTTCAGTTTATTGGCCCTCATCCAGCCCATTACCTCGGCCAGGCACCGGTTCAGCACAGCCACTGCCTCACCTGGATTGGTGGAAACGAGAGGTAGAGCTGGGTATCATCAGCGTACTGATGGTTCTGCAGCCCACACCTCCTGATGACCTCTCCCAGCGGTTTCATGTAGATGTTGAGCAGCAAAGGGGACAAGATGGACCCCTGCGGAACTCCTTTGCATAACTGCCATGGCACAGAGCCATAGTCCCCCAGCACCACCTTCTGAAATCGGCCATTGAGATAGGAGTGGAACCACCACCACGCAGTGCCTCCAACTCCCAATCCCGCTAGCCTATTCAGAAGGATACCAAGGTCGATGGTATCGAAAGCTGCTGAGAGGTCCAGGAGAACTAACAGAGACGCACTCCCCCTGTCTCTCTCCCTGTACAGGTCATCATACAGGGTGACCAAGGCAGATTCAGTGCCGTACCCAGGTCTGAAGCCAGACTGAAATGGGTCCAGATAATCAGTTTCATCCAAGAGTGTTTGCAGTTGTCCCGCCACCACCCGCTCTAGCACCTTGCCCAGGAATGGGATGTTGGCCACCGGTCTATAATTGGCGGCCACCTCTGGATCCAGGGATGCCTTCTTTAGGACCAGGGATGCTGTCTTTAAGTACCCGACCGTCTCTTAAAGAGGCGTTGACCACCTCCAGGATCCAGGTCCCAATCCCGTCCTTGGCTTTCTTAAGTAGCCAAGATGGGCATGGGTCTAGTAAGCAGGTGGTAGGGCGTACTCGTCCAAGCACCTTGTCCACATCATCAGGCCGCAACAACTGAAATTTATCCATTAATTGTGGACTTGACGGTGTCATTGGCATCTCCTCAGTAGAATCTGGTTCAATAGTAGAGTCAAGCTCGTGACGAATCTGAGCGATTTTCTCCCTGAAATGCCTGGCAAAGTCATCACAGCAGGCCTTCGAGGGTGGTACGAGATCTTTCTTTGGGTCCGGATGTATCAGCTCTTGCACCACCCGAAAGAGCTCTGCCAGACGGCATTGTGAGGAGGCAATGGAAGCAGAGTAGCATTTCTTCTTCGCCGTCCTCACCGCCACAGCATAGGCCCGATAGTGGGCTCTTATGTGTGTTCAGTCAGATTCACCCCGTGATCTCCTCCACCTACGCTCTAGACATCTCCCAATCTGCTTCATTGCCCATAATTCAGGTGTATACCAAGGAGATGAATGGGCTCTGCCAGGTGGGAGAGGACGCTTGGGAGCGATTCTGTCAATAGCCCTGGTCATCTCCCCATTCCACAGTTCAACCAGGGCATCGACAGGATCACCAGCCTTGTCAACCGGAAAATCCCCCAGAGCTTTCAGGAATCCATCAGGATCCATCCGGCTCTGGGGGCGGACCAATACAATCTGGTCCACACCCTTACAGAGGGAAAGACTGCTCTCGAGCTCAAACCTTATGAGGAAGTGATCTGACTATGACAAGGGTGTCAAACTTAAATTCCTCACCCTCAGATCACCCTCTTCCTGCCCCGTTGAGAAAACCAGGTCGAGTGTGTGTCCACTTTCATGGGTCAGGCCACTGACGTGTTGAGACAGCCCCATGGCCACCATGGAGGCCATGAAGTCCTGAGCCGCCCCGGTTAGAACCGTCTCGGCATGGAGACTGAAGTCCCCCAGGACTAACATCCTGGGAGTCTTCAACACCAGGTCCGAGACAATCTCCGTCAGCTCAGGCAGGGAGTCTGTTGGGCAGAAGGGTGCACAGTACACCAACAGAATCCCCAATCTGTCTCAGTTGCCCAACACCAAGTGGAGGCACTCCAGCCTTGACCGCGAGAGGACAGGAAGCCCCACAAGGGAAATAGAAGCTCGATGAACCAGAGTGACCCCCCTCCCCTCCCCTCCAGGCGTGGTCGGTGCTGGACCAGGTACCTGGGCGGGCACAGTTGTGAGAGGGCAACATCCCCCACCTCACCCACCCAGGTCTCTGTGCTGCAAGCCAGGTCGGCCCTCTCATCCATGATCAAATCATGGATGAATGTTGCCTTATTTTGGACCGACCTGGCATTAAGCAGCAGCACCGACAGGCCCGGGAGTCAGTTGACAAGTCTACCTGGAACCCGCTGGCTGGGGGAATAACCAGAAAGAGGGACAGGTGTTAACCATCTGCCCCTCCTTCTTCTATGCAGACCCGTTTTGCCTTCCTTGCCACGCTTTCTGTAGCTCCTGAATCCTGCCAAGTTCCTCTGCTTTGGTTGACTTCTAAGTTTTTGGCTTTTGACTAATTTGGAATAGCACCCTTGCCTTATCCTGATATGTACTTCTGGTTCCGGACTTTAGCCTGTTCCTTGACTATGACTCTGCATCTGATTTCACTATTGGACTTTGGACTGTGTTTAGACTTGGCTTAGCCTCAGATCCTGAAGCCTGGGCCCCAGTGCATCTGCCTTGACACCTGCTGCCCAGGCCCTACACCATGAGGACTTGCGGTCCTAAACATGAGAAGTCGACAAAACCAGTGCTCAACTCAGCCTTCAACTGCTTCTCAAGGTTCTGGCTTAGGATTCTGCCCTCCACTCGCTTTCCCTGATTAGAAAGGCGAGGGAAAACAGGGAATGCTCTTCATTCTCTGCTATGCCTTCCTGATCAGGAAGAGCGAGTGGAGAGTAAAGCTGACTCCTGAGAGAAGCACGTGCCCAGTTATACCTCCCATCCCAGTGTGCCATGGATATTTCTCTGTGTGAGTGTGAAAGTGGGCAGGCACCTGCCAGGGGACACGGACCCCCCCCCTCTGCTGGCAGGTGGCCCCAACACCTTGCCCTCCACCCTGCTCAGCACTCAGGCCAAAGGACTTCCCTGCTACACTCCCTTCCCAGGATGCAGGTCCCATTGACCCCAGTGAAATGTACCCCAAATAAAGACACATAGGATAATAGTGTTGTAGATTCAGTATTACTGAATGCACTAAAGGGGTTTTTAACTCACCCTCCCTGCAAGGAGACTCAAGGAGACTTAAAACTGTGAAAACTGATAAAAACACCAAAATGCAGCTGCTAAAGACAAACCATAACGCCTAGCAGAACAGATAAATACAGCTTGTCCTCTGCTCTTGTCTTTTAAGTTCCCCAAAGCAACTATCATATCTAAAAATACAAAGCAAATATGGAACCATTCAGTTCAACATTGAAATAATGCAACAGTCTAATAAAACATGTAAAAATCGGGAATCAGAGTCCCTTCCTTCCAGGGTTGGGGCAAAATAGTGGAATTGTGGTTTCCATCCATTAAGTGCTTGAGAAAGCATGTGTTGCTCCTTTTAGGATTTTGTGGTCACGAAAATGAGTTTCTCCAACTGGCTTGGCCTGACTGATGCGCAGAAGGAAAATGAGTGGCTTTGGGTGGATGGATCACGTCTTCAAGAAAGGTATGTGTGTGAATGGTACTTTGGGGCCCTGTGTGAGGAAATACTGGGATGGGGTGGCAGTGGCAGCGGTTCCCTTGCCTGAGCCCAGAGCCAGATGGGCAGGAAGGCTGGGGCCTTGCCTAGGGAGTTTCCTGGGTCTGTGTGCGCTCAAGTCTCAACCATTTCCAGGCACAGAAGAAGGTATATATCCATTTACATCCCCCCACCCCAAAACAATAATGCACCCAAGGATGCTAGCAACAACATGGAAGAACAAGAACAAAAATTAAAATACAGTATAATAACTATTAAAGAGGGAAACAGCTAAAAAAGCTGAAGCAGGTAAAAGAGTGGCTGATTCAAAAGCTTCCTCCAGCAGCAGGAAAATACAATCAGCTCAAGAGACTGGAGGCTCCTCTGCAGGCCAGCTCAGAAGGCCTCTCAAAATTCCCCATCCTATTTGTGAGGAGACAAATCAGGCAAGCAAGTCAACCCAAGTGGAACAGGAGTTATCCAACAGTTTCTCACAGGCAGGCCCAATTTCTTCCTTTACTGTTAAGGAGTGTGGTTTTCCTGCGCGGCAACTGCAGGTTGCAACAGCATCAGCAGTGTTGGCAGCCTAGCCCCTGTGTTGCATTCTCCACAACGCAAGGGGAAGAGAGGCAGTGTTGTCTCCAGCTCCAGGAAACAAGCGCTGTGCCCAAATCTGGCCTCCAATTTCCTGAAAAGTTTCTTCCTGGAAAAAGAAAATAGAAGAGGCTGTTTTTTGTGGGGTGGGGTTTGTCTCGTTCTCAGGGCAGCAAATAGTTCTTCATGCATTATTTACTTATATTGTATTATTTCGTTTTGTGGTGTTTTGAGTATATCCAATCACTGCAAAATGGCCAAGGGTCCCCTGTGTGTACATGTGTGTCTGTCGGAGTCTTTCTAGTGTACGTTTCCCCATTACTCTGTAATCCCCATTAGTTCTGTAAGAGGAAGAGGAGGGGGAGACAAGTGGTGGGACCGCTAAATAAGGAGGAAGGAGATCCAGTGACTGATATGAGGGAACAGGCACAGATGCTAAATGACTATTTTGCCTCTGTGTTCTCCCCAAAGCAGGACGGGGGATATCCGCATAGGAGATTAGATGAGGCTGGGGACTTAGGGGCACAGATTAGAGTCACCCCCCTTGAAGTTGAGGGGCTCCTCAGGGCATTGGACATTACAAAGGCACCAGGCCCTGACGGGTTACACCCGAGAGTACTTAGAGAGTTGGCAGAGGTTCTCTCACGCCCGCTGGCCTTCATTTTTGAGGCCTCATGGAGAACGGGTGAAGTTCCAGAGGACTGGAGGGTGGCGTCAGTGGTCCCAATGTTCAAAAAGGGTAGTAGAAGGGACATGGGGAATTAGACCTGTTAGCCTTACGTCCATTGTAGGAAAAACAATGGAAAGGCTCATCATAGAGAGAGATTTAGTGATGCTAGATAGGGAAGGGAGACTGACAGCCACACAACACGGCTTCCGCAAAAACAGGTCCTGCCAGACAAACCTTGTGGAATTCTATGACAAGGTTTCGAGATGGCTAGATGGAGGGGATGCAGTGGATGTAGTATACCTGGATTTCAGCAAGGCCTTTGACAAAGTGCCCCATGATATCCTGGTGGAGAAACTGAGGAGTTTTGGGATACACCAAAGCACTGTCCGGTGGATTAGGGCATGGTTGACTGACCGAAAGCAGAAGGTAACCATTAGTGGGGAATCTTTGGGATGGCGGCCAATGACAAGCGGGGTCCCCCAGGGCTCTGTCCTGGGGCCAATCCTGTTTAATCTTTTCATTAACGACATGGAAGAAGGGGTGAACAGTCTGCTGATCAAATTCGCAGACGACACTAAAACAGGAGCAGTGGCCACAACTGAGGAGCAGGTAGTCCAGATCCAAAAGGGTCTGGACAGACTATGGAAGTGGGCAGGAGACAACAGGATGGCGTTCAATGTGGATAAGTGCAAGGTCTTGCACTTGGGGCATAGGAATAGCTGTCATAAGTACAGGTTAGGTGAGAAGTGGCTGGAGAGCAGCACTTGTGAAAGGGACCTCGGAGTACTGGTTGGCTGCAGGCTAAACATGAGTCAGCAGTGTGATGCGGTGGTAAGAGGGCGAACGCCACCCTTGGTTGCATAGCCAGAAGTGTGGCTTCTAGATCAAGAGAGGTATTACTACCACTCTACATGACTCTGGTGCGCCCGCAACTGGAGTATTGTGTTCAGTTTTGGGCCCCTCATTACAGAAAGGATATAGCCAGGTTGGAGTCAGTGCAGCGTAGGGCCACAAGGTTGGTGGCCGGTTGCAGGGGATGCCGTATGAGGCGAGACTGAGGGAACTGGGTCTCTTCAGCCTGGAGAAGAGGAGACTCAGAGGGGATCTGTTGGTGACATACAGGTATGTGAGGGGATGTCACATGGAGATGGGTAGAGACCTGTTCTCCCCTGCAGAGGAAGGCAGGACGCGCTCCAGCGGAGCAAAGCTCAGGGAACCAAGGTTCCATTTGGATGCCAGGAAGCACTTCCTGACGGTCAGGACCCCGAGGGTGTGGAATGGGCTTCCACGAGAGCTGGTTGAGGCCCCATCGGTGCGGGTGTTCAAGGACAGGCTGGACGTCCACATGGTGGGTATGTCGTGAGCAGAGCTGGCTAGTGCCAGAGGTCAGACTAGATGGCCCAGCAGGCCCCCTTCTGACTCGCTCTGTTTCTATAATCCCCATTCCCTTGGAAGGAATTATCTCATAATGTCTTCTTCTGGACTTAAAAAGAATTTCACAGGAAGAGAAAATATTCAATGAATTGTCATGGGTTGCCTTTGGGATTCTGGTTTCACCTTACTTATGAGGTTGCTGTTCATTGTACAAGCTGTGCCTTGGGCAGCCTACAGACTCCTTGGCTTTCTCCACTTTAGTTGAAGGCAACTTATTTTCTATTCAATTGAGTGAGAACAGCTGAAAAACTGTAGGAAAAACATTCTGCACAGCACTAGGCAGAATCCATAATAAAACTGCATCTGAAACACTGTTTACAGTTCTGATTGTTGCTAAACAAAAAGGATAGTGCAGAGGTGGAAAATGTTCAGCGAAGGGCAACCAAATTTATCTCCCTTGTAAGGAAAGTTATATTTGGGGCATCTTAATTTACAAAAAAGAATGCGAGGAGCATGATGAGAAGCTTATAAGTTTATGCATGGTGTGGTAGAAGTGGTATGGAGACGTTTCTCTTCCTCTCTCTCTCTCTTATGAGAACCAGGGTCATCCCTTGGAGCTGAGTCATGCGGGATTCTTGAGTGACTTTGTGCGGTGTGTCAGGTCTCTGGGGGCACACCATGGTTTGGAGTTGTCCACTGACTGGGCACAACTTTGGCCTGTGGGGGTTCTGCCCAAGCAGGATCGGGCCACACCCTGCAGGCATCCTGGGCAGGGCTGCACCCCATGGGCTTCATGGCTTTTCTTTCTCAGTTACTGGAGGCTTGGTGAGCCCAACAACAGTGGTTCGAATGAAGACTGTGCTGCCTTATACAAGGGTGGAGTCTGGAATGACATTCCCTGCGATACGAAAAGCCTCTTCATCTGTGAGAAGCGCGTGCGTCCTTGAGAAATGAAGCAGCCACTGTCCCTGTGTGTTCCCAGGCACGTGCTCCCAGTGGCTGCCTCTTCAAGGGCAGCAGTACTGTGGATGTCTAGCTATCCATGGTGGGCATCCAGGTGCCTGCCTAATGTTCTGACTGCAACTTCCCCAATCCTGGATCATCAGGTATGCTGAACTGGATTTCTGAGAGTCATAGTCCACATCATAGTTGGATTTAGATTTGAGATGGACTAACTGAGCTAAAGAAAATGTACTTCCCTGCTCCCTCTTTCCTGCAGCAGCTCTCCACAACACCCTGAGAATGACATGGTGAGTTGGGGGACACCTCTGAAATGGGGTGAACTACAGCTCTCTCCAAAGAGCTCTCCAGGGCTCTCCAAAGCTCAGGCAGAGAAGCCTTCTGTGGGCTGAGCCCGTGTAGTCCAATTCTCCATTAAACAAGGCCATTTTGGATTCTAAGCCTGTCCCTGTATGTGTATCTCATAAATTGCAATACAAATTTGAATAGTTTCCACTAAAAAGTTCTCATTCCTAAAAATGGTAAAATCACCCACAATGCTCTGCCTGAGCACTCCTGTGAGCTCATCAGCCAAGAAGACACCACTGTGGTTCTTCAGTTGTGAAAGTCTGTCTAGCTCTTGGTAGGCAGCTTCCTGAAAATTAGGTCATCCCTAAAATTCATAAACAAAAGAGGCAAAGTGTTGTGGGAATGCTTCTATTGTAGTCTGAAAGTGGTCCTTATAATCTGGCATTATTCTAGCAGTGCTGATGCAGCGTTGTACTGATGGTGCTGGCAATCCAAGGAATCAAAATGTCTAAAACTCTTTGATAGAAAATGTCTGTATAACCTATAAACAAAGATGTGTATCATTGCTTCTTTATTGACATGTTTAGAAGTGCGATGTCAACATTAAAAATCATGACAGCTAGCAAGTTTCTGAGCCATTCTTAGAACATTCACTATGAAATAGCACTGTCTGCTAGAGTCTATGTAGAATAAACATTATTTGCAAAATATTGAGCGCAGCAGTTACTGTCTTAAGAATTCTCACGTTCCAACCACAGGATTCTAACCTGCCTGCATTTTACTATAGAAGAAAAGAAATGAAAAGTAGGCTGTGGCAATACCTGGCAAAATTTAAGAAACTGGAGGTGCAACTACTCCAAAAAATTCTACTTTAGGCTAGTGGATTTTTTTTTAAATCTCTTAGAGCACAGGATATACTCAGCAGATCATGTTGAAATACAAGTACGTTCTTTTGCCTCTCTCACACCTTATAATCTTTGCTATAGGATTATTGTTATTTAACTTTTACATCTTGCCTCTTGTTCTCCTACAAAGGAGTCCAATGCAGTTTACAAGTTCCTCTCAATTGTTTCCTCACAACAACACTGTGAGGTAGGTTAGGCTGGGAGTCTGTGACTGGTCCAAAATCTCACAGTGCATGTCTATCTCTATTAATCTCTAGAATACATTGAAAATCCCGTCTCTACTTCATAAAACCCCAATTATCCTGCAGTGGTTAAACAGCTCAAACACACAGGACTTTCTCTGTAGAGGTGCAGGGCCAAAGCAGCACCTATCCTTGTTTAAATTGTAGAACATCAAGGCAATGGGGATAGAACATTAGTCTCAGATGTGCTTTATAGTTTTCTCTTTTATTTGCAGCCTCTATTTACATGATTAGTGGGTTGGGGACAAGCATTAGTTTTGCCACAGAGATGTAAAAATTGCTTTTGTATTCCCCTTTAGTGGAAGTTTTATCTGTCCATAGAAATAAATGGAGAAATTCAATTTTGTACTGTCTGAATGACTGGGCAGCAGGTACATCTTCAACAATTAATGATAGCAGCAAAGACAGGAATCCCTGCTCTTTATTTTCATTTTTAGACTTTTAAAAATATGATTCATCTGTATGCAAGTCAATAGAAAGCCAGTGTGGTGCAGTGGTTAAGAGCATAGGTTTGTGACTCAGGTGACCTGGGTTCTAGTCTCCATTCAGCCATGGAACAGACTGGGTGACTTTGGGTGAGTCATAGACTCTCAGCCTAACCTACCTCACAGGGTTGTTTTTGTGAGGATAAGATTGAGAGCAGGAGGAGGTGTAAGCTGCTTTGAGTTTGTTGTAAGAAAAAAGCAGGATATAAATCGAATAAATTAACAAACTGAATGTTGATTTTAGATTGAGAGAACGTGTGTGTTGACCTGATCTTGCATATGCCCAAAATGCACAACAGGGGAAGATTTTCTTTTGAAGATTTATTCTTGAGAATAACCAACTGCCAATTTATCATTCCAGAATGCACACCTGGGCAACCCTCAGTCGGCCCTTTTATACATTGACTATCAAAGGGCTACAGATAACACAGCAGCTTCTGCTAGGTTATATTAGTAAAAGGTTATAATGGCATGCTCTTTCCCACCTGCATACCTGGGAAGGAAGGGAGGAGGATGGGTGCTATTTCAGAGAAGAGAAGGAGGATGGGGTGGGTGGTTGTGAATTGCCCCTAGTCTGAGCTGCTGTTATCCATCAAGCTGGCCCTCTCTGGAACTGGGCCTGGTTCATGTCAGCTACAATTCAAGGATGTACAAATGCTGATTTCTAGAAAAGGGGTTTTTTCTCTGGCTCATCTATGTGTCGATGATTGCATGATTTTACCTATGAAAGTTATACCCTATTGATTTGTATATCATGTCTGTTGTGAGGGGAAGTATCTAAGTAGATTTAGGCTCCAGTCCTATATACACTTATTTAAGTTTCACTGAGCCCCAAAATCAGGGTTTTGAGTATTCATAATATAGGATCAAATAGGCTATTTTGCTTTAATATGGGAATCCAAGCCAGCCTCAGCCCCATCGATATTAACAGCAACCTACTGTATAGGGCAAGGCTGTGTACAACACTTTAAAAGGAACCCGCAACTTGCAATGTGGAGAGGGTAGTGCTTGGACTAACCTTGCAGTGTTGTTGGATGCTGTGCTCTCACTTCCATCCCAACCCTCAGACTACAATCAGGGTAGACTACCGAGCTGCACTGCAGGGTTGCGATAACCTGGACCCCTAGTCGAATGCTGACCTTCCCACATCAGCAGTCATAAGCTAGCCTCATCCACCTTGCAGCAGAGGCTAATAGACTGTACTTCCATCAGTGAGGCCATTTTTCAAATGCTGAAAAACTAAAATTTAAAAAAAAAATCCGACGATAAAAGATCTTAGAAGGTACAGAAACTGGGCACTGCTCTTTTTCCGAATACCCTTCTTTACGCAAACAGCCACGATGGCATTTCTACGAGTAGTTCAAGTCACTTCTCGTTGTTAAAAATGGCAGCATTTAAAAATGGACTCCGAGGAATAACGTGCGGTGCCATTTGCTGGTTCTCACTACTCTTCCATTTTTCATACGTCTACAATAGAGGGATTCATTCCCTTACCGGAAGTATAGTGTGCCACTCTAGCCTATCATCTTTGGTGAAAGGATTTCCTTCCGGTTCCGGGAAAAGCTAGGGAGCTGGGGTTGGGAAGAGTCGCACCGAGCGGCGGCGGGGACAAGGACCGGGACGATGGGGGCCCACTTGGCCCGCCGGTATTTCTGGGATGCCGAAGTGGAGCCGGACCCGAACAACATGCCCACCTTCGACCCTCTGTATGGCTTCCCGGAGCGCAAGGAACGCGGTGAGCGGAGGCGAAGGTCACCGGGCTTTGGCCCCGCCCCTGCCCGCTTTCCGCCTCGGAGCCCGGCCCGCCCAGGCCACCCCTCTGCTCGCGGTGCAGCGGGGCGCGCGGGCGAAGCCCCCTTTCCCAGGCTGGCATCGTAGCGTGGCAGCTGCGGCTCCGGGCAACCGGCGTGGTGCACTGGCTGAAGCATCCCCACCAACCTGGCCCCTTCCAAGTGCGCGGGCCTGCAATTCCTACCATTCGTGGCTGGGAGCTTCTGTCCAACGCAGCTGCAGCCGCAACCAGGTTGCGGGGCGGCTGGATCAGATTAGGACTGAGGTGGCCGCCCAGGTTCAGGTACCCACTCTGCCCTGAGCGCGAGTGGTGAGGGTGGCCTTGTGCAAGGCGCTGCCTCACAGGGCGTTGTCACGATAAAATGGGGCAGGGGACACCGCTACACCCCCAGTCTCTTCAGAGAACGGTTGCAATAAACGTAATAAAAGAATCGAACGGAAATCTCCATCTGTACACCTGGCCTATGTTGAAAGACAGGTGGTTGCTGGTCACATCTTGCCACAAAGCTGATATGGGGGAGTCTGTGGTTTTGTGCAATATTTGCTGTCATTAGTACTGGTGTATCGATTAAAGGCATTCTGAGACGTATCCCTGCAGTGCAGCTTCTAAGGAATGTGATCTCTTTCAACAGAATTCTTTTTAGCCAGACAGGGATTCTTGTTAGTGATTGATTGGAGAACTTATATGCCACCCCATTCGCATAAGCCTCGGGGCGGCTTCCAAACCATAAATAAATATAATCGATACAATTACATAAAATATTGGAGACATTCTGGCAAAAAATTGTTAAAATCAATAAAATTAACAGTTAAAATAACGTTTAAATAAAAAGGTCTTGGCCTGGCGCCGAAAAGCAAATAACGACGGCGCCAGGCAGACCTCTCTGGGGAGCGCATTCCATAAGTTGAGCGCCACCACAGAGAAAGCCCTCCTCCGGGTACTCACCCTCCTAATATCTTTCATGGAGGGCTCCCAGAGAAGGGCCTCTGCCGCCGATCTCAAGGGGCAGGAGGGCATATATGGACATTCCCTGATCTCAAGGGGCGGGAGGGCATTTATGATAGAGTTGTTGCAGTAAAATCAACAGAATTTAGTGCCACATTAAAGACTAACAAATTTATTATGGTATTAGCTTGCATGAACTAAGGCCATCTTCATGAGATGCAGGGAGTTATTAAAAGAGCAAATGCATATACAGGTTTCTCTTTGTGTGTCTGTGTAAATGGTGGGGAGGATGAGAAAGAAATAAAACACACAAAAGTATTTGGTAACTTGGTGCAAAGACTTTTTTGCTCCACAAGGGGAAAAATGCATGTAGGTTATCTGAAGTGTAACTAGCACAAAAGATGGCCTATAATGATGTACTTGCCTGAAATACATTGAAATAAGACCTGACACACATAGCTGTAAGCTGAGGACAAGAACTTTTGTTAGAAAGATTTCCTTCTTACCTGTCTGATGCCTATTCATAGTATAATAAATATATATTAAATACAACAAAAGCAGCGTTCACAAATAAAAGTAAACTTTTTGTAAAACCACTGCTGATTGTGAATGCTGTTCACATCCCTTTGAGACTGGAGTTCTTGATATATAAACTGATATGACTTAGATCAGTTAAAACTAATTTGCAGATCAGAGTTGGAAAGGTCGTATCGCACTACTACTCCTAGCATCGATAGAAAGTTTTCAACCCGTTCACCTTCTATTTGGCTCTTAACCACATTTCTGTCTGTTTCTTCCTCTTCCATTTTCCCAGTGATGATAGCAACACAGAAGCAGATGGATGATGCTAAGCTCACTCTGCAACAGCGGGATTATTGTGCCCATTATTTAATTAAACTGCTGAAGTGCAAACGTGACCATTTTCCTAATATCTTTGCATGCAAACATGAGCGGCATGACTGGGATTATTGTGAGCACCAGGAGTAAGTTGCAGCATTGCCTCCTTTCTTGTTCATTGCTTCCCTTTGTCCGTTCTTCCTTGCTGTGCATTAGCCGTGGTTCTGAAACAGTCCTTTCCTGGGCTTGGAGGTGGACATGTCCTGTCCAGTAACATGACTAGTTTGAAACAAGCTATCATTTATTGGATGGTCAGCCCCCATGGGCAGGGGGTTGGAGATCTTCTATATTGATATGCTGGCTATTCCTTATTAACTCTGGGTGAACCATGGGTTGGCTCTGGAGCACTCATGCTTTGTTTCTGTACAAGTTCCCAGAGTTATGAGGGAGCCCTGTACTGGTATACATTTCTAAGAGTATCTGCCTGATGTGTGGGAAAGCTAAATGTTAAAGCCTGGTCTCACTGAACCTTGTAGATTATATGATGCTGCTCCATCTTCTGTTGCTTTCTAGTTGTTATTTTTGTACATACAGTTAAGTATTTTAATATTTAGTATGTAAACTTCTTAGGGCACAGTCTGCTCTGTTCTGCAGCAGTAGCAGCTTTTTTCGGCTACCTAGGTTAACTCCTGGTAGGAAAAGGAAGCTGGGGCACTGATAGGAATCAGTGCAACCTGTCAGTCCAGCCTCCTCCCTTCACCACTGCACCCCCTTTTTGCCTCCCCAAGGCCTGGTCATATCCTCAAAGAAGTAGCTAGCCAGAAAACATTGAGAAGCTGTAAGATTACACCCTTCGAAGTTTTGTTGTATCAAGTGGCATACAAATGAAATGTAGGCATACAAGTGGGGTAATTTTGAGGGATTCAAAGCAACTAACCTCTTCTTGCACTTTGTACAGTGAGTTTGGTAGGGGTCAGCTGCTCCAAACTGATCTGCCCTTGTGTACTTTCCCATAGCTATGTCATGCGCATGAAAGAATTTGAACGGGAGCGGCGTTTGCTGGCTAGGAAGAAACGTATTGAACAAAAGAAACAAGCAGAAGCAGCATCCTAACTGGCTTCAAGGAGTCTCCTGGTCCTTCTGCAAGCTTCTACAGACCTCAGAGTCTGTTTCGTTGAAAACAATAAAGACAGTATCCTGTACCCGGGTCTGAAACAATTACTGTTTACCTTGAATACCTTGAGAGGAAATGAATGTGGATTGGACTTGAATGTTAGAGCTAATGAATGCTTAGCTTTCAAGGATGTTAAATTTCTCATAATTCTCGGAAGGGAATTGTGAAATTCCACTCCTCATATGATCATCTTGTAATAAGAGGTGGTCTTTCATTTCTGGGCTGTAGGAAGCACCATTTACTGTTGGCCAGACCAAAGTGGACTGACAGTTTGTGCACACAGAGACCCCCCAACTGCATTCAGAAGGTGGCCAGCATTCCATATCGAATGGGTATTCCCTTTGTACTTTCCTTCGAGTTTGGTGTAGATGCTTTGTTCTACAAGGAATTGCTGCTTCACCATATAGGAAGAGGTGGTAGTAAGCCAAGATCAAAGACAGCCAGCATCCTTGGGGCAGGGTGTAGAACCGCTTACACCTATGAGGAGATGGTAAATGCTGGAGTAATCTAGAGGAGTCAGACTTGGTGGCACCAGCACTATATGAAGTTTTTTTTATGTTGGGTCTTGACTGAAACATACACACGGCTTTCTGATTCAGCTAAAACACAGAAGGGCGGTGTGGATTTGGGCCTTGAATACCTTCAGTGCAGCTTCCATGTTTGCTTCCCCTTGTGTCCCCAGCAGCTGCTTGGCAGGCTGGGAAGAGAGCATGGATTGGAAGGAGCATGTGCAGAGTGGGAGAACCTCCTAGCTCTCCACAGTTTCCCCTGGAAGTGTGTCTGTATGTGTGCACTTACTGGGTGAGGCAGGGACATGCTCCTCACCCACAAGGAATACAGAGTGGGTTCTCTTCCAGACTGCCACCCTTGTCTTGGTGTAACTAACCATGTGAGATGAGAACATCTTTTTAGCGCTATATACTCCCCGTTTCTTGGTTTGCTTGTTAGCATCCTACATATGTCCTCTCTTTCAGAAAGGATAATCCAATATGAAGCAAACATGTTTTATACCCTTCCCTGCATGTAGTCCTCCCTTGAATGAGACAAGTCCTTCCACATGTTGCTCCACAAAGACACAATCTGGCACAACCCAGTGGCTGGATCAGTTTTTTATTGGTGTAGTTCCAAGAAGTCAATTTGACACAAAACAGACCATAGCAGTGGCTCATTTAAACAGCTGCCATTGAGCCTAGCAGGTTTCCAGTTTCTTGCTGCTCACATGCAGCATAAACTAAGACTCTTGCAAACTTTCAACCTGACCCTAGGCATGTTTGCGTTGAAGTATGTCCCACTAACTTAAATGGGGCCGACTTCAAAGTATGAAGGATTGCAACTTTAGTAACCTTAAGACAAACAGGAAAGGAGAAGCAGATTCTTCTCAGACTATCCAACAGACTATCCATTTCTATAATACTTTATTTTTCTACAGTTAAGACTGCAGGTCTTTTCTTTCTTTCTTCTCTGTCACTGAAAACAACTCCAAGCTGTGTTTCAAAGCATTTTTCCCCAAGATCTTCTCAGTGCCACTGTAAGCATAGTTTTCAATCATAGCCTAGAGGCCACTTTCAAAGAATGCACACTTTTAGGCAGGAATGGACCTGCAGTCTGGAGAAAATGCATGAAGTGATTAGCAAAAGAGCAGAAAGAAAATGATGTGGAAAGTGGTTTTTCTGACCCTCCTCTCAATGACCTCCTCTCCCAGCTAAGTCCTATTGTACCAATTCCCCCACAATGGGGCTTGCTGCTTAGCAGGTGGAGTGTGGAGAAAAAACAGGGCTGCACAGTGACAATTAGAATCCACTTGTTACAGGAAAGGGGAGGCATTTACACCTAAGATGAACTGCTGGTTTCAACCCTGTATGGTGCTGAAACTACCCATACAATACGAAGTATGGCTGCTCCCCAGTCACCCCCAGTGTGTCCCCCTTGTTTCTGCAGCAGAATCTCTAATCACTCCTACACCTTGCTATAAATCAGCCTTTCCTTACCTGCCCTATGTAGCTAGAATTACATAACAAAATAACTTTTGGAAAAATATATTAATTGTATTGCTCGTATCTTCCAGCTTTAATATGTGGGTCTCAAGCACCAATGCTTTTTTGCTGAGTAAGGGGGCCAAAGGATGCAAAAGACCATGTTGATAAAAGAAGACAGCCTCATCATGAGGTTCTTAGCAGGATCACTTCCTCCAGAAAGCTACTACTGAGGTCAAGAGGTGACCTGGTAAGCTTATGCCCTACCAATAATAGCCACTAGAGGGCTCACTTAGCCAAGGAGGATGCCAAAACCTGAGCTAGGAGAGGGACAAGTATCTGGCTGGTACCTGTTCTAAGCAGTCAAGAGGAGAGGCAAGTTTTCTCTTTAGGTCAGGCTCTAGCTGCCTAGATTAATTTTCTGGCACCTGCTCTCACAGACATAATGCCCAGCAGCTGCTTCGTGCTGTCCTCTATAAAACTGAATTGTTCCCTCTGTACTCTGCTGCAGCCTTTGGCTTCATGGTGCTTTGTGGCAAATGCTTATTCCAAGCTCAGAATGGGATAAGGACAAAGATGGTGGGGGTGGAGGGTGAGGAGGCCATAACCTGCATAAGCAAGCAATTCCTGCAGCTTCCCTCCAACCACAATGCAGACAGCAAGAGAAAACCCCATTCTAGGCTCCAATTACAGCCACTCGCAAGGTAAAAAACAATCCAAACTACTGGCCCAGACCTGGAGACAGCCACCTCCAGCTCAGAGCAGGAAGGGGACGATGGGCGAACGCAGCGGTGGGTAATCCCGAAACTCCTTGAGGTAACTTCGGTGTTTCCCCTTTGCCCAGATGGTCATTTGGATAAATCCAACCAGGGAGAACAGAGCCACTGTTGGCAAAACAGAGACGTTACTTGTTATGTGTCTAAAGAGACACCTCTGCTTCCTATTTTCTGATAATCATCGGAGTGGGTTCACTGGAAATTCATTCTACAAGGTAATGGGAAACTGGAGACAAGTGGGCCACCAATTAAGCAACCCTAAAAGTGCCTGTGATTCTGAGACGACAGTGTCTGCCTTGGGCTACTAAATTATCTAGAATCATTGCACTAGGGTGCTGCTTGTAAGCCACCAGGTCCAATCCCCTGCCTGATGCAGGAAAACCAGAGCTAGACTTCCCACCACCTGGGGCCTCCAAGTGTTTTGGCTAGATCTCCCATAAACCACAAGCAGCACGGCCCATGGTCACATTTGGTCAGAATTGTAGTCCAAAAGATCTGAAGGGCATTAGGTGAACTACAACCCTACTACCCTACTTCAAAATCTACAGCAAGGGAAAGCCTCTTTCTGGCCCTCTACAGAATTCAATTCACTAGTATTTTGGTCCCCTTATATAATTTATGCTGAGACTGAATTGCTCAGTGCAGAGCAAAAATACTAGCATTACTTTAGTTTAAAGCTGTTACTGCCAGTAACTAAGGAAAGCTATTGCCATATTTTGAAATGGGTGAAAACCTGCACAAAAACTGGAGAGCTACCGACTGATTTGTTGTTGGGGGAAGGAAGATGTGGTTGGGAGAAGAGGGCATGGCTTTCTGCTGAATGCAGGATGACCAGATTAGGAATCCGGGTCTGAAGTTCTGCATCCCTAAGATAAAACCCTGGCATTATTGTCTCAGCAAGAGCTACTACTAAATGTTAAGGTACTACCTAGTACCTTTATGACACATCAAAATAATAGATGAGAACATCTTCAGCTCTAACTGTTCCGAAAAAGAAGTGAGGCAATGGACATGGAGAGAGAAGAGGACAAACCTCGTGGGTTCTGCCTCCACAAGGAATGGAGCTGCCTGAGTAAGAAGCAGAGGCCACAACTGCTGTGTCCTGCAGGCTTGATTTGTTATCCTGCTTGGCCTAAGAAGAACAAGCTATTTGTGCTTGTTTAAACATATGGACCCTATTGACTTCAAAAGGAAGGGAACCTTGTCACACCAGAAACAGAAGGGGCTGGGAGAGGAAGAAAGATATGCAGCCTTATACCGATCCCTTCCCCCCACAAGTTATCATTAAGGAAATCTAAGGTAAGAACCTGATGTGCGTAAAGTCTGGGGCAAGACTTACCTGGAAGGCACTGAGTCATAATAGCAAAACCAATCCAGGATCCCACCTGGAAGAGAAGGAAGCACCAGTTCAGGGTTGTGACAGACGAGGCAATGCCCCGAGACATGAACGTGTTCCTAAGCTATGGCCGAATAAACACACAGCTGCTGTAGCCCTTTTGGCTGCCAGTCACACTCACAAGGGAGAGGAGAGGCAATTATGATCGGCACTGAAAAATCTCTGGAACAGACTACTCCCCTTTAAATGTAACGGGTCAACCACCCAACTGCTCTAGACGGAATTGTGGCCCTTGGTCAATGTGCAAGCAGAACGAAGTAGCCACGCTACTCTCAGTGAAAAGGAAATATCAAAGCTCAGCTGAGTATGGCAGCCAGGCTTGAAACAAGTCTGCACTGGGCAACTGATCTCAATATAAATCCCTGTGCACGGGAGGCATTATGCTATAACAAATCAGGAGTCGAGTTTTGGAGAACAGCAAATGCTCAAGCTGCATCTTACAGAGCAATGTAAGATTTATCTCGGCAAACATCAAACCAAGGTTTACCCAGTGCTGTCTCTGCAGTGTAAAATAGGGTAAGGAGCATCCTGCTATTTAACCCAGCACATCACGTAGCTAGAAGAGGGGAACGCTATGCTGTCTGAATGCCTACCTAGAAATTGTCTCCTTAGCCACATACTTTATGTGAAGAGGGATACAGAGCAAGATACATGGAGGCAAGGGAAGGTCCCTTCCGAATTCAAACCTCACCCATTTGCTATAGGGCTCTATGCTTTTCTCACCTCATAGGTATAATTAGGACAGGAGACCAGCAAGAAAAGCCATGTGAAGGGGTTCTTGGTAGGATATGGGATCTTCCTAGTTTTGGAGCCTGGAAGTAGTAAGAAGAATTAGATTTATTTCATGATGCTCTGGCTGATTCACAAATAACACTAAAGCACAGTTAAGCTCAGTGTGTACAAACTGGAACAAGTCTCAACAAAGCCTTGTACAAGTGGGAAGCCCACTTCAGTAGCATTTGGTTTTTAGAATCCCATATCTTAAATATTCTTTGTGTCTTACTGTCAACAAAAGCACCCTTGGCTTGATTGGAAGCTCTGGACAGCTTCTAAATTAGCCAGGCAAACAACCCAAGCATTGAGGCTGGCTAATTTAGAAGCTGGCCAGAGTTGCTTTCAAGCAATGGCCTATGATCTGTACATAATACTATCACCTCTTCTGCTCTTCCCCACTCAAATCCTTTTCCAAATGCACAACTCTGCCAATCCCAGCTTTCCTACAAAAAAGTAACTGTGCACCTTTGCACAGGATCAGAGTTCACTGTGAGTGCTGGCATTTTCTGGCCTGCTCAGATCTCAGCAGTCTTTTTCCTCAGTTAGAAGGCCATCAAAGACAGCACATGGGCATTCACCTGCCACGGGCTGCAAGTGCCTTGTGCCATGTGTCCCTTCAGCCTAATAGCTCCAAGACAGAGCAGCAGGCCCTTAGCATACTGCTGATCACTGCTTTCTTTTTGCCTTGGGATGTCCCCATGGCTCTCTTCTCTACTTACCAGCAGGGCGCAGGTTCCTCAGTGCAATATGAATGGAGAAGTTTCCCAGCTGACAGAACTGCAGGAGAAAAGAAAGCTATTGTCAACATACGGGAGCCAAACACCTCTCACAGTTCCCTGTACCACCAGACGTCATACAGGTTCCTGCATGAAAGGAATCCGAAGGCTACGCACATGCTTTTGCAAAAATCTCAGGAACCAGCTTGGAGGGAAAGACAGAAACCTGAATGTGCAAATCCAAGGAACAATCACACTGTATCTCCTCCTCCCACCATCGATAACTGGCCTTTAAAATTTTGTTTTAGTAAAGCCCAAATATAAAATTTTGCCTTACATAAACTTTTATGTAGAATTCTAGATGTATTTTATCTTTTTAAAAAATACATTCCACAGACTAACCCAGTAAATTCTATTCTACCTCACCACACTTTGCACCTATTTTACTTCCCAAGGAAATAAAATCTCTCTCTTCACGTGGAGGATTGATTATTTATTTATTTATTTATTTATTTATTAAAACATTTCTACGCTGCCCCTTGCCGTAGCCTCGGGGCGGCTCACAACATAACAAAATACACAATAAACTAAAACAATAATTAATTAATTGCAGTTTGTGCCAGGTATCAGTCTGCACAGGGCTCACGCCACAAACAGGTTGCCCTGGGTGTGGCACAACAGTGTCTCAACACAAAGAAGTAAGATCGACACCCTTGCCTCGATGTGGGGCGGACGTCCACCAAAAGCTTGGTCATTGCTCCAAATGCCACATGCTAGTAGGTCCCACGTTGCTACATCCCTCCATCCCTGCTCTATCTCATATCCTCCTCTACCCGCCCCACTTTCAAACCTATGTGTGGGGCTGCTGCATCCTATCCTGAAGGATCTACATATCCTTACCAAGAATATGATAAGTGCCAGTTTCACTTGTTCATGTCCATATGCTGAAGATGAAGCAAGGGAGCAAAAAACAGAAGTGTTAGCACATTGTGGTAACTCTGACACAACTGATACATTCCCACAAGCAGTCAATCCCATAGTGACAATAGGCATCAAAGAAGTCTGCCAGAAGAGGATGACAAGCAGTTTACATAGCGACTGTGAAGCAGTGTGAGGCAGGATTGCAGGATTGCAGGATTGCCTTTACTGCAAAGGAAAATGGCAGGAAGAAATGCCTTCTTCCTCCTACAATTAGATGAGGATGGGAAAAGGGGGGTATGTTGACCCTTAAAATAAAAATGGAAAGAGATCTGTTGTCATTTTTCAAATATTTACAAGTCACCAAACCAGCAGTGTGTTTAAAATACTGGGGCTACTATGCACAGGATGTTCAGAAAAGTAATGTCTAAAAGCAGATCCCTTTTTAATACAGAACTTCTTCATAGGCTAGTGTATCAAGATTGAACTAAGTGTAGGAGTTATTTATATCAGGCAAAATGGAATATTCCACACATATCTTGCCTTTCCTCAAGGAGCTTGCTGCAGTGTACATGGTTCTCTCTCCACCTGCTTTTTAGCCTCTTGATAACTTGTTGAAGTAGGCTTAGCTGAACTGCAGGGGCAAAGTCTTCCTGAGAACTTAATGGCTGAGTGGGACTCTGATCTGAGGCCCCTTCAGTCCTAATCTGCTACTCCACCTGCAGCACAAAAACAGAATTCCTTCCTTCCGTCACCTGTCTGTATAAGCCATGTCTTTTTGGAAGTGGCTTAAATGCCCGTGTGGCATAATAACTAGAGTGCTGGCCTGGAATCTGGAAGGGACTAGGTTCTGGTCCCCTCTCAGTCATGAAGCTCACTGAGTGACTTCTGGGCCTGTCACCGGGCCTCAGCCCAACCTACCTCACAGGACTGTTGTGAGGAAAAATGTAAAGGATGAGAACTTGGGTTCCTTGCAAGAAGACGAAAAGTGGGCTATAAATGTCATGCAATAATTTGCATTACTTGCAACATTCTCTGAGGGTAGGTGAGTCTCTGTCAGGAATGCCTGAGTGATCCCAGCAATGTGACTATCACCCACCCACAGCAAAGATCAGTTGGGAGGAAGGGTCAGAGATCAGGGAAGATCATGCTCGCCTGTGGTTATTTAGTCTGTGCAATCTTGGGAAGCAGGAAGAGGGAAAGAGAAGTCACAGGCCTACCCTCTGAGTGGAGAACACGGAAGAGTTTGCATATACCTGCTTATTCTAACACTCAAGTAGGTACGCGGAGCACTGGAAACCTCCTTCCCAATGACCTAGAAGTCCAGTTTGATGCCTGCACAGGCTTACTACCACATACACACTGTCAAGCCCATCTTGGCAGCAGTTAGACCAAGACACTCATTTAAAATCTGGGTCAGGAGGAATGAAAGCTAGGATTCTGCTGAACTATGGAGCCATCATATTTCTGTACCTCCCAGACCTGAGGAATCTACACAGCCTATCAGAAGCTAGTAGTGTGTGGCAGAGCAGCCAATGACCTCCGAACAAACCCTGCTGCTCTCCTGAACAGACTCTGCCAGTAAAGCACAAAAAAAGTCAAAGCCGCTCCAGTTCACTGGCCATCACCGACCACCAAGACCTCTGCTTCCTCGTCATTTTTCAACATACCAGGCGGAGTATACAAAGGGTGGTTGATATAGTATGCCATCCAGGCAGCAAAGCCCCAGTAGTACGTGCAGTTCTGGAGAGAAGTATAAGAAAGGACACATGAAATAATGGCCCTCTAGAGAAGCCACAGCAAAAGGCAGCTCTGACGGCTGTGCCAACCATCCTCATGGCTCAAGGGGGGAGGGCTCAAGCAGAGGACAGGCCAGCCTCCTTCCCTGAAGGATCCCAATCCCACTTGCTGAAGCTGCAAGCAGGACTTTGGAGGGCTGCCTTTCTAGCCCTCTTGTTGCTTGCCCTTTCCTGCCCCCTCCTGTAGGGTCTGCTCCAGCACTGCTCACCTTGAAGATGTTGCGCAGCGGCATCGTCCCATGGGAGAATCGATGGACAAAGAGGGTCTCCAGGAGTCGCTTGACGTAATGGAAAGAGTGGCAAATGCAGGCCAGGCTGGAAAGCAAAAACAGAGAGGGTTGGCAGAAGGGAATAATGTAGCAGGGTTACTGGAGAATGCGGCCACCTTCGAACATCATCATCCAGAAAGAAGATACTGGCAGCTCTCCAAAAGTCCTCCTGGTGCTCTGCTTTGAGCATCCATATTTTGAACTGCCTTTAATTAGGAGGAGACTTTGGAGAGTTTTCCTGGTTTCCCTTAACCATTGAAGATTCAGGACAATTGCCCCTGGAAACGGACTGAAGCATTAACCTAAAATCTTGCCACAGGGCAAGTACACGGGGAAGCCATGGGCTGCTACAATGCTCCAGTTGGGCCTAACAGCCACAGAGAGTCCAGTGTTCTACCCTGCTTAAGTGCTACTTCTGGAAACGCCGGCTGGACTGTGATACAGGGAAACTTGCCATCCAAGGAGTAGAATGGGAGGAAGGAAATTGGCAAGCCCATCCGGGCAGGAAAGACAAATAGGATATGCATTTTGTCCTTGACATGGGCCCAGTTGCCAGATATGTTCGTGGAACCATTGTCCAGTACAAGCAAAACATACGTGCTTGTCAAATGCTTCCCATGGCCGGTAGATACTTACTGCACAACAGAGTACTTGCTGGTGGTGAAGTCATACTTCCGGCCATAGATGAAGGGCACCCGAAAGTAAAAGAGCAAGTAGATGAGCAGGGGCCCAGCATACTCTGTGAGGAAGACCTGAAGGGTAAGAGGAGGAAGGGTAAGAAACAAGGGGCCCAGGCAGGGGGCAGAGGAGGCTCTCCTGCAGAGAGAAGCAGCATACTCACAGTCACCCAGCTGATCTGCGCTCCCAGGTCTCGGAAGTACAGGGTTGCTGTGGTGCCCACAGGCAGGTTCTGAAGGATGTCCTCATCCTTGAGGGACTTCCCCTCTGGAAGAGAGGAGGACTCGCAATGAAGCGCCCCTTGCCTGAGACTCCAAACGCAGCGGCTATGCTCTTGGTTTCACACTAGGGCAGTGCTGGCTGCCTGGCATCCAGAAGGGGGAAGCCGCCACCGGCGGGGAGGGGGCATGAGAGCCTAGCAGATTAGTCTCTCACCCAGCTCTCACTCAGCTGCACTCCCAGAAATGACTACTCCTTGCAGGCTTATACAGGCTTTCAACTAGGCCTCTTACAAGAATTTTCAAAGTCAGAAAATCTCATGTCAGCAGCATTCCCTTATCTAGACTTAGTGGCCCATCCCATCTAGAATTCCAGCCCATTTTGCAGGGGGGGGGGGTGTGGCGGGTGGGTTCCTTCTTGTTTGCATAACTTTATTGCTAAGTTAAGTTTCCCTGAAGAAATAATGCCAAAATATCAGCATGCTTTATGATATACCAACTTACTGGGATCTAATCGCAGAGACTGCCGGGCTGGATACCACTGTGGATCTGGAATCAGAAAAATGAAGCGGTTTTATAAGGAGTCGGTCCATCAGTCCATCTAGTCTGTACTGAGGACACCAAATGTTGGCAGCTCTCAAGCAGCTCCCAACTCTTTCGCAGCCCTAACTGGAGACACCAGAGATGCTGATTTGAGCCTTGGGAGCCTGGTAGCGGCTCTTGTGTGACAGGCTGGTTACAATCTGAGGAGGGAGCCGCATCCTTACAGCTGCTCTCTGAATCCTACGCAGCAATGTCACCTGCTAAGGGAAAGTATTCTCGAGTGTAGAGGAACTGTTTAACTGTGCAGCGAATCTCAAGCCCTGCCCTGACATTTTCAAGAACTTGTACCTTATACATTCCCCACAAAGTTTGGGGAGATTAGACCTTACTTTTTGTTCCATACATCACGCTCAAAGAATCACCTTTTCCCAGCCCTCAGGTGTTCAGAAAGTTCTGATACTGAACAATCCTGAAGGAGGGCTGTTTCCTCAAATCCGCTCCAATATGGCTGCCAGAAGACTCCATGCATTCAAATAAGCCAGCATCACACAGAAGCATTTGCAATGTCAGAGCGGCTGTCTTTCAAAATGGGAGTATAATGCACTTTTCCAGCTGCCACATTTCTTTTTTAAGTAATCTATTTATGATGCCGTGCAGCCCTGTCCATGCTTATGTCTATGTCTATTATCTTAATTCTCTATTCAGACAGATAAGCGGAAGCAGCATCCATCCACAGAGTACAGTTTGATTGAATCCATGACTCAGTGTGAATGTGAAGGCTGAGAAAAAGGGAGAAATAGTTCAACATTCCAAGCAGTGTGTAAGTGCCGTCCAATACTTGTTTTTACAGCGGTTCAATGGGGCTCACGCTCAGGCAAGTGGGCATATGAAGGCAGCCTTAGCTGCCCTATAAGCCTTCAAATGCTTGTAACTAGATAAAACCATCTACAACATTTCCAAATCCTGCAGATGAATACAACAATCCAGTCCTCTCGTCTACGTCAGAATTCTCCATGTGCTACAACAAATAAAAAAACTGCTTTGTATCTGGTTATGTATACACTAAATCACAAAGTGTGGCAGTACGAGAAAGGGTAACAAAGCTTATTTAATGTGGGCAAACACTCTATTCTCTGAGGCCTATGGCAATGAAAATGAGCGATCAAAAGCTACTGACTTTTCAGAAGTCAATTCCAGTTAAAGAAAACAATAGCATTTTCAAGGGCAGATTATTTAACTGTCATGGTGAGGATTTACATTGGATAACCTGACTTAAGCTGTAAGCTACTCAGCTCTGTCAACACTCTGTCCTTCCATCAGGGTGAGGGTCCCATCGTGAAATGAAATGACAAATGACAAAACCAGCAGAAGGTTTGCATCTAGTCACACACAAAGTCTTATTTCATACATACGGGTCTTTGTGAACAGGTTCTTGATTTCTGCTATGGTGGCATTTGGCTCCACCTGAAAACAAGACAGACAAGAGAAATCAAGGGATCACAGCAGAATAGCCTGCATGCATGAAGAGAAAATGAAACTCAAGCCCCCTTGATCCGATCATTCTGGCTTCGGTAAATAATGGCCCAGGGCAAAGCAATCCTGTATTCTTGGGATCTACAACATGCATTCCGTGGGCATCCATGTGTCCACAGCTTCTTCTCTTGAGGGCCACCAATCTTCCTAGTCCTCTTAATTTTTTAAAAATAGATTTTTGAAATGTTAACTTAAAGGCTGGAAGTGCTGCAAAGTGAAGTGCCAGTCACCAAAACAGTATTTCCAAGAATGCCTTTGAGCTCCACGTGTCCAAAGAGGGAGTCTTAGAAAATATGAATGGGGAGCATATGGCCACAGCCTGGTACTTCATTGAGCATGCCCAGAAAATAATATCTATAAAGGTGGCAGCATGCTTCCTGGTGGAATTGGGTGAGGGGGAGAAGAGTGATGGGGTGTTTTACCTGTGTGGTCTGTGTGTGTTGCTTGGGTTTTATAATGTGGCTGAGGTGCAGGCATGTGTTTCACTGAGATGGGTGTTTGCCTTCCTGGGGCATCACCCATTTGTTTGTCTTAGTATTCATGGTGCTTTGTGGAGCACATACGTGACTTGGTGCTTGGGACTCAGACCCCACATCTTCCTAATACTCGGTTTCCTGGCCAAGCTTTTGAGCCTCACTGGTTTACCTCTTGTGAAATGGGAGCAGAAAACTGTGGGTTCAAAACAGTGATATGGAGGTCTTAAACAGTTGGCCTTTTTCAAAATGATTTTCAAGTACAGAAGTACAGAACCACAGGTCCAAGGGCCATATCCAACCCTCTGGCTTTTTCAAATGGCTCCGTCCCCTTTCCAACCATTGTTTGGTGGTGTCTTGGTGTACACGCCCCCACCCATCCCAAAAGGCTGAAATTCCTCTCCTAAGGCTGAATTGCTTGAGGTTTTAAACTAAAATATAACAGTATCTTTTTAAGTCTCCACTGAAAAGCAGCTCTCACTAACAATTCTTGCCTGGGATAAAGGTGAAGGAAGGAGCACCTGCTGCTTGAACTCACTGCACACAACGCAGAATAGTTTCTTAGCCTCTGACCCCCAGCAGCAGGAGCCAGCAGTGGGGCATATCATGAGGCCTTCATCATCCTCCCCATCACGTCCAGCCCTAAGCTCTAGTCAAGGAGCTTAGGGGCTATAGGAATAACCCTAAGCCAAGGGGAACAGCTTTTATTTCAGATGCTCGAGGTCCCCGTTTTAATCCAGCGTATAGCCTCATGCTAAGAGAAAACAGAGCTCCCCCCCCACCCACCTGGGAATGCCCAAGCAAATCAGCAGCAGCACTGCATAGGCAAGCTACAGATAGGCCGGCCAGCCATTCAGGCCCAGCCTTTTCCCTCTGGCAACCAATGTGACCTCCATCTCCACCTCCCCTGCAAAAACAATGTACAAGTCCTATTTTGCCCGATAGGAAGCAGACTTTATTGCCTCTCCCCTGCACTATCCCTCCCTCTTTCCTCCCCTACAAACTGACTGCCTTATGTGCCTTGGCAGCACCAACACCCATTTCTCCCGTGCCCCCTGGGCAGCCTGCCCCCTCATGGTCCAGGAAGCCTGGGGGTGGGCAGAGACAGGAAGGACCGATGCACTGCTGAGCTGATCAAGCTCCCTCCATGTGCCCCCAGCCCTGAGTTCCATCCTAGGCCACTTAAAACCAGCTTGGGTGAAATGGATGCTTATCTACCAATCACCCTTTACTGAACAGCATCCAAGACGAACGAGATCCTGAAGGGAAAGACTCCTGCAGCACAAGACGGCCACAGCTCCACAGATGGATCACTTCCACATGTTGCATAACTGTCTGTCATAGCATCAGTAAAAATGCAGGAGTTGTTCTGGAACAAAGTGGCTAACAACTTCCCAAGGAAATGGCTGGGAGAACTTTGGTCATGGATGTTGGCCGTGAGATGGGCCTTCCTTACAAGCCAGAGGAGGGACTCCGCAGCATCCATACTGGTCAAGGACAGAGCCCACAAGTGGGATATTCTTGCACATGGCTGACTTCCATGGTTTATTCTACTTCTGCCCTTTATGAGGGCAGCAGAGATACATAATCAAATATTCAAATTAGGAATATGCAAAACAGAACACGAGCGCTTACATCCGTATATGCCCAACCGCCCTTTGAGATCTGCGGGAGAGTCCCTTCTCCGGGAACCCTCCATGAAAGAAATTAGGAGAGTAAGTACTCGGAGGAGGGCTTTCTCTGCGGTGGCACCCAACCTATGGAATTCACTCCCCAAAGAGGTCCGCCTGGCACCGTCGTTACTGGTTTTTCGGCGCCAGGTAAAGACCTTTTTATTTAAACATCATTTTAATTGTTAAAACATATGATCTGGCCAGGGCAACTTCTTCTTCCTTCTCTTTCTCCTCCTATATTTTTATTTACTTAATTTATACTGATAATTTTAATCTTATATTTGTAAATCAATGTATTTTTTGTATTTTGTAATTAATGGTAATTTATTATGTGCCATTGTATTTCATTGTATTTTATCGTGTTGTAAGCCGCCCCGAGGTTTCGGCAAGGGGCGGCATAGAAATGTAATAATAATAATAATAATAATAATAATAATAATAATAATAATAATAATAATTCATGCGCAAAATTGATAGTGACGTCGGCATCTCTTGACTCAGTTTTGTTTAATTCACAAAATAGACACAGTCCTGCCAGTGATTATTGGAAGAGTATCTCTGTGTGTGGTAGGGTGGGGAGGGACGCTACTTTTAGCCCATTTTATTGCAGCCACAGCAAGAGATACTTCATATGGAAGATATGGGGCTTCTCTACCCGTGACACTCACTGCACCCTTGTGATTTCTCACCCAGGTAGTATGTGGGTGCTTTACATGATGTCATCATCCTCCAGGGCCTCTCACATGCTTTCTAAGCATGTTGAAGGCTTTTTCTCCATTTGTTAGAACAAGGATAGCACAGAACTCTACAAAGCAGCCTTACATTTTTTGCAGCTCCCTTATACCACAGTGCCACCTCATGGTTATTGTAATGGAGTGTATGGAAACGCAGAGGAAGAAAAATCTGGGGGTGGGGGAAGCATCTAAAGGAGTCTGAGACACTGTAAAAGGGGGGACACACAAATTCTAAATAAATAAATAAAATCTTAATCCTGCAAAGATGCTTCAGTAAAGTGGCACATTAAAAGGAGTAAAGGCCTCATATAAAAAAGTCCAGCATTTAAAATCCTTATTCTGCAGAAGCAATAAGAACCTGATCATTATCAGTACTTAGAATGATGAAATACTTGTTATATTTCCCCTACCTTTTCCACCAAGGAGTCCAAGCCAACTTATACAATCCTTCATTCTCCATTTTACCCTCAAACCAACCTGGTGAGATAGGTTAGGCTGCGAATCAGCAATTGGCCCAAAGTCACCCGGTGAGCTTCCTGGTCAAATAGGAGCTGTGAGCTGGGTCTCCCCAGTCCTGATGCAACAACATAACCACTACAACACTCTGGCACTCTGCCTAATTTCAGGTGGACTGCATTCACTAGGACATGACTCTCTCAATGGCAGATGTTTCCAGTATGTTGTTTCTAGCAACAAGATCCCTGAATGCCCTCAGTACCTTGACACTGAAAGAAGTGGGCTATGTCTACACACACACACACACGCACGCACCTCCCTAGCAGTGGAGATGTTAGAGGAGTGCTCTGTGGGACAGTCCTGCAGATGGCTGACCTGTGAGTGTCCATCCAACTCAGCTTTCAGATCAAAGCAAAAGGAATGTATGAAGATTCTCGGGCAGATGCCAAGCATGGATCAGCACCTCTAATGGCTTGAAAAAGCAATGCAACCTGGGAAGCACAACCCAAGACTTGTGTTACAGCTAATCAGGCAGCACAAACTGTGACTCGGTCTGAATGCAGCTTTAGAATTGGTTATTCCTGTACACTGCTGCTGATCCTGAGGAGGCCTCTTTCTTTTGCTCCAAAATCATTATTTTACTCAAAATTCTCTACTGAGGAACTGTAATTAGCTTTGTAGTGATGGCTCAAAGATAGGAGAATAGTACCAGTAGTACTGTAACAGAAATGAACCATAGGAGGTAGACAGGAGGCCATTTCCTAACTGGCAACCTGAACCACTCCTGTCAAATGGTGTGTGTGTGTGCATGCACACACATATCAGAGAGCATCTGCACTTGTGTGCTGCACTTGTTTTGAACCTTTGTGTAAAGCATGGGGAGGCAGGATTCGAGCGGAAGCTTGGATTTGCAAGAAAAAATAATTGCTTTAATAGCTCAATCAGTGCTGCACTGATGCACCATGGCCAGAGCCCATGACAACACTACCAAGAAGACACAGCTCCGCTTGCATCGTGCCTACACACTTCTGGTATTTTCTGCCAACATTACCCCATGAACACTTTTAAGGCTTTTAAAATAGATTATTAAATTATACCATTCCAGAAATGTTCCACCAATTCAAGCAGATTCAAATTACAGGATACACACTGACTCTTCCCCTACAATAGGACATGTAACTACCCTATTAAAATGCACTGTTATTATTCTGCTGAAGCAGGACCAGTCTTCAGCAAATGCAACAGTGAAGAAAGAAATGGAGGTGAGAGACAAAATATTTGCAAAAGCCCTAATAGCGAAAGTCAAGAATCTCCAACCCAATACTTTCATCCACCAGCTAGAACCCAGCCAACTCCGACAAGCCAGGTAGAATAAGGACCTTTGCAGCAATAAGGACCAAGGCTTCTTTACTTCATGCTTCTTTTCATGTCCCGTATCCTTGAACACTTGCTGAAGGCCTGTGTCCTGAAGGCCTGGCAACTTTTCAAATTTCGGAAAGCTCCACGTGTTGTGGTAAGAATTTATGACAGCAAAAAGTCATAGAGCAAGGGGGCTTTGTTTGTTCCTAAGTTTGTGCTTAACGACCCTGGAATTCTGGACCCTTATATGCATTAACAGGCATGTTTATTACTTATAATCCCATGAGTTTCCTCGTGCTCTGTCACTCTTCTTCGCTCTCCACCCCAGAAAGAATCTCACACTCAACACAAAGCACACACAGCATTCCATTTCCCTCCTGCAGAATGCCCCTGGCATCCAAGGAACTGGCAGAGGTGAAGGAGGAGATGCTGACATTTCAGAAGGGTGTGCCCACCACCATTACGGCCAACGCAAGCAGGTGTAGAGTGTAGAGTGTCCAAGGCAGCTGAAGGCCAGTTCCCCAGTGAGGAGGTATGGTTCCCTCTTCCCATACAAGGTTGATTATCAGATGCAGTACAAGCCTACAAGGAGTGAATGAACGCTCTATGGAGTATGAAAAGTGACTTGTTAGTGCAGCACCGAGGTCAAAAGGACATCGTTGGTTGGCCTGCACAGGATGGCACAGAGCACAGGAAGGCAAAAGGTTACAAGCAACGTTGTTGACAGCAACCCATACAACCTAGAAGATTGGATGGGATGAAGAGGAGCCAAGCTAAAAAATTTACAAGTAACTTAACAGACCATATTGTAATCAAGTTCCTTCTCATATGACAGAGACATTTAGCACCCCAGTGGTCATTTTATAGCTTGTGTGGCCCTATAGGCAAGCTGCTGCCAAATTTTACAGAACGACAAGGCAACGCAAATGGATGAATGAGGAAGGTGGTGGCACTGCAAACAAGGCTCGTGGTGACATAAATCTGGAGTGGCATTGCTTGGCAACCCCATCTTGGTTTAGGCATCCAAGGAAGGAACACTCTGAGCCACTTCAACAGGGCTCCACTTCTTAAATAGGTGAAGGAGGCAACACTGAGAGTGGCCCTCATCACTGCTGCTAGATGCCATGATATGCTTCAGATAAACACACTGCATTCAACAATAGAGAGGGGCCATAATTGTCCCTTTGCAGGATGTCAATGTTGAAATGTTATTTTGATCTCTTCTCTATATTTAGTCTTCTTGCTTCCTCAACCGTGAGTGCAGGATCCTCATTTGTCTGAAAGGATTAACAATGTTTGGGGAAACTGAAACAGAAACAGGCACTGTGCCCACTACTGTCCTGCCTTTGCACATAGACGAAGCGCTACCATCAGCAAGCCTTTGGCAAGTTCTTCCCCTTGCTCCTCTCCCCCTCCAAATCCTACAGATCTTCAGGTTTTCCCACAACTGTCTTCCCTATTGTCTTATGAATTACTTTTGCTGCCTCCCCATTGTATCCCCAGTTCAAAACATAGACTTCACAGAAAGACAAAATAACACTCCTTTCATCTCCTTTATAGGGATGGATAGAGAGATAGATGCCATTTATGTTTGATTTATAGGCTCAACATTTTCAGCTATGGGTTGAATGCTTCCCTGGATCAGACTGGTTAGTGCCTCTGGCTGATATTCATTGCTCTATTCAGTATGAGACACAATGTACTGCTTGTATCGTCTGGGTAACCCCTAAGCTTATTTGATCTACAGACAGCTCAAGCACTTGCTCTTTCTGGGTCATTCTATACACTAGTTTCATCAGGAGTTATATATTTTGGTGCAGAGTAATCTACTAGTACTATTGGCAGTTTCATATAAGAGTTCCTCCTGTTCTGGAAAAAATGTGCAGATACCCTAAAGAACAGTTGATTTTGCCAGCTTCCCAGAATCTTTCAGGAACTACAAATCTGGTCAAATAGATTTTGATGTTAAACTTAGAAGAAAATGAAATAAGCTAGGAATTTAGCCTTTTGGCTTTCATTCATCCCAGCCAGTCATCTTAAATTAGCATATGCCATAGGCTTACACAGACTGCTACAGCATTTTGGTCAAGTTATCTCATAAATCAAAGTTGTTCCTGCAAGGTTTTTTTATTCCTCCATGAAAGAGGGAATTTTGATGACAGTGTGGAGCAAGCCAAGTTCTTTCCTCTGAGACATCACAATAAGAAACCTCTTCACAAGCAAAGGTGCTGGGCCCTGGCCTCCCAGCTATAGCGGAAATTAATTTCTCATTTCCCAGCAAGCTGCTGTCAGTGAAGATGTAAAGTTGTGAACATTTGCATGGTGTGTGTGTGGGGGGGTCACACTTACAGATCTCTTGAAAACACTAGATCCTTTAATGACAACCAGCTTGAACTAACTATATGATTAAAGCATCCAGGATTGCTCTCTACATAAATTTTTGAAATCAAATCTAGGTTAACACATCCAGCTCAAGAACAAATACCTTTGGAGCTAGATGTCAAAAGGCAAATGAAACTCTGTCAAGACTTTTTCCTCTTCTTTTGGAAAGATGCACTGTTGTGAGGAAAATTGTTCTAGCAGGATGTTAAGAATAACAGCTCCTTTGAAATTGATCTCCACCTCCAAGACATACTGATTTCTTCTCACATGAGCGCACATGTATCAGAAACTGTCCAGCCAAGCTTGTTGATTACTTTTCCTTTTTTCCTTACTTAATATCTTTCTGCATAACCCACTTGGACAATATAGATCTATGGCAGCTTTTAGTAATAAAAATGGTCAACCTCTTTACTCTAGTAAATGATCCCAATGCCTTTCCCTTTAAGAAGTTATTCGGCAAACTCTGCAGTTTTATGATGGCAAAAGGCCAACTGCACCCGCATGTGCCTCTCCCTGATCACGGTCCTTACCTTGTCCAGGAAGCACAGCTTTGCTCGGGTCTTGGCATCCAGAATCTCCACCTCAAAAAAAAGAACACCCCTTTTAGATTTTTTAGTAGATAGCCTGGATCCAGTTTCATTGAAACTTCTCTGAAGGGGAGGACACCCCTCTATAGCAGTTAAGGTTCCATCCATCCCTCTCCAAATAGCAGCAAGTATGAAGGGATCACAATCAGTTCCCTCCCCCACGTCCAAGCTCCACACGAGGACCACTTCTGGTCAACAGGAGAGCACGCTTCTCCAAAATTAATTGTCCACCACTCTCAAGAAATAGTTCCTGCTGAGACTTAAAGCTCCATGTTCAGCCCTTCAAGTGAGATCCAGCCCAGTACACCGAGGGGGTTCCCTTCTAGTCTGTTCAGCAGGTTGTGTTCCAAGGCGTAAGTCGATAGCGCAGGGAGCTACACTGCTACCGTTCTCAGCTAAATATAAAACTGAGCCCAGCAGAGAACTCCTTGCAAGCAGCCTCCTGGCCAGTCAAGCCATACCACAGAATTTCAAAAGACATTTCTCTCTCTGTCTGACTGCGCCACCCAGTTCTTGTTCCAACTCCATAAGCCATCCGGGTGTGCGGTCTGTGTGTATCCAGGAAAATTCTCCCTTCGGTTTCTCATCAGCACAGGGAGTCTGCTCTACAGAACTAATAATTCTTAGGAGCTGATTCAGCGCCAGTCTGACGCGACAGGCATAGAATTCCAGCAGCCATGCCCCTCATAACACAGGGGGATAGAGTGCCTGTTGCATTAATGCCACACAGAAGGTAGCAGATTCCCAAAGAGGGCAATCTCTGCAAAGCGTTCTGAGAGGGAAAATGCAGTTTTATTGTGCTAGGCCAGACTGGATTACTGCAAAGCTCTCTGCGTGGACCTGCCCTTGCAGGCAGTTTAGAAATTACAACAGGTGAAAAATGTGGCTGCTGGAATATTGATGAGAGCAAGTCAGGCAGGCAGTTCATGGAAGACCATTTCTATACCAGCTTTGCTGGTTACCAATTTGTCCCTGGACTTCATTTGGCAAATTAAATTGATTTCCTAAAGGGCTGTCTTACCAGTATTGACCTACACAGGTTTCAATATCACTATCTTAAACTTGGTCCTCTTATTTTAGGATGAGAGTTCCACAAACAGGGCCTTTTCTGTAGTGGTATCAAGAATGCGGCCTGGGAATCAAGCCTCTCTCTGTACATGTTCAAGCATGCTTTGATTTTGTTTAAATTGTAGAGGGCATTTTATTATTAATTTCTGTGTATTCCAATTGGCTTGTTCCATTTTAAACTACTGTTACCGTTTTGATCTTATAATTTTTTGTTTCATTTTAAAATGGCAACTATGTATAAGCTCGCTTGTGACTTTTTTCCACCCAGAAAGAGACAGGTGTAATCTGCACATAGAAAAAATGGGCATGACTTTCTGAGTTGCCAAAATCCTCACACAAGATGAGCTTGTCTTAAATAACACTTCCTAAATTAATTATTTAATGTGTGTTGCCTAGCCATGCCTTAACATAGTGTACTTAACAGTCTTTCGTGCAAAGGAAGAGTTACGATTTTAGCCTCCAAGCACGTAAACCATATCAAACTTCCACTAGCAATAACAGACTGCATTGTGCAAGTGCCTACAGCAGAACTGAACTTCTTAAGAACGGAAAGTATCTACTGAAAATGATGCTTGCAAATTCTGTAAAGGGCTATCCACATATTTCTTATAACCATATCAAGGAAATGCTTTTTCTCCAGTTACCATATCAGATAGCTTGGAAATATGCTTGAATCCATCTTTAAACTGAGCCTTGGCCACAACTGGCTTAAACCCCTTGCAATGTGCCTACAACAGTAAGTATATTTGAATTATGCAGACTTTATTTTCTTATAGCAATAGCTTCTTTTCATACCCGGTTATGTGCTTTGCTTTTGCAGGCAACATTTGGGGAAGCTACCAGCCTGCACATATTATACTTTAACCTGATAAATTTCTGCCTTTATTTGTTATAATCCAGGTTTTGAACAAATAAATCTACAATTTGCCACAACAGCTAAAGAAAGCATCCCTGTCCGGAGGCAGTAAGCAACTAAATGGCAGGTGCTGGAGTCATATAATGAAGGGGGGCACTTATCTTCTTACTCCGCTTATCGGTTTTCCAGAGGTAGTATTGGGAAATGTAATATCTGTCAAGGTGGCTTAATTCTTTGCCTGATCCTGCAGGCCTCTTATGGACTTTTCTTGTAACACAGGATGCATATATATGGTGTAAATAAATTATGTTGAAACTGGGAGCCAGTGAGGCATATTGGGCAGACTTGGGACGGGAGACCTGGATTCAAATGCTACTCCTGTCAAGTTCAGTGGTTGTATCAACGTCTTGCATAGTGGAGTCACATCCACTCTCCCTAACCAATTGCACAGGGTGGTTGTGAAGGTAAAATGGAAGGAATTCTTATATAGGATAACCTGAGCTCCTTAGAGGAAGAACAAGATAAATGGAAGAATAAGCAAATACACACTCAAATATTTATTTATTTCATTTTTATATTGCCCAAAAGCTGAGGATCTCTGGGCAGTTAGCAAAGGCTAAAAACACAAACAAAAATTAGCATAAAACAACAAAACCACAGCAATTACAACTGGATCAGCATAGAAGTAAAATAAGTAAAATGTCAGTCATCCAAGGGGAGACGCGAGGGTTACAAAAAGGGTTATTTTCAGCTATTTCTGAGCAAGGTCTTGCCTTCATAATGGATTCCTAAAATAAAACCAGCTTCATTAATTATGTAAGAAAAAAGCTCAAAAGAAAATTATTAGTGTAATCATACGGGGTGGTCTAAAACTAGCAAGAGATAGGCCACAAAAAGCAGAAGAGAATTTCCCCATGGAAAACTGATTGGAAAGAAAGTGACAGATATCCAAGACACATTTGGATTTTTCCAGTGATTTGAGTGTCTAGATCAAAACAAACCAGCCTTTGTGGCATCAAAGCAGCTTAGCCAATGGCAAATAGATGTGAATGTGTGTGTGGAGGATTAGGAGGAAAGTTCAAGGACATCTGTGATGCAATGACACGGCAGGCCCTTTGCAATTCCTTTATGACCATTTTGTTTCTCCTCAGACTGGAAGTGGCAATAACCAGGAACTGGACAGACTGGGGCGGAGTATGTCAGGAACTATTCTGCACTTCCAGAGCAGGCCAATGGTGGTGGCAGATGACAAACTAGTTTAACACAATACAGCTGTCCTTAGGTTACGTTACCCTGCCTACACCTTTTCCTAGGCAAAGGCAGAGTCTCCCACCCCCACAACAGCCTCCGGCGTCTTTGAGAGCTCATGGCCTCTATAAAGTTAGGAGCTGTCTCAAGCGGGGCAGCAAGAATTTGGAGTCCGTTCAGCTCTTCAACAGATAGCCAGGGCCAACTCCAAACAGAGGTATTAATAGAACGTTGCCTCAGGCTGGAATGGTCGTTCTCGTGCCTTGGAGCTTCTAGAACAAAGAATTTTTTCCAGGGGAAAGCAGCACACAGATCATGCTGACCATATTAAGTTGTTGAGAACAGCAATCTGTCACACAGCAAGAATGGAGGGCGTCATAGTGAGCTACTGAGGGGAGGAACAGTGTTCCAGAGAAGAACCAGCATGTCAAAGAAATGATGAGGAAGCTCAGACACACACACTGAAAGCACAGAAGCACTGCAGACTTCCCCAAGAAACGCAGATGGGGAAAACGAAGATTGCCAGGATAGTAAGAAATACAAACAATCCAAGGACCAAGAGAAAGGCAGAGCCCCAGTCCCACAAAGTAGGCGATTCACCCTGGTAAGTAACCAGTGGACTGAACTGTTGATGGGGGGCGGGGGTGGAAGGAAGGGGACATGCAGAGCAATATCCAAAGTGCCAATACTAATCAGGCTAGTTTATGCTACAGAGTATTTCAGATGCACTGCTTTACACAAGCTCCTGCAAACCAAGTTGAAGTTTGTCATAATGTCCTCCTCATTCTTAAGAGGTTGTTCAGATAAGAAATGCAGAGAAAAGCCAAAGAAATGTGAAAAGAGGCAACATGCAGGGAAGCAACTTTCTGCAGTTCTCAGGCAAAGCCTGGTCTATCACCTATAGTCCTACTGCAAGATCTTCTCTGAGGGCCCATTCCTTCATATTGCTACCTCTGAACTTAATTTCATCTCTATAAGCCATCTCTCCCTTGGAAACATCCCACTTGTCAAGCATAAAGTCAATTTCTCTAAGCTGAATTAAAGTCAGACTAAATACTTCTCTAGCTTAACACAGGGCAAGTTTAGACCTAAAGGGAATTCTCCTATTTAGCCTTAAGAAGCACTTTGTATTTGCCTAAATTCTAAGGACTATATTGACACAAAGCTCAAGATCCCAGCACAAACACCCACACCCATTTTAAACAGGTCTTGATGGTTTTTTATCCTTCTTGTAGGGGGCCAAATGTAAAGAGTACCCTGGAGGCTCTATCTGAAATAGGACATTGCTTACTATAGGCCTGAGCCAGTGGAGAACTGGAAAGCTGTGAAATGCATGTAATCCACCCCTCCCTGGGAACATTTGTGAACATGTGTGTGTGAAGTGGCTCACTTGCCAGATGCACACTCTTTCCACTAGGGAAGGTGGACAGGGAGGAAAAGAAAACTACTCATGAAATTCTTCCTGGAAGGTCAAAAGCTAGATGCAGTTCTACATTCCCTTGTGGGTATGTGGCAAGACAATGCTTTGGCTTTGGCACAATAAGAAGTTGGGCATCAGGCTTAAATACAGCAGAATCTCTCTTGCACATGTGCTTACATGCAGCTGCCTAGATTTTAGCAACAAGCATATCAGAGAAAGGAAATTATGGCCTTGCCCCCTTCCAATCCTCAGATGCAACTGAAGATGGTGCAAGAATGTGGTAACCGTATCCCTTAATCCTCACTGATTGAAAATATTAACAACTCCTACCTATGTCAGCCTATGTGGATTCCCTGCTGTTTCTGTCCTTCCAAAGTGCTCCTAAGGCATGGCCCTGGGGCAGTTCACACCAGACAAAGTAATTTAATGATTGACAGTTTTGTCTTAGAAACCAATTCCATTCCCCTAGATAAGACATTTTGCAGTCAATAATTGTTAGAGTCCAATATTTAGAGCTCATGAGAGATCACCCCAAGTCATTCAGACTGGATAGCAAGGCATCAGTAAAATTCCTGAACACCATTCATAAGTTGTTTGATAAAGAGCACATTTTTCATATCTGAGTAGCATTTTGTGACTCCACCAATATCAAAAATATCCACTGTGATATTTTTGAAATTATTCAAATTATTCAAAAATATCAAAATTCAAAAATTCAAAAAAATTTGAAATTATTCAAAAATATCCATCTTTGAAATTACAAGCTTTGTACACATTTCATTGTCTGACCATCCTGGCAGCTTTATAGTTAAGGCATTCTCAACTGCAGTATCACTCGGCTACATTTCTGCTATTTCATGCAGTGGTTAGAAGATGGCTACCAAAAGACTGGAAGTTCTTAATGCAGCAACACCAGAGACAAGTCCCATGAAGAGCAGAGATGTGGAAATCAATTAGTGACGACTCACAACAGTAGCAAGGCAAGGAGTAAAGAGCCAAAAGACTCCCTTGGAAACATTTAACACCTTTCAGATGGGTGCAAGAAAGGATCTTCCAGACCTAGTGAGATAATGATTGCCATTAATTTAGACACAAAGCGACAGCAAGGACTAACCCATGCAGAAGTCAAATAAGTAAAAGAATGAGGAGGCGGAGCTTGTAGGAGGCGAACACATTCAAGATATAGCATATGGATACAAATAACTACTAGTGTAATGAAAAAGATGAACCCTCAGGACACAAAACAGTGCTTACGTAATATGACCACTCTGAAACCTGGGATAAGGTGGGCTAAGTTTACAGTATCAAGAAAGGAATTAAGATCTGCCATGAATTTCAAAATATTAACTGGTCACGGAAAATACTATACAATTCCAAGCTGGTAATATTTTATGTCACTTCAGTCAAATGAACTAAGACAGACAAGAGAGTTTAATTGCAAAGTGTTTTATATGTTACAGATATTTTTTTCTTTTTTTTAAGCAAAGGTAGCAGTGTTGACCATAAAAATTTTTCCAAAATCCATGTTGCTTAATACCTTTATGAGGCCAACCATAACATCCTTCCCTGCCTCTAAAAAATGCGAATACTTTTGAGGTCTTCAGAGATGTGCAGATCCCAAACATTTGCACATTTTTCAAGACAGCAATTATCTTTCCACATAACCTCTTAAATTTTGCCTTCTTAATGATGTTAGAACAGTTCCCAAATTTTTCATTGGGATTACCTTTCAAATAATTTTGAACTCCAGGCCCAACTGGAACTCTTTTGCGGCTTCTGCTGCACTATTACTTGGTACAAGACTCTAACAATGTGCTAATATTGGGAAAAATTTCAGAAGCCACTTCTGTTAAGATACCATTTTAATACTTTTTCAGCAGTAGAGCTATATTAATAATCAACACCAAAAAAGGGACTTTCATAGAGGCAGTTTTAAAAATACCCTGTCCTGTTAACTATGCATGTAGACCAGAGGTCCTCAAACTTTTTCAATAGGGGGCCAGTTGAAAGGTGGTGGCTACCAGTGTGGGCCAGTGAAGAGGAGAAGCCTGGCGCATGGGCCAGTGAGGCATTATTGGGCATGCGTGAGGCGGTGTCAGGTGCGCGAGGCTGTGTCGGGTACGCGCGACGGTGGCTTGATCGGTCGGAGATCTCCCAACAAGCCCAAAACCACGGCAGCACGGGCCAGATAAATGGGCATGGCAGGCCAGATCCGTCCCGCGGGCCATAGTTTGAGGACCCATGATGTAGACTGTCGGCGCATAATGGCAGTATATTGTGCATTCACCCCATAATTATTCTATAGTGTCCAGGTTCAGGCATAACATAGTAACCTCTAGCTGGCCTGATCAGAGGTCACATGCAAAACGGCAGTGGCCTATGCCCACTCCACCCTGCAGCAAATTGTGCTTTAACCAACCAACCATCTGGTTCCATTGCATGCAAACTGGAGCATAGAGATAGTGTGGATGTGTGAAATACTCCAAACAAAAGGCAACATGACCAATACTCCACCATCATGTGCTTGCAGAAAAGTAAGTAAATGCAGAGCTGTAAAAAAATGTTTGAGGAGTGTAACACACGGCAGGGGTGGCCAAACTGAGGCTCATGAGCTGCATGAGGCTCTTTGAGTTTATTTTGCAGACTGCTGCCCATGAGCACCTGTCTGCCACTCGCTGCCACCACCACCCACTTGCGGTTCTCAAACATCTGGCATTTACTGTACATGGCTCTTCTGCTAAGCAAGTCTGGCCGCCCCTAACCTATGGAGTGTATTCAGATGCACCTTCTGATACCTTACCACGCTTCACATGGAGGAACCTTATGAAACACATGGCAAGGATGTTTCCATAGTATGTTGCTGGGTTACAACTCCGCGTTCTTGAGCAGGAAGCAGTCCAGAATTTTAATGCATCATATTGAACAAGCCAGGAACATTAGTTGTTTTCCAAACCAAGTGCAAAGCGATAAATGGGAGGAAGGCAGCACAAATTCCTGCACTGGCCCAACCATCCATAGTTGGTCATTATGTGCATAGCGGGTCATTATGTTTGACAGATGGTCAATTTTTAGAGAATGAATACATACTTTAATGTTATTACATTCAACAATTTTAAGGCAGGTTGTTTTTAAAAGGATACTTACAGCTCAGTCCAACAGGAATGTCACTCTTTCGATGGAAGGCTCAGAAATCAGAGCCCTCCATCCATCCATAGCCCTTCAACAACAGAGGCAAGAATACCTCCTATTTCACCTTTAAAAAATTCCCATCTAGCTGATTTACCTCACTGGCACCAGGGATGGGCAACTGAAAAGCCTGTGGAACCATGGGATTCACATCTCTTCCCTCTTCAACACTGTCCTGTTCCCTTTATTTCCTCCTTAACCCTCCTTCCAAAGTCACAAAAATAATCACAATCACAATCATGCATTTATATCTGCTTAACTTTAGCACAAGGCTGAAGTACATGTAGCCTATGTTAAAAGGTGCATCACTTGGTGAAAGAAAACAATGTGTGTACATTAAAAGGAAACCAATGTTGTGGGTTGACTCCAGATGGAGTCAGTCACACTTATGTAACATTTATTTCATAGGGACTAAACACACATTCCTCCAACTCCAATCTGGTGTGTTCCCCTTGGCATACAACACGGTGCTGCAGCAGCCTGACAGAAGCGGTCCTTCTGGCCTGCAGCATGTGCCAGAGAAGTGGCCTGATCTAATATGATCACAAAGGTGGCCTAGAAATAATTTTAGAAGGGTGAAACTGATGGGCCAAGAATATGTCCACTTCTCCTTTTGAAGGATAACCAATGCTGAATGCATGCAGGCTATTTTAAATTTACAGCTGGCTACAATTATTTTACGAAAGCAAACAAGCACAGTTAACATGAGGCTTTAGATTTTGTCCATACTGCATTTGGTAGCTGAAAGAAGGTAGCAGGAATAGTAATAACTATTGAAGCTAAGCAGCAGAATTTTCTAAGTTTCTGTACTTCTTCAACCTGGTGCCCTCTGGGTGCGTTGGACTGCAACATCACTATTCCCAGCCACCTGGCTTGGAAAGATGGAAGCTGCAATCCAACACACCCTGAAGTACCAAGCTGGGGACAGGTGATCTAGCTAATTCTAAATCCCAAAGATCTGGAGGCAGACATCCAGACCTGGCTGTTTAAAGCTGAGCTAACAGACAGAAAGCAGGCATGATTTCAATTCTGATGACTCAGAAGGCAAAGAAAAGTTGCATTGAACAGCAACAGATACGCCCCAAAAGATCATACTGCCATAAAATAGGGAAGTCTGGATTTTGACAAGTGAAGGTTCAGGCTACAGAACCCAAAGTAGGGCAGACTGCTAAATTCACACTGGCTGCAACATAAGAACTCTAGTCTCTTCAGTTTACATAGATACATAAGAGGCTATCACCATCTACATTGGGTTGCTCTTTCTGCTAAATACCAGGCTAAGCCACTAAAGAAAAATGAGAACCCTGGAAAGAGATCAAAATCAGAGTACATATACTCGTATTTTTAGCAGATGGCACCCTCTGGCGTACACATATAGCCTCAACAACGAAAAAAGACTAAGGGCAGGCCTCCAGCTACTCTGCAAGACAGACTTTGCTTGGGCTGACAACAGGATTACACAAAATAAGGGTATGTCTGCTTAGAAAACGCATGTCAAATACAAGGTTTCCACTTGAAACTTAAAGCACAATTCTGTCTAAAATATTCAAGTTGGGATACTAATAAAACTACTAAAATAATATGCTAAAAAAATAAAGAGTAGAGGGAGGGAGGAATGTATGCTTACCAAATTAAGTTGTTAAAGGTGTTTTCCCTCCAATAATTTCATATAAAACACAATCCTAACCTGGCTAATTCAATCCTACTGATATTTCTGTTGCTCAAAGGATTTTTAATCTTTTTTTTTTAAGATGTTGAATTTCTTGCAATTTGCCTATAGAAATGAAAAGGTTGCAAAATGCATCAAACTGCAGCATGTACAACCCAGCTACTTCCAAACTAAGTAACTACGAATGCAAGGCAAACTAAGAGTGCAATCCATACATTTCTATGCAATAGTAAGTCCCACTGCATTCAGTGGAGGTTGCTCTCAGATAAAGGCACACAGGATTACTGTTTAAATTAAATTATGCCCAGTCGATATTTTACTTTGTGGTTTAAATATCAAACCAAAAAAGCCTATGTTCCAGATCCTAGAATCTAGGGATTTTTAAAATTCTTATCCACTTAAAACTATTTTGGGGATAATTAGAGATATAAGAACTCTTTTATCTGAGGCACTTTTTGTTAATTGGCTCTCAGACAGCTGAGGCAACATTTTAAATAGCTCAGTCAAATGGGTATGTCCAGACCACAGTGGTTTTTCCACAAGATCAGCACCTTACCTTCTGACTGATTCAGACTTATCATACAATACTGATTCAGTGCTTGGAACCAATGCATCCAATTCTTGCTAACACCTAAGCGGTTGGGTCACTTAAGAAACCCCAGCAGGGCAGAAGGCATTAATCATAAAAGCAGTTCTCACATAGTTGTGGTACAACATATAGGCCCCAGAATTCACACCCTTCTGAGATACTTGGAATAAAACACATTATTTTATTTTAACCAGTAATTTACTGGTTATTTTACTTAAAGCATAAGTGTGATGGCTTCTTGTGCCTAAAGTGTGATAACTTTGTCAAAACTTTCATATTCACCTTCACCTCCAACCAAATCCCTCTAGAAAAAGTGTTGTGCAACCTTAACAATCATGGGCTAAGAAGGTCCTTTTTGGTTATATATCAGAACCTAGAAAGTGGGAATAAATTGTCATTTCTCATAATGAAATAATGTAAACTGCAGAGTCCTGCAGGGATGGTTACTGGAAGCGGTGCTTATTTTTAACTAGCTGAGAAATGAACTGGAGTCACAGGTAAGCAGTAAGGTGGCCAAGTTTGCTGACAACACCAAAACACTTAGGGTGGCTAGAAAAAGAAGGGACAGCAAAGAGTTCCAAAAAGAGCTCTCAAGTTGGGGGAACGGGCATTGAAATGGCAAATATGACTCGGTGTACACAAGTGTGAAATGATGTACAGAGGGATGGCCTCCCACACCCTCAGCTTCACATATACAGTGATGAGGTCAGAGTTGGTGTGATTGATCAAGGAAGGCATCTTAGTTGTGGTGAGTGAAAATGTTAATCCAGTGCAAGACTACTGAGAAAAAGGTAATGTTCCGTGCTGTGGAACATTAGAGGAGGAAAATAAAGAAGGCAATATAGTATTAGGGAGCATCCAACTATGCCCTACCATTATTATTTGCTAAAGCAATGGAAAAAAGTGATGATTTAACACCAATTTCCAATGCCACACCACCACCTTTTCCCCGCACCAACCTAGTAAGCACAAGTTTCACTGCACAAGTGTTGCTTTATGTTTGTGCAATACCATATTGCATAATACCATGCAATAACCTTGCAGCATTCAGACAGGCACTTGGTTCCCATGTCCAGCTTCTCCATCTTCCCTTCAAATGATGGCATACCAAATGGTATCCCATCAGCCCTCACAGCTCAAAATCAATCCCAGTGTGCACTGTTCCTGCCTACATCGCCTGCCTCTCCTTCACTGGCCCACATGCTCCCCTGGGCATGGCCTCAGCCAGCTGCCCTGTTTTGCTGTTGTTTTTCTGCTGCTAAGTGAAGCGCCTGCCTACCCACTAGAGTAGCACTGTTGTCCTACAGCAATACTACAGGAGCTCTCCCCTGTGCTGCCCTGCGCCAGCGTGCAAGCATACACACCCACCTCTCCCCACTCCCTTGTTGCACATGTGTCCACACACACACACACACACACTGCGTTCAGGGCTCCCCTTTGAGCCAGGCACTCATGCCAGGGTTGGAGGATGTGCACCCTGCCAGGCAGACTTTCACAAGGGTTTCAGCATTTGCCCAGGAAAGTTTTCTGGCAGGCTGTTAGAACAGTGTTTGTCCTGCAGCTATGGAGGGTGGGAGACTGTGGGACTTGTTGACAGTCCTGAGAAATGTCAGAAGCAAGAGAGAAACAGAGGGGAGGACAGGAGACGCGAGCTTTTCAGGGTGATTGCCCTGATGGGTATGCCACACCCAGCCTTGGGCGTATGGCAGCCTTCACATGAAGAGACCGCTGGTGCCCTGAGTGGCACAAGCACAGAGTCATGCCAAAGTGCCACTCCTGTAAAGTGCAGTGACCAGACTGGAGCCGCAAGCATAGCTGCTTCCACAGCTGCTCTTGCTGGAGGCAACAGGGCACAATGCCCGCTGCTGGAGAGATCCCATTAGGCATCAAAAGCCAGGCAGATCTGGACAGTGACAGGCATAGCCAGGAGCATCTGCGGTACCCACACCTGTTCCTGCTACAGTACTCAATAATCAAACACTAAGACCAAAACTGTTTCTGGTTTCAGACAGTAAAACAAATAATGAAGCATGGAAACCTTAGAAAAAGCCTGTCTCTGCATGGTTCCACATAGACCAAGATGTGCCATGCTTCACCCATGCCTGCAAGGTTCAGACATAATAAGCCACACTCTCTGGTTTCTACTGTTACTTCTTGTTATATGCGAATCCATGATGTGTCTTTAAACACATCTAGCATGTAACCACGGTTAGAATAACACACATCATTCTGGCCACTTATATGGCTCTTCTTAGATTCAGATTCAAAAATTATAATAATCCTATCATTTATTTATGTATTGATTTGATTGTACCTAACCTTTCTACCAAGGAAAATGCAAGTTCTCAAACTAAGCTCAATACTTTATCGGTTTATTGCCTGGACACCAAAGTGGAGAACATTTCTTTCCAAAGTCAGGTATCTATAGCAGTTTGCTCTTTGCAGGCCAAGAACTACTAAATTAGAACTACACTGAGCTAGTTGAGAATCAACAAAGATCAAAAAGTTGGTAGAAAATGTAGCGTAAATCCCCAAGTGTTCCTTTATGAAATCTGACAAATGATGAGAAAGCACAATACAAACCCAGGGAAACAGCAGTAACACCTTCAGAAACATTATAGTTCTAATCTTCCTCCAGTCATTCCCAAACCATGTGTTGGGGTTCAGAGTTGAAAGTGCTGGAGGAAGTGAAAAGCTCTGGAGAAGATTTGGATTGCTTCTTTACAATCAGCCTCCTCTGAAAGCAGTAAATTCTGCTGTCTGCATTCTGAGTTATTAAATTATATGCAGACACACAACCTGCCTTCATATTGTCAGATCTCACCCAATTGTTCTTCATCATGTCCCAGAACCTCAACATGGAAACATCAACCAAACCCAACTGAAACAATGTATACTAGTCATCCTTGGTCTCTGTGAACTTGCCTGAGAGGTTGTTTTACATTAGGGGCAGAGAGTCTCTGACTTGTGGGCCAAAACTCGCCCAGAAGGAGAAAAGGGAGAGGGACCATGAGCTGTGGCTCAGTTAACTTCTCTCGTCTCTCAGCTTCCCTGTGTGGGACAACAGAGAAGCAAAGCTGGAGGAGAGCAAAGGAAGTTCACCAGCTGAGCTGGATACCCAATTACATTAGTGGAGATATCATGGATAACAATCCACCCACTGATATTACCTGATTGCCCTGAACCCAAGGGAGGCAATCCCCAGACTGAAATAGGGTGCCCACCATGTGTTACATATGCAGGTGATGTTCAAAATGTTACAGAACAAAACCTTTGAATATAATTCCTATTGCTTGTGCAACAGAAGTTTTTTGATAAATTAGATCTCATGACTATCCAAAATCTTATGATTTTATACAAGAAATATAGAACTTTACTCATTCATTTAGGTCAACCTTGATGCTAAGTTCCTACTCTATACCAGACTCTGGAAACATTAAATTCAAACTTAACATTTCAAAAATTGAAATTTTCTGGACTTCACAGCCACAAAGAAATTCCTGAATTTGCACACTTTGTTTAGATGCCTTTACATTTCTAAATGGGTTCTGAATACTAAAAGCAGGGGTGAGAAGACTTTCAGGATTTAGTATATTTTTCACTAGGACCCAAAAGTCCACCAACCAGACTTGTGTCTCAGAAAAATGGGCTAAGAATTGCAGAACAAGTTGCCTAAGACAATGGGGTTAGGGGGTTCAACAATATACTTTCTCAAATTGTTTTCCTCCAAATTTGTTTGATTTTATCAGCTCATTTAGGAAAAAAGAAAAAGCTTTTTCTTGTTGGTATTCTTAAACCATTGGGAGTTCCCAAGCCCCTCGCTGATGTGCTTTAAATCATTCGGAGAACTATCAGCAGATCCCAACTAACCTTCCTTTCCCGCACTCAATTTAGATAATATTTGATGTTGTGTTGTCTATACACCCTTTATATTTTATGAGCCAAAGCATTCTTTACCTACTCCACAGAAAACAAAACCATAGTTAGCAAGCAAAAGCAGCCCAGAGACTTTTAGTAATGGAATGGCATATAAAAACTTTAAATAAAAAAAATAAAAATAAAAAGCAAAAGTCAGCTTAATGAAAGCTGCTCCATTTATTCCATGAGCTGTAATCATTCAGCTTCTAGCCTCTAAAACAGAAAGCATCTATTATTAGAGGTAAATTGATAAATATGTAGCTGTGAAATTTTGAAAGTCAGTTGACTTAAGCATGAGCTTATTGTTATGAAGAGCAGTCTCCCTTATCAAAATGGGATGGGTGACCCAATGGCATGGCATGGCGTCTCATTTCTTACATTTTCTATACTGCCAAACAGCCAAAGCCCCCTGGGCATGGGCAGAGAAGAGATTTTGCCCTCACTACAACAGTATTTTGGCACGCAGTTCTATGCTTTCCCTGTAGGAATGACCTACAACAATTTAATTATAAGACAAGGAAAGTAAAGAGGGACATTTGGAAAACCATGGGTTTCCTGCTTTCTGTCACCCATACCCAGTGAAGATCACGCCTCCTCACATGAGTACAGCCTCACTACAATGCAAAACAAGTGTGGACAACCGAAAGCATGTGAGGTTTTCTTCCCTCTTTCCATTAATAGCTTTGGAGGAATGCAAGCAGTTGATTTGTCAGGGTCTTCAATGTTGAGGAGAATAATTTTAAGAAAATAAGAATGCAGCATCAACACATTCCATCCTGAATTATACCTTTGTTCCCTTTTCCCACCCCACATCTAAACATCTGTTAGTCGGCATTTCACAACCTTATGTTCTGCAAATATATTGGACTACAAGTTCCACCATCACTTAACCAGCATGACCTTTGTAGTTCAACATAACTGGAGGGTACCAAATTGGGAAAGGCTGCCCTAAGCAAACTTTCCCTGCTGATAAAAGTAGGCTGAAATCAGATAAAACTAATTTATGAAAGGTTCGACTTGAAATTGTCTGCAAAAATAGAATGGTAACATGGAGGCAAGTGTTGTATGTGTCTGATCTACCCTGTCTGATATAACTGGAGGAGTTCTTGTTGCTAACCAGCCAGCTGAGCCTATTTGTTCTCTATTTGGGAAAAACGGGATCCTGAGTTTGTTCAGGGGAGGGGTAAAGATACTGCTGTATTCTGAATCAAAGCACTGGCAATGGAGATATTAAATACTGTCCTGCTAAATATTCAGATAGAGCCATTTACCACACAGAATATTTGAGAAACTGCTGAGGTGGTTGGGCAGGCAGTACATATAGCCAATCTTAGTAGTGTGCACTGCTAGGCATATATCCATTTACAGGACAGGTGCAAAGATTAGTCTGACCTCAGAGCTGGAGAGACAGACATAGCTGTTCAGGTCATTCTCCAGACTGCAGCAAAGCATTTTGTTCATTTGCCATTTAAACTTCACTTACATGTTAAAAACCCTTAGTACTACCTGACAACATAGGAAAAATAGAACTTATTAATTTTCCACAACTTTAAGCATATTGCATTTTTTAAAATTCCTAAATTTTCTACATTCAGAGAGCCCTTTCTCCAGAGATCTGTTTGCCATGGGCTCCTGACACATCTGGAGCGATGTGGCATGGAAAAATGTCCAGTGCTTCATTTTTTCACAGAAAATTTACTATTTGTAAGTTCATTCATAAAAACAAATTATGTCAGTTGCAAATACAGTATATTAGGCAAGTTTGGCACTTTCAAGTTGCATTTATTTTAGTTAATGGCCATAGCCCAAAGGCTCTCTCGGTGGCTCACAAACAAACGATATACAGAATAAAATAAGCAATAATACACCATCCTAAAACAATGGCAACAAGAGATACTATACATGGCAAATAGAAGCAAGCAATAAGAAAACATATGAAATGAAAATGTCTTCACCTGGCAATGGAAACTAAACAGGGAGGCCGCCAGTTAGGCTTCCTTAGGGAGGGCATTCCAAAGGCAAGGTGCAAAGACTGGAAAAAGTCCCTTGCCTTGTTGGTTCCCCTTTACTTCATGGGGGTGGGGGCTCGCTCAGAGGGGCATCCATGGAAGCTCTTAATGGGTCTGGTAGGGATATATGGAGACAGGCGCTCCTTCAGATTTCCTGACCCCAAGTCGTGAAGGGCTTTGAATGTTAATGTAAGCAGCACCAACAGGCAGCCAGCGCAGCTGACAGACGACTGGCATGAATGTTCGTTCTCTAGGACAGGTCCTCGTTAATAGCTGCACTGCTCCGTTTTGAATTAGTTGGGACTGCCCGGACCATTTTCAAAGGCAGCCCCATGTAGAGCATATTACAGTAATTCAGGCAAGAAGTTACCAGTGCATGGATGACTGTGGCTAGGCTCTGTCCACCCAAGTAGGAACACAGCAGGTAAATTAATGTTTTTCAGATGATTATCCCTAGATACACACAAAATATATACACATCATTCAAACATGTATATGCTCCAGAGTGAAATGAAACTAATAAGCAACAGCAAATCTGAAGGTGACCCAACAACCTCAGTGGAAGAGAGATGAACTTTGTTCAAATGGATGAGTGACTGTCAGGATATCATGCACAATTCTTTGACTTGCTAAAATAAATTAGAAGTTTTTAGTAGCCTGGCTTTTTTTCTTAAAATTTAAACAATGTAAGGGGAGAACATACTATTTTCAAGGTTTTACAAATATTCCAATACAAATGCCTACATAATGTAACAATAAATCACATTAGGTGTGGTTTGATTTTTCCTCTCAAATGTCAGGTCAGATACCTGGTATTTATCACGATGAAGTATTCACAAGTTTTTAGCTTTGTTGTTTAGTAACTTCAAGTACAACAAACTTGCTAAATTAGAACTTTCTAGGGTATCAGAAATGTTTCTCATCCAGATGTCCCTATGAAAGTTACCCTTATTTGCACTGGAAAATGTTTCTGGAGAAAACATGTCACTTCATAACAGAAACAAAGCATCCAACGAAGAATTCTAGGGCATGCATTCAGTCCATACGGATGCTACTCAGGCCAGCTGCATATTAACATTAGCCCCATGTAAGTGCAGTCTACAAAGGAAGTCACAGAACCATAGAATGGTAGAGTTGGAAGGGGCCAGGAAGGCCATCGGGTCCAAATCCCTGCTGTTGCAGGACACCAGTTAACACCATCCCACTCAGATGGCTGTCCAGTTTCTCTCTGAATGCCTCTACTATGGGAGCACCCATGACCTCTCCTGTGCCTGCATACTTTATGAGAACAACTGTAGGATGGTGGTCAAGCTGTATTTCAAGAAATCTTTTCTACAGATCTTCTCAACAAGAAGTTTAAAAGAACCTGTTTAGACAAAAGTGATAAGTACTAGGCCAGAAAATATTGCTAAAACAGAAATTGCCAAACGGCAAAGAGGATCACAGACTGCACCCACGACTCTTAGTAGTTGGAACACTGAAGTGAAAGTGCCTAACAATCTTTTGGGTTATGTCAGATAATCAGGGACCCTCAAACCACGTCCAAAACCCTGCTAATATTCTCCTATTTCACTGCCATAAGCTAACTGAAATTATCTCAGCACATCCTTAATTAATAAATTAATTTATTAAAAATAAAACCAGTTGAAATACAGACTATAAGCCCTATTTGTATCCTCAGCAAACTAAAATAGAATATGGGCATCAAAGACAGTTCTTTTCTACCTAACCATACTGTGTATGGGTGTGAAAACCAGAAAATGAAGAAAGCAGACAAGGAAAAAATGTGATTTGCTCAAAGCATCATTCTGAGGAGAGCTTTGGGACTTCCCTGGACCAACAGAAAAATGAACAAGTTGTCCTAGATCCCAACCAAGTTTGCTTTCCTTTCCAGTGTCACAATAAATTGCACCATCATGCAGATGCAAGCAATCACTGAGGGGACAATCAATTTGTCCCATATGTGCATGAAACATAGATTACAGATGTTCTAGATTAAGGAGCCTGGAAAAATACAAATAAAGAAACTTTCTTGTTGGAACAGACCCTGTCATCTATCTAGCTCAACAGCCAGTCTCCAAAATATGACAGCAATCAATACTGCAGAAAGAACTACAAGCTGCTGCTATCAAGCACTTAAAACCCTATCTCAGAAAAGTATAGTTCTAAAATCTAGTAGCTAGTTATGCTTCAGATGCATATCCCTAGTTTTCTTTCAAATGCAATTAATGCGTAAAGGAAACAAGCCTTTCATATACCTTGTATAAGTACATAATTGCCTTCTTCAGAATGGAACACACAAGATTTTGCAGCATCCTGAACTAGAATGATCACAGGACTACAGAAATCCAAAGCTGTACCTTACTCATTCCATTTCCCTTCCCCCACCAAGGATTATTAAAAATTATAAAGCTGCAATCCTATGATGACCCTTATATAATGACCAGTCTTTAAAATATATTTTGCAAAAATCCAGTAAGAAGAATTCACATACCCATACGCTATACAGTGCCACCCAGTTCCTATTCATATTACTAAATGGAATGGTTCCTCCCACATTCACTCATGCGCTTGTTTAGGAAATACGTGTTCACACATACAGCAATACTGTATACTGTTATACAATATTCTATGATTCCATCAACCCACCTGGCCTATTTAAATGAAATTTTCTACAGAGGTGAATGAGTGTTGCAACCCTTTCTCTTCTCCCAGCTGCAGATAAGGTAGGCCATAAAATTAACATATCCAGTTAGCCTTGCACAATGTGAACAATATTATTTGACTTAATACATGCTTTACTGCGCAATCAAAAGGAGTCAATGTGAGAAAGAACAGCACTATCAAGTAATGACAACCCTCACCCCCATTGCCAAAGATTGCTTATTAGAAGAGACAGCTGAAATCTATATGAAATTTTCCAGTTACTGCACCAGAAAACATATATTTCAGCTTCAGGAATGAGAATTGTATTTCTATAGATTTTCTCTGCATTTTAAACCTTCTTTACAACCTCTTAATGGACCTCTGCTTGGAAAATATCAGAACTTGACCAGGCATTTTGCTCTGTTTTTTGTATCTTTGGAGAATGTAAAAAGGCATCATTTCTGCAGAAAAATGGAGGCAGTGGGGTTATCTGAAACATCTCTTTCACCACAGGAAAAGAGACTAGAATATTTCTGAAGATTACTCATTGACCACTTAAAATATAGAGAGAGCAATCTAAACTATGCAAGATATTGCTCTGCCCAACAGGAGAGAAAGTCAGTGCCACAATCAGGACAAATTTGCATGAAATAGTGACACGGAACATCTAGATTAAAACAAAACGTGTAAGTACAGTTTTTACTGGACCAAATCAGGCTAATGTCATACGCAGTCTTTCAAGCATTACAGACCATCTTCCACAAGCATGAGAAGCAGCGTGAGGCTTAAGAGTACATGAAATACAATGCATGTAAGATCTGCACAGATATGGTGAAAAATGAATGTCAACAAAGCAGAGATCGGCTGCAATCACCATAAACCAGGTTAAGCAAAACAACTTTACCCCTTCCCTCCAGCATCAGCGCATGCTCATGCTCTGCCCATGCGTCCCCTCACTCTCCCGCCCTGGGCACAAAACTCGCGCATGCGTTCCCACAAACCACGGTCCCACGCGTACGTCACCGCCTCCCCTCAGCTCCGAGCGCAAGAAAGCGGATCTCCCGCAGGACGGGAGGGCCGCAACTGTCGCACGACCACACGGCTCCCACCCGCCAGGCTGCCGCTCCGGGACTCCCGTTACCACTCACCTCATAGTACTTCATGGCTCCGCGCTCCCTGTCGCCCGCCGCTACCACAGCCTGGCACCCTTCCTCCTCACGTGATCCTCCAACCTCATTGAAGGGGGCGCGACACGAGAAACAAGACGGCGAATCACAGGAATCCGGTCTCGGGCGACCAGCCAATCAGAGAAAAAATGCCGCCCCTCTCACCTACGGACCCGCCCCAAACGTCCCTATGGAAACCCATAGCGCGTGACAACGCTCTATCCAACCAACAAGCAAGGTGGTAGGAATGGCAGGTTGCTGAAGCAATCGTAACATCGCAGAAGAGGGCACGAGCCAATCAGAAAGTCCACACAGGTATAAAAGACGATTACGATGCTGCCGCAGGTGATAAAAGTGTGAGGGTGCTGTCGTAATTGACCCTGGGCGGAGCTTACTGGAATCTCTGCTCGCAAGTTGGATGTGGCTTCGTAGGGCCAAGGCGCCCAGGACGGGGAAGATGCTTTGCGATTCGTCAGTTGAGCAAGCAAAACCTTGCACGAGGCGAGTTGCTCAGAATCACCACAGCAACCCCGTGAGTGGGCGGGGCAGGCCAGACCCAAGTTGCACTCGGATATTACATGTCTAATATTCTAGAGTAAGTCGCATTAAAACGAACAGAGGTTCCGTCAGAGGAGGAACAGGTAGCCCTGCCTTGGCAACAATCCTATGCACGTTTACTATGGAGTTAGCCCAATAGAAATGGCTGGGTGACTGGAATGCTGCGATTAGAAGGACTTCCAGGTGTGTATGGCTATGTAACATTGCACCTGAGTATTTTTCTCCTGCTTTTCTGATAAATATAAAAATCCCAATTAGTTTATAGTTAATCTATAAAACAAGACACTGTTGGCCTACAAGCTTACAATTTAAAAAGACACAATGCACAAGGAAAGGGGAATATGGAGAGAAGGTGAAAAAACAGATTTTCGGCAGTATTGATGGAATGGCTATGCTTTGCTTTTTCTCTAGCCATTTGACTGCATTATTTATTGAATTCTGAATAAACTTGCAATGGATAATTCTAAAAGTAATTTGTGTTGCTTTAGCTGACTAGAGAAACAGGCTGTTGTAGCTTTGGTTTGAACTGCATTAAGCTACTACCTGAAAACTGTGAAATGTGATTAACAACCTGATCCTAATTATGTTTGTTCTCCCAAGAGTCAATGATACCCATTCCCAGGTACACAAATATAGAATTGCAATCTGAAACTTCTGAAAATGGGGAAATGTTTTTCCTATCAGAGGGAAGTGGCAGGAACTTAGGAGTGCTTGCCTATCCTGTCTTCATAGAATAGTAGAGTTGAAAGGGGCCCGGAAGGTCATCAGGTCCAACCCCCTGCTGTTGCAGGCCACCACATCACACCATCTCACTGAGATGGCTGTCCAGTTTCTTTTGGAATGTCTCTAGTGTGGGAGAGCCCACCACCTTGTCTTGAATACTGGACAAAAACTGGACAGAACTGATAAAATGTCTAAGGGTACAGTTTTGCACTATAGACAGCTTCACTTCTCTAATTTCTATCCATTTGTTGTTTGGCTGTTGTAGGACCTGAAACAAGACTTGAATTGTTGAATGGCCTAGTAAGATTGAAACATGATGGGCTAGAAGTTTTTTTGTAACCTATTGTTCCATTAAAAAAAAGTAAACTGTGTAAACATTTTTTACAAGCACTAATAGTAATGCATTATGTATGCCCACTGAGGATACAGCAAATGAAAACAAGATAAAAATTATTCTCCAGCTATTTAATGAAAACTCTCTCAATGTAGCAAGCCAAATATACACTGAAGCAGAGAACTTTCTGCTTCTGGGAAGAAACTTCTTCACAAGGGGGAGAGGGAGCAAGATAACCCTTGCTAAATAGGAAATCCCAGAGCTTAGGTGCATCCAGGAGCTTCTCACCACCTTTTTGACATGGATGCCCTAACCATTCCTTTGGTAGAACTCCTCTAATGGCTTTCCTCTCTCACAGTTGTGTAACACAACTGTAAATCATTTGGTGATTAACTGCATCTTGCGGTTTCAGGAAAAAGTCTATACTCTTATAGTACATGCAAGCAGGAACAGGCACAAATGTACCAGATCTTCCCAGTGATTCATCTGCACTCTGAGCTGGAAGTAGGCCAGTAGTGCTTTGTGTGTTCCTCCAAGGGTAATCCCTAAATTAGTAAGCATCGGGGTATTTTCTTTCTTACAGTTGGTCTCCATGTATTTTAATATTAACTTTTTAATGGGTTAACGAAACTGAGATCACCTGTAGTGGTTTGAGTTCCCATAAGATGCCACTTTGCTGTTATCATTCTGTTATATAGCTACATTATACTATTGTTTCTGAATGAGTTGTTGGCTGCTTGCCAGAGTAGATCAGGAAAGGACTAGTTCTGCTGAAACAAGTGAAGTGTTAGGGTGACAGGAAGGCAAAGTAACCAGGTCAGAATCACACAGTAGAGACACATAGTTGGCTCCACAAAGTGGAAGTGCATCAGTCCCATTTCCCCCTGCCAAACAACTACCACCAAACCTTCCCTTGCCTCCAGGTATCCAAACCACCTCTTCATCATTTCACCCAGGCTCTACAAATGTTCCTCCTATTAGCTGCAATGGCTAAATGAAATCACCATGATTTGAAGCAGGCTGTTATTTCCAAATACCAAGGCAGGGACAACACGAAGGTGAATGTTCGTTTTGCAGTGCCCTGCTTTCCAGAGACCTTTGACTAGTTACTGTTGGAAATAAATTAACATGCTAAATGGATGTAAGTGATTTTCCTGAGACTACAGTATACCAGAGATAGGGTCTCAGTCCCAACCAGCAAACCACTCTTTTGATCTCACATTTGCCAACAGCAATTTTACAGAAGGCAGGCTAATGAGGCTGAGAGAAATGTAATTTGCCCAAGGACAGAAAGGGAATATCAAAAAGTGACTATCAGGCAGGATCAGATTATTCCTCCTCATTTAATTTATCTTCAGATGAGCAGACTCCCTTAATCCTAGTCCAGATTTTCCCTAAATAATTACATTAATCCTCATTCTTTTAATACAAATTTGCCCAAAACCATTTCAGATATTATTGTATTAATATAACACAGTGACCAACATTTTCTAACCACTGTGCATATGTTGAAAAATAAGAAAGTCCCTGCCTGCAGGATCACTATGGAATAGACACAGTACAGAACGAAAAAGGAATAGGGTGGGAAGAGGAAAGCAAACACTGGAGTATGAGCTTCTCATCTGGTTGATGGAAAGGGCCAGGTTGGTTTCCCTTTGCCATGATGACCAGACCAGCTTGGTGCCAGTAAATTACCTTTCCCTTCTCTTCCACACAGAGATCCCCAAGTGGCACTTCTACTGGTTAGCAAGGGAACCTTGTACCAACATACTTAGAAACAACATTTTAAGGGTTGATAAAATGAGGTGTGCTAAGCTCTTAGGTCTAATGAATCAGAGGCCTGTGGACACTTGCACATCTGATGAACAAAACTTGGCACACAAGTGCACCTAGAATAGCCGCAAACACAGAGCAAGCCAAACCTTGCGGGGATGGAGTGTAGGTGTGTTGGAGTTTACCCTTGAAAGTCTCAGGTCAGAAGAGCAATTTGATTTATTAGATTTATATCCTGCTTTTTTCTCTTTTAAAGAACTAAGAGTGGCTTACATCATTCTCCTGCTGCTACTCAAAATCCTATCTCCACCACAACAACCCTGTGAGGTAGGTTGGGCTGAGAGTCTGATTGGCCCAAAGTTACCCAGTTGGCTCCATAGCTGAGCAGGGACTAGAACTCAGATCACTGAAGTCCCAGTCTCACATTCTCAACCAGTACACCACACTTTCTACTGACAACCAAGACTATATTTATGTTTGCAGAATGCAAGACATAGTTAACTAGCATTCATGGATATAACATGGATGATAGTGAAAAGGAAGACAAATTGGGAAGGAATGTCATTCTGCTAGAGCAAGCACACACATACAAACAGGAACACATCAAAAAGAAATGAGAAGGAGGGCATCAGGATTACAGAGCAAAAGCCTGTGAGCACTTAAGGAAGGAGTCTCATTAATTTGAGCTCCTTTGCCTAATCCTCTTTCCTCAGTAAATGTCCTTCATATGTTCTGTACAGCTCGCAAGGCTATTTCAAGCACAGGTTCTATTAATATAGTTACTGGAAAGACATGTAGGCAAATGAACAATGGCAAGAAATAACTAAAAAATTCAAAACTTTCTCAGGTAAAGAATTACATTGTGTAATTTCTCTTCCAAAAGAGAAATATTTTTTTCCAGGAAAATATTCCAAATTAAATAGAATTTGAATCTCCTTTACATTAATAGCTGGACTGCTAGTAAACAAAGATACTTATTCCTAAATGGCCAATGTTAGAAGAATGACAGAATCCCAAAAGCTAAAAGGCCCAGATTATTCCCTATATTCCCAGATTCTCTTAAATTACTGTGTGACCTCAGTTGCAAAGAGTGAAAAGCTTCCTTCAGCCATATGGATTACATCTAGGAAAAACATCAGCTTGCAGTGCTAAAACATCCATAGGATAACAGTGAAGCATGCCCACGGTTAAGATATTTTAAAGGTTAAAAAGGCAAGCTGATTGCAATGGAGAAGCAGTCTGCCTTTGCTGCCAAGTGGCCAGCTGTGGGGGCAGGGGGGAATCTGCTTCTCCAACTGTATGCATTCTTTCCCCCGCCTAAGTACATTACGGCTGGCTTGGATTGTGGTCTGGTATTTCATGATGAAGGCCATTATGAAACACTATTATGGTGCTGGGGTGTGGGGGCAATAAGAGTACTTCACCACATACACGTAACCTCTCTTGATTAGAATTCAAGTGTTTCCATATGACTTCAAAAATACTTAAGGCAGTAGTCTTGCGCACACCTGCTTGGGACTAAACCTCACTGAATACTGAGGCGGGACCATAGCTCCATGGAAGAACACATGCTTCACATACTGAAAGACACTGTTTCAGTCACTCGCACTTCCAGTTCGAAAGGCATACAGCAGCTAATACTGGCTCAGAGATACATTGACTTGCATGGGATTGAATGCCATCTTATATAGGATACTCTTCTGGCAAGGTGGACCTACCATTTGGAACTTATTCTCAGTTTACTTCTTGCTTGTGAAGGAGCACATGCACATTTATATCACAAGAAATGAGTGCCTTGGCATGTTTTATCTCCCGAAACTTTAGAGAAGCTGTAGAAATGTCATCCACATGGGAGAATTCTGCTTCTTTGCTTTAAGCGTTTTCCTCTCTTTCTATTGCCAAAGTCAGAAGTTGTGTAATATATGCTGGTGCTTGTTTTGTCTGAGCATGTTGAATATCTTGGAAGGCATATACTATCTTTTGCTATACTAACTCCTAAGTGGATTGTGCTTTATCAGCATTTAGCCATGCAAGGGTGTAACCCATGGAATTTAGACTGTTGCTTAATGTTTGTTTAGGGGAAATGCAGCTGCATGTGTTTTAACTATACATCACGTGATTTATGCTTCCCCTTTGTTCCAAAGGTTTTGCCTAAGGTACAAAGCAACCTGTTTTTTATTTAATATCATGCATGTTGTACTTATGCAACATAAAATGCTGCACAAATATGTAATAATGACAAGCTCTGTGCAGAGTATTGTTGTTTCTTGATTTATTTTTAATGACTGTAGTTTATTCTTTGCCCATGATAACTTTTTTTATTCTCTCCTTCAAAATGAGGGTAAATACACATTAATGATTCAACACCCAGGATTTCCTCCTGATACACCCACTTCAAAGCCTGATACTAGAATGATCAGCACATTGTTCATGCAAGAAGTATGAGATTATTTCCCAGCAACCACTTCTCCATTACTAAATTGTTGCCATCTCCACCATAACACAGAAAAAATGCAGCAAACACAGAGAAATACAAAAGAGAGTGAAGACTATCATTCTGTCACAACAACTGCTTTTGCTTGAAACTCAAGCAGCAGGAGCTTCATTTCAATTATCCGCTACCTTATGGATATCCTCAGAGTAAGGAGGCATACAGGGATATAACCTCCTGCTTCCTTATTTCAAAACAAACCAGTCAGGTAAGTTAAATTGAGAAATGTCCATTATTCCCATGTTTTCCTCATACGCTTTAAACTGTGCTATAATCTGAACACAGGTCTCACGAGGCCATTATTCTATCTACTGTATCACAGGTAGGCACCTTAGTGCCTTTTGATATTTTGGACTACAATTCCCAGAATCCCTGACTATGCTATTTAAAGAGGTATTTAAACATGGTATTTAAAGAATCATTGATACTTCAGCCAAATAGATGGCTCCATCTGCTGTTCACAAGCACTCCTGGCTAACCAGGGCTCCATTAGTCTATCTTGCACCTAGTATTTTAGGAGACATGCTGAGACTTGTTACACCACATGAATGGACTCCAAAATAATATTAACTGATATGGGTCACTGCCTTTAACAGGTCTGTACAGTCTTGATTTTTAAATTAAAATATAACCTAGTGAGCTGGACAATGACTGCATTTTCCCTGCATCATTTTCAGCACCACACCCAAATGACTCAACCCTACTAATGGGTTTTCAGAATTAAAATGTTCCACTTTTAATAATTGCTTTCAACTCTCTCTTGCAGTTCTCAACTCATATATAGTTACATATGTGACACTGAGTAATGTAAATAGGAAACATAAGACACAAAGAGGCTAAGGTCAAACAGAGTGAGATTCATTGAAAGAGCTCAACAGAAGCTAGAATTAGGAATCCTAGTACAATATAAATTTAGCATCGGCTCCTGTATTTTCCTTCTCTCTTAACTTTAAGCCTAAGAATAGAACCCCCAAATCCCATTAACTGAACACATTTCTAAAAGAAGAAGGAAGAGACCTAGTAGAATGTTGTTTTAAAAACAAAGTCCTGTTTTAAATATGATGTAATAAGCTGCATCATATTTAGAACAATCCAGAAACACAAGAAATTAGCAAATTAACAAATGCCAACAGTATGTTAAGAATGCAGTGTCTCTAAGATAATTTTCAGAGTGCCAGTGGGAATTGTTGTACTTACATTTAATAAATTGTTGAAAATGGGAGGGGAGTTACAGATATGTCTTGCTTGGATTTATAATAAGCTCATAAAAATAAAGATATCTGAAAAGCAATCCTATGGTTTCTGGGAAAACATCCTGGGGATTCTGCTTCCTGAGGCTGGAGATAGTGCTCCTCCATCAGAAAGGGGAGACAGAGCTCCAACGCCCACCCCTTCCCCCTCTGAGCTGTGTGGAAATAGCTGTAAAGGCTACCCGCTGAGGTCAGAAAAACTATCTTGGAGGAGGAAAGGGACAGAAGAAGGAAGGAGCCTGGACAGGCCAGAGTATGAGATCCTGAGCCTCTAGAAGAGGCTCTAGGTTCCTCTCTTTCCCTGCAGAAGTGTCCTCATTAGAATGCTAAAACATCTATTTAGTTAAATTTGCAGGACAGGAGAACCGAGAGGTGAAGACGATGCCCTCTGCTACTCCTCTTACAGTGCACTGGATGATCAGTTGTCTTGGAGTTTGAGGGTTTCTGATCACAGAGAGCGCAAGTGATAGGATTGGGCCCCTGGATGCAATCCCATCCTTCACATCAGCCCAATGTCGTCCCTACTCTTTATTCCTTCAAAGTCTCCTGATGCAAGTTCTTGAGAAGGAACAGTGAGTATTAGAAGAGGTTACTTCCTGCTAAACCTGTGATTAGCAGCAGAGCCTGTCTTACTACCAGAACAGTGTTCTTTACTGTGTCAGGATTGCTGATGCATAAACCAAAACTGTCACACTTGGACTTATGACTGATTCAGACATAACAGGAAACAGTGGTTTCCTATTATATAAATGAGCCTACATGAGCCTTGTGCTCACATGCTTCCTCTGTCTCTCCATTTTGTGCAGTGGAAGCTTCCCACAGTTCCCATAGCTTCCCACAGTTCCCTGTGATGTCTGAGCTTGGGGGACAGTGACTTGTTTAAACAAAGGCTAATGAGAATATGCCAAGATCAAACTGTGATTTCAGATCCTATCTCAGGGAGCTAGTATCCCTCTGACTGAGTAAACCTTTTCTCATGAGTAGCTCTGTACTCCTGAGTAGGCCCCTGGCCTTCTGACATCCAAACGGGCACGTTTCTGGCAATTCTGAGTGTCCCGCTGGTTTTGCTGCCACCTTTGTGCTGAAGAAGCAGAAGACAAGGGAGAAGAGTTAGATCACAGCAAGGCTTGGAACAGGATCAAAGGTGTTACTGGAACCACAGCGAGGCACCCCAGTGACTGCATTCCTCAGGGTGCCTTTGGTCTGCAGCAGGTCTGCCCAGTCTTCTGTGAAACAAGGAGATTCTATTTTCAACCTTCTCCTTTTGAAGAGGTCTCTCCCACAGCTGGGTCAGAGAGGATCCTGGCTTGTTCCCAAACCATAGCTTAAATTAAAAAAATGAAAGCTTTGTTAGGAGTGGCTTCACAATCAGCTTTTTCCAGTGCTTTTTTTTTCATAGAATGCACCGGAACGGAGTTCCGGCACCTTTTTTTGACAGATTTTCCGAGTTTCAAAAGTCACTTTTGAAAATTTGATGTTTGGTCCACGTGGACTTGAATTCCCCTGTTGAGTGTAGCAGGTGGGCGGCAAAATCATTAAAACGGTGCAAGCGGGCTGCTTGAGTATTGAATCCGATGCATGTGTACTTCGTCTGCGCTGGTTGTGATGGCGCTGCTTGACTTATGATTAGTCATGTGGTCGCACGCTGAGAGCTTACTGCAGGCGGCGACCATTATGTTTCATTACACAACTGACATGTGTGGGTATGTGTTCAGTGATTGACTACATGCAAAAGGTAAATAATTTCATGAGTTCCGGCACCATTTTTCTTACAAAAAAAGCACTGGCTTTTTCAAGTCAGTTAGGGGCTGTTCCCAATTTCAAGAAGTATCAACTACCTTTTGCGCCCAGTCAGCCACTCCCCTCCAAATATTGATGCTAAATACCAAAATGGTTGAGAGTAAAATCCACACTAGTAAGTTGAATAGCATGTTGAGGATATCACATCTGAAAGTGCTATAAACAATTGTGAAAAGATAGTGTGAACAGGACATCCTGCCATTACACTATATCTAACCTAGTGTTAGAGGTGTGAATGATTTTACCAGCAAAAGTCTTCACAAATGAGTCATGACAGCTCAAAAAGATGGATCTTTATATGCAGGAGTTTACCAACTGCAAAAGCTCTGATGGACAAAAGCAGATGAATTAATGATGATAAAATAATTTCACTGTTAGTACTGCTACTAGTCATATTTAATAATTTGTGGTTTAGGACAGAGTGTCTCAAATGCTTTTAAGTTTGGATAACAATTTCTGAATTTACTGATTCTACTGTGAAACACATAGCAACCTATAGTCAGCCATCAATGGGAAGTAACAGGACCTGTCTGGCTGCCCACAAAATCAATTTGGAAAATTTAATTAATTTGTTATGCCACCCAACATCTGAGGCTCTATAGTCACGTTCACAACAGCACACTAAAAATACAGTATAAAATACATCATATTAAAACATCATTAAAAACTTGCCATACAAAATTAACAGAGTACCTCCTTCCCCATGCTGCTGTTTAGATCTGATAGAGACAGAAGAGACACAAAAATGAGATTTTTAAAACAAAAATGTTTTGAACATGCAAATAAACCTGGAAGATAATGTCTTAAAAGAGAAATGGAAAGGAGATCTCTAATAGGATAGGAAAAGTCAATGAAATTTCATACATGGAAAAGGAAATTCATGAGCAGTTCACTAGGGTTTTTTTCCAAATTTATACACAAAAATACCAACTTCAGAAGATGGAATGGAGCAGTATATAGAAGAAACATCTCTTGAAAAACTTACATCCAATCACAGGACAATACTGAATGATATTGTCACTATTCAAGAATTATCACAAGCTATCAGAATTTTTTTTAAAAGTGCACTCAGACCAGATGGATTCTCTGCTATGTACTACAAATGCCTAGACTCTAGAGAAAAAATTAATACAGTGGTACCTTGACTCACAAACACCTCAGCTCATGACCAAATTGGGTCGCAAACAAGAATTTCTGAAAACTTTTGCCTCAGGTTGCGAACTCTGCATCAGGTGACGATCGTGATCACGCCTGTCTCCCCCGCACCAGTGTGCTCATCTATGACTGCGATCACGGGCGCACTCAAGCAGGGATCACGGGCGCGATCGCAGTCATGCTGGGGGGATGACCATGATCTTTGTTGTACTTTGTCACTTTGCTCCAAATTTTTGTGATCAAAAAAATAGCTACAGAATGGATTAACTTTATTTAAATTGAACCTTATGGGGAAATTTGACTTGGCTCATGACCAATTTGAGTCATGACCAGAGTCCTGGAACAGCTTAAGTTCGTGAGTCAAGGTTCTACTGTATTACCACTTCAGCAAACAAGTAATGAATGAGAATGAATGAATGAATGAAGAGAACTACTACTGCCAACATGGCAAGAAGCCCATATAACACTGATGTACAAAGAAGGCAGTGACCCCACCATGCCACATTCTTACTGACCACATCATTATGAAATGTGGATTACATACTTTTTACTTCAATCATGGAAAAAGACTAAGAAAATGTATAAAATAGCAGGTTTATACAGACCAGACTGGGTTTGCCCCAAAAAGACTTATGAAAGATAATGTTTTGTATGTGGTTAATGTAATGGAATTGGTCAAGAAGAAGAAGATGACAGCAGCATTTACTTTTCTAGATGCTTTTGACTACATCGTAAAATATTATTGATGATTTATAATTGATTCAAAGTGACTGGAAAATTCATTAGTTTAGAGAGCTATAATTATGTTTTTTGGGAACCTCAACAAATTACAAATTGACAGACAGATAGGATTTTTTTGCTTTTATGGGAATTTGCAGCTTATGAATATATGGGTTATATTTGTGTAAGATCCTTGGGCATTTTTCTTTTTCTTTTACATTTTTCTTCCTTTCTGTACTTCCTTTTTTCCAGAAAGCAATAAAAAAAGAAAAAGGTATACCAATACTTTATTTCTTTCAGTATAGACTTACTCTTTTTTACTTGGGATTTTTTTTTTCTTGTCCTCTGTTCTTCCTGCTGTCACTTGCCAGGATGTGCACCATCTGAAACCATGCAAGTCTGTGGGACATACTGGGGCAGAGCTAGCCCACACCTTTATAATATGATCTCGTGAACTGGCAACAGGAAGAGACCAGCTGGTTCTATTTGTGCCACATAATCTGCATGCATAACTGAGACTGCTGTTGCAGGTCTCAGATCAATTTATACCCAGTCCTAAATAATGTATTTATTTTATACATTTGTTTCAAAGAAAATGGAAGGAGCATACACATGATTCCAGTGCAACTCAGAATTCAAATTGTTCTTACTTTCTCTTTGACTTACCTGTTCTTAGTACTGGCATTTTAGAACAAGATAAACTGACAATAGAATAGAAACATGCTAAAACTCCATAATTATTATCATTCAGCATTGTTAGGTCTATTTCCTTTAAACACTGACAGCTGCTTACTTTCTCAGAGGATGTAGAGACTATAGAACATAGAATGTGGCCAGCTAGCTTAGAATGATAGGAGTTGGAACATATCCAAAGGCTGCTATAGAATCTCAGGGACCTACCAAGATAGATAGATAGATCCCTCCCTCCCTCCGTCCCTCCCATAGTACAAATAAGAGCCAGTGTGGTGGTGTGGTTAAGAGTGCAGGACTGGGACTCAGGATATCTGCGTTCTAATCTCCATTCTCCCATAGACCTAACTGGGCGACTTTGAACCAGTCACAGACTCTCAACCCAACCTAGAACAAAAAACAAACAAACTCTGCATTAAAATATGCCATCCAAAACATAATTTTATTGGAGAAACTATTCAGGAAAGTTGAAGTGCATTGTTGTATAATTTGTTATAGCTCACAGAAAAATAATATTACATGGAGATACATAGAGAGCACTGGGGAGATTGCCAGACCCAAAAAGTGTGCCTTTTTTCCCCAAACTAATTCCAATATTCAACTTAGAGTATACACAACTTAGGTTCTAGACAAATAGTATCTAAGAGACTTATCCAAAGGAAAATGGCCAAGTAGATAGACTTCAACATTTATAACTTTGCTATAGCCTGAAGTGCCTGATCCTGCTTAATTTTGGAAGCTAAGCAGGGCTAGGCCTGGTTGAAATCTGGGTGGGTGACTTAATGTTGTGAACCACCCAGAGAGCTTTGGTTATGGGCAGTATAGAAATATTAGTAATAATAATAATGTTTCTATGACCTAACCAAGCAAACATTTTTCCCTTGAATTTATGCATTAAGCATAAAATCATACCATTTTATAAGACAGTAGTTTCATCTACATATTACTGTCATACACCTAATAACAGAAAGCAGTTATATGTCCATTTGTTAGTTTTTCAGACATGCTACAAAACTTGTCTCCTTTTTCGTTCCCCCTTAATGAGAAATGAAAATGACTGAATTATCCTAGAAAGTTCTCTTAGGCTGGGAGTGGGTACTACTGAGCTCACTGGGACTTGTTCCAAGAAGATCTGCACAGAATTTCACCATGAGCTGTCAAATCTCCTTGTTCAAGTGTCTAGTCTCAAGGATGGTTGTTCCACTGCTTTCCCGAAATATCTTTCAGGAATCCTTTTGTTTTATTTTATTTTGTTTTTCTTGTGCTTGATGTGTCATACACCTAGTAACTGTGATTCACACTACTGGGTGATTTCCAGATGAACTATATAGGAATTGCTTGGTTTAAGCCTTGCCCTTTTGGAAAGGCTCTTGTTTCTAATGACAATGTAATTAGGGCTCAGCACTCTCTGTTTCTATACTGAGTTTTTATTCTACTTATATCTGTCAGGACATGTAACCAAGTGCTTTAGCTCATATACATTCTATTACTCAGCGCTAGGCAATCTTTTCAGGTTTGTGGCCACATTTGTAATTGTTGCAAGGATCCAGAGTACAAGTTCAATAGGCATTTTTTCAGGATTTCCTGTTCTTGTTCCTCCTGTTTCCTGGGTTTCCTTATTCCATCCTGAGTTCTCATTTAGCCTGTTCTGTCCTGCTAGATCAGGGTGGGTATTTTTATTGTTGCTATATTTTTAAAAATTGGTTTTTTTCCTTCTTCATATTCTTTGTCTTGCTGTCACCTATAATCAGCTAAATAGATGCCTGGTACTGGTTCCCAACAAAATTAAGTCACATGTATGAACAAGTTATTTAACAAGGTAATTTGACAATAATCATTGAATGACTCTTAAGGTATTTATATTTCTGTTTTCTCTAAAGATTGACAAATGTACAATTTTGGATTTGTTGATCACATCCCAAATGGAGAAACTTTCAATAAAGCAACCCAGAATGGAACAGACTGAAATCTGCTGCCTGTTCATTTATAATTTAGGAGAAGTGAAAGGAGAGTATAACAGGTGTAGCTGGCTGAGTGTTTCTCCTTTTCTGTCCACTTGGCTGGGATAGGGAGTGGCCGAAGCTGAGGGCTAGATGAGTGAGACTACTGTGATTATTCAGCCTTCAGCTGCTTTGTAATGTGAAGTGTATGTGAGAACAATAAGGCACATAGAAAAAGTAAGGATATTTCCTTGATGTGTAAACATGACCTGTTCAATGAAACAATGAACTTGTGAAAAGATATATCAAAACACAAGAACATGGGGCTTGACCAATACATGGCCCACAGACAGCATCTAGCCACCAAGGCCTTTTTTCTGTGGCTGTCTTGCCGCTTAAAGTCTGGATTCCAGCAATGGCGGGGGCATGATTGCGATGAACTCTCCTGAGGCCTCTAGCCTGTCCCTCTTTCTTCCTGAGGCTCAGAAAGAGAATGGGTTAGGCTGACAGCCTCAAGAGAACTTGCCCCAGCACGCCCTGCGCTACACAAGCTGGCGAGCACAAAGGCATCCAGGAGCTGAGGATCTTTACGCTCGTCCGCAGGAGCAGGCAGGGCATGCTAGGGAGAGTTTGTTGGATCAGAGGCTCAGTGCGCCAATTCCAAGAAGGAAGAGGGGCCGGGGGCACACTGGGTGGAAAAAACAGGGAAGAAAGGGATGGGCCACCCCAGAGAAGCAGTCACTGGGCTTGGGGTGTGGTTAGAGAAGGAAAACTCACAAAGTGTTCTTTTTCATTCAGTTAGTCCTAAAATCATCTTAAAATTAAGCAGCTGCCACAAGTGAGCCCAGGTTGCAGAGGCCTATAAAGCAATCAGTTGATTAACCAGTGCCAGAAACAGTAACAAGTTCCAGAAAATTCTGATCAGCACAGAAGGACCAACCTGTAATCTCTTATTGAAGACAACTTTATTATTGGCACAAAATACCAGTGCTCAAGAACAAACTGTAGTCTTGTCATACTGAACCATGAGGTCATTACTTCATTTCCAGTTCTAAACAATAAGTGCTATAGTTAGATTATTTCCATGTTGAAAAACACCACATTTTATTGTTATTTGTCCCAGTGCCATGAGTGGGAAGGGAAAGAGGTTGGTTCAAAGATGAGAAACATCGTTTTCAGGATTGCTGAACACTGCACGATCTTTTTGTGCGATCTAGCAACAAGGCACAATGTCATGAGTGCATGCAGGTAGTCAGTGTGCTCCAACAGTACAATATCAATTGTCATTATGTAGCGAATCATGTGTCAAAGTGTTATAATGTAAAAAATGAAGCAAGAGAAACCCTTGTTAAGGAACTAATGAGGAAATTCGCTTATCAGACGTAATTCTTTCCGAAATGGATCTCTGACCAGATATTTGCTTGCCAAGCACCATTTGTTCTGGCAAAATCAATTGAGCAACATCTGAAAGCATTTAACAATGGTGAATTAATGAAATCCTGTGCCATATGTATGACCAAAGCCTTTCAGGATAAAAAAGAGCAAAGCATTTCGAACTGGTGTCCTTTTCACATCAAGCAGTATCATGTCGGGTACAGTTTTTATCTGAGAATGTGTTGGACAAGTTGCATGAGAAATTGTCGAACACAGAATATATTTCAATTGCTGTGGATGAGAGCAGTGACGTGATGGGCACTGCACAGCTCATAATAATCCTCCGGGGCATGCGCAGTGATTTCACTGTGTTTGAGGAGCTACTAGCCATGGCTTCTTTTCATGGAACAACAGCAGGAGATGAAATCTACAAAGATGTTGTAACTGTACCCAATAAAATTGGAAGTCTGGAAAAGCTAAGTTCCGTACCAACAAATGGTTCATCATTGATGAAAGGGAAAACTTCAGGATTTGTGGGTTTGCTTCAGAAACATGGTGTCAAGTGTCCTTTCACTCACTGTATCATTCATCAGGAATCTCTTTGTGCCAACCAACTAAAACTGCAGGATGCCATGGAGATGGTCTTTAAGATCACAAATGTGATTTGAGGTGGAAATTGTTCACTCCTTCCTTCATGGAAAGCTAAAGGTTTTCTCAAAGAGGTTGATGTGGAGCTTAGAGACCTTCTCCTTCACTCTAATGTCTGCTGGCTTAGTCCAGAAAAATGTCTTGAATTTTTTTTTTTTTTTTTTTTTTTGCAGTCAGGAAAGAGTTGCATCTGTTCCTCACTGAAATGAACTGTGATGAGACTTTTCAGCAGAAGATGGTTGATACTGAGTTTATTGAACAACTAGTGTTTCTAACTGATATCACGAGCCACCTTAACATCCTCAATACATCTCTTCAGGTTACAAATCATGGCGTTTGTCAGATGTGCACTGCAATTGCTGGGTTTTAGCACAAGCTCTTTGCTTGTGAAGCAGTTTGAACATGGTGACTTTTTTCATTTTCCTGCTTGCAAGGAGGTGTATGATGAACTTGGAGATTCTGCGGATTTTAGCCCCTATCAACTTTACTTGGACATGCTGAAACATAATGTTGAAGTACAATTTCATGACTTCACTGAACTTCACTCCTCACTCGTGCTATTCAGAACAATCAACATTTCGAGTGTGGAACCCCACTGTCAGGTGGAACTTTATGAACTTCAGGTTGACCCATTTCTTCCACAGGTACAGAGTTCTTCAAATTGCTTTCACAGGAGCAGTTTGTATTGTTTCACAATTTCAGGCTTTGCATATTGTCAATGTTCGGCTCCACATACATCTATAAACAAGCTTTTTCAAACATGAACTTCATCAAGTCCAAAACTCAAAACAACTGAACAGGCAATTCACTCAAGAGTTTCCTGTGGATGTCAACAACACAACTCAAGGCAGACATCAATCAGCTTGTAACGCATTTTCAAGTTCAGACATCCCAATGAAGTTGCTAGGTGAACAAAAACCAGCATAGTTTTGCCTGTGACTCCAAACTGACCATTTCACTACATAACTATCTTTTCAGTCTGAACCTGTATCCCAGCACACAGACAGTTTTGTGTCTTTGAATTTGCACAGGAAGGCCAACTCTGAGACCTCAGTCATTTCTCCCTCATTTCTTCCTCCCTGTTTTCTGGCATACAATCCATTTTGTTTCTTCAAACTCACAGAAAAAAGCCAATTCTGAGACCTCATATTGGTTTTCTCCCTTGTTTAATGGTTAATTAAATATATTAATTGTGTATTTTAAATAAATATATTGCAAACACTTTATGATATGGAAATGTAATTCATTGTGCAACCCCCATATTCTATGTCAAAGTTCTCATGTGGCCCTCAAGGTACAAAAAGCTGGACTGCTCTGATCTAAAGTGTGAAGACTCCTCCGCAGAAGCACTATGGGTGAAAATGCTTGCTTCTAAAACTAACTAAGTCATAGGAGTATGCTATCATCTCCCAGACTGGAATGCTCAGGGTGATCTTGAGATGGGAAATGAAATCAGGGAGGCCTCCAACAAAGACAGATCAATTACCCACACTTTGACAGAATACATGCTTTGACTGGTTAAAAGTTCCAGTCTGACTGAGAGGTTGAATGTTTCAATGTCCTAAATGACTGTGCCCTAGAGCAAGTTGGTCATGGAACCAACCAGACAGGAGATTTAGTCCTAGGCAGGGTTGTCCAGGACATAGTACAGAATGTCCATGTTATTGAGCCAAAAGAGAACAATGATCATGGTATCAGATTTAATATAGTTAGGTGGAAAACTGCTAAAGAGGTCAAACACAGTTGCTTTTGACCTCAAAAGAGGCAACTCGTCAAAAATGAGGGAACTGATAAAGAAGTTGAAGAAGTGAATCAAGTTTAAATGGCTTCAAAGCACTTGGAGATTACTCAAAAGCTCTGTAACAGAGGCATGAATAATATGCATACCACAGGTGAGGAAAGGTAACACAAAGTCCAGGAAATCACCAGTGTGGTTAACTGATAGAGTCAAGGAAGCTATTAGGAAGCAGAAAGCTTCCTGGGGGGAAAAAAGGACATCTTGCCCAAATTGGGGGGAGTGGGGGAGACAGAAGCAGCCGTAAGCTTGCACAAGGAAGATGCAAGCAGACAATCAGAGAAGGAGGGAAACAGACTGAGGAGCATATTGCTAGCAACAGCAAGGCCAACAATAAAAAAAATTTAAATATATCAAAAGGAAGAAAACAGGTAAAGAGGCAGTTGGCCCATTGGACAATAATGGAATTAAAGGAGCACTAAAAGAGAAGGAGACACTAAAAGACAAGGAGATTGCAGAGAAGTTGAATGTTTTGGGGAGTTTTTTTAATCTGGTTTAAAAAAAAAAACCAGAGGATGCAGAGCAGATGCCTGTCCCTGACTATATGTATTCTGGAAGGAAGTCTGGGGAAATACAGGCCAGTTAGCTTAACATCTGTTCTGGATAAGCTGTTTGAAAGCATTATTAATGGTAGAATCAGTAAGCACATAGAGGGACAAGCCCTGCTAGAAAAAAGCAGCACGGTTTCTGCATGGGAAAGTCTTGTCTCACTAACCTACTGGAATTCTTTGCAAGTCTCAATAAGCCCACAAATGGGGACAATCAGTAGACATTATTTACTTGGATTTCCAAAAGGGTTTTGAGAAAGCCTCACTAAGCAGTCATGTAATAAAGAGACCTTTTTTTGGTGGATCACTAACTGGTTAAAGAACAGAAGACAAAGAGTAGGAATAAATGGTTTTTTTTCCCAATGGAGAGATGTAACCAGTGGAGTTCCAAAGCGTTCTGTACTAGGACCAATGCTTTTCAACCTATACATAAATGATCTAGAATTAGAAAAGCAGTGAAGTGGCCAGTTTTGTTGATGACAACAAATAATTTAGGTAAAACCAATGGGATTGTGGGGAGCTCTAAAAGGATCTCTTCAAGCTAAGCCAATGAACCTCAAAATGACAAATGCAATTCAAATGTGAGCAGGTGTTAAGTAATACATATTGAGGCAAACAATTGCAACTTCTAGTATAAAGTTGATGAAATCTAAACTAGTGGTGATTGAGCAAGAAAGGGATCTTGGGGCAATAGCGGGAAGCTCGATTAAAATGTTGTCCCAGTGTGCAGCTGCTGTGAAAAAGGCAAATGCCATGCTAGGCATAATTAGGAATGAAATAGAAAATAGGACTGCCAAGATTTTATTCCCCTTATACAACTCTTTGGTATGACCACACTTAGAATATTGTGTTCCATTCTGGTCACCTTCTGGACATTATTAGTTTGAAAAAGTACAGAGAAGAGCAATGAAAAAATGAACTGGAGCAACTCCCTTCCTTATGAGGAGTGATCACAACAATTGGGTCTGTTCAGCTTAGAAAAAAGGCAAGTAAGGGGAGACCTTATAGAGGTGTTTAAAATAACGCATGGCTTGGAGAAAATGGAGAAAGACATTTTTCTCCCTCTCCCATAACATTTGAACCCAGGGTCATTCCCTGAAGCTGACGGGTGGGTGGGGGGGAGGTTTAGGTCAGATAAAAAGAAGTACTACTTCACACAGCATATAGTTAAACTGTGGAATTTGTTGCCCCGGGAAATGGTGATGGACAGCAATCCGGATGGCTTTAAAAAGGAATTGGACAGATTTGTGATAAAGGAGGCTATCCGTGGCTACTAGCCCTGCTTTCCTCTGTAGTTCCATGTAGAAGCCATCTGTAGAAGCCATCCTGACCACCCTTCACCACGCTTGCTGGGCTCACACAAAATGACAAGCCATGGTGGTTTTCACTATTACTTATTGATATATGTGAACCCATCCAGTAAGTCCTTTGAGGAAGGGCTGGAATCTCATATGTTAGACAGAAAGAAGATGACAGCGTGGGACATAACAGCACTCTGTACAGAGGGGGCCCAGCTCTTGCACTTTACAGTTTGCTCAAGTAGTACTGCCTGATTCTGAGGAAGTGGAGCAGCAGAGTAGGGGAAGATGGCTTTGTAGCTTCAAGGTTACCCAGTGAAGATTCTCAGGCAGAGAAGCAGCTCACTTTGGAAAAGGAGGGGGACATGGCAGATTTGTGGGGAGAGGAGACAGAGGACGTTCCTTGACCCTGTCTGGAGACAACAGACAAAATGAGTGGACCAATTAAGAAGTGTCCTGCGTTCCAGCTGCCCAGCCCTCAGGCGCCATCCTGAGGGTGGAGTCAGAAGCTCTTCTGAAAGGGTTGGAGTATGACGCAGAATACTACTAGATCCAATATAAAGTCTTGGGGTCACAAACACTTTTTTTCATTCTGAGAACTGAACGTGTATTCCTTCCCTCTTCTCTTTTGCCTCGTTTGGTAACCAGTCGCTATTCCACAAGAGCACTCATTGTCTAATCTCATAAATGCCAAGCTTATTCAGGATTGTTTCCCAAGGGAATTTACCAAACGCTTTTATGAAATGAAAGCTGAATCATCTTTATCTGCATGATTATTAAAATTCTTAAAGGACTCCAAAAATTACCTTTGTAGGACTTCCTTTCCATGTTGATTTCCTCAGCAAGACTTCTTCTGCATATAATAATTCTACCTTTAATTATGTTTTTCTGCAATTTATCTTGGACAGACATTAGACTAACATGTCTGTAATTTTCTGGCTTAACCTCCACCCCATGAACAATACTATTGAAGCAATGCCAACAGTGTAGTATACAGCCAGTATATAATAGAAGGCTTTTTTGCTGCTTTCCCCTAAACGATATGTGTTATTCAGCACTGGAAACTGTGTACAAGCTTTAAAAAAACCACACACATAACTCTTTAAAGAGGGAGAGAGAGAAAAAAAAGAATATGGCACAAATAATGCTGCAGACCACGGGTATTTAAAATATGGCATGCATGCTCTACTTCTTGAATTGGGTAGTCCCTAGCCATTTTTTTTACCCCCCCCCATTTATTTTTTTACAAAAAAAATTACAATACATCACAACAATAATAATATAACAAAAACGCAATAATAAAAAGTAAATAATAAAGTGCCGCCACCCCGGAGACCAATGCTACCACCATTCACATACCATAACAATAAATTATATATAATATACTTCAATTATTTCCATATCCCCTCCAGAAGCTCATCTTGCCTGGGTTTACAGCCTTTGCCTTCTATCAATAGTGCTTTTACAAAAATTTCCCAGATTTCATTATATTTATTTGCTTTCATTAACCCTCTTTTAATTTTTATTTCTGTCATCAGTTCATCATTAATTACCATGTTCCATATTTCATTATACCATTCATGCCTTTGCAAAACCCAATTCTGTTTCCAATTCCCCAGCCTTCAAAAAGCATCACAGTACATAATTTTAACCCTGTTTTCGCTTTTAAAGAGCATAGTCCTCCCAATGCAACTTACTAACAAACTTTGCTGTGCAGAGTTCCAGACCCAGGGAACAGAGCTGAAGAGACCCACCCTTGCTCCAAGCTAAGCCTGCAGTCCTGATCAGCCTTTTTGCCCAACTCCTTGAAAGAGTCGTCGTTGCCCTGTTTTACTGTTTTGCTCAGCTTGGATTCAATTGCCTGCTAAGAGACTAGCAGAAGGCCTATTTGCTGCTTCCTTGGAGAAGCCATGGTTTGATATGTACTCAGTGCCTGCACTTGCCTGGGACAACGCCTGCATGCACTGAACTAATTCTTCTTTTCGGAAAACCATAAAGCCCAGAAGAGGAACTTAGTCTTTACAAGCATGAAGGGCCTCGATACACCTGGAGCTTGGATCATTATCCAGACTTTCCTTTACGTTCCTCAGGAGGGGACAAGTTCCCACTCTCACAGAGAAGATCCTCAAGATTCAGGGCCTCATCCAGATGAAAAAAGGAGTGGGCTGGATGTTTTATTTTAATTGCATATATTTGAAATCTTTATTTACCACTTTCCCGTGCATTCTTCTCAGAACAGTTTCATCTGCTATCAGCAGGCAGCAGGTATAATCAGCTAAGATGTATTGTACCAAGAGCATTAGACTCCATATAAAATTTACAATCTGAGCATATGAGAGAAGCCTGTCTATGATTTTATCAGATGCAAAGCACTCTGATTTGATACCATTTCAAAACAACAATAATAAAGTTGATAATACCAATGTCTCCAGTGTGTAGTGTAATACATTGTACAGGAGAGAAGACAATCAGAAGGCAATCTAATGAGCAACCAGCTTCTCCAGAGATGCAGAACTGGTTTTCCCTGACTTCAATTCTGGGGAGCAGATTACAGGAACAAAGTACAAATGTGCAGCTATAGCAGCATCACTTCTTGAAGTAGGTACGTTTGGACACACCCCAATATTTCATGAGGCACTTCCCAGGAAACCATCTGCAGGATTAATAGGGTGCCATTTCACCTATCAGTCTCTAGATATGGATCATCTACAAATGCCAAGAGACTTAGTAGACTCATTGGCATAACCAGGCTGAAAACAAGACTTGCAGAGGTCTGGAAAGCTGATGGCATCCATGGTGCATAGAGATTAGGAAATCTAATGCAGGGTAGGCATTTAACACAGAATGGATCGTTGCAGATTTAAGCCTGTCCTAAATCCTATTCTGTCTGAATGAGCCATTCATAACTCTAGGCAGCAGAGGATCACTTCTTTCCCAACTAACTTTCACAAGCCAGAATGGGCACCAGTTGAAGAATCCTCTCTGCATTGGCTGAAGTGAGAGCTTGAAACTAATCCAGCAGGGTGGGGTAACAGGACACGCCTGAACATGTGGTACCTTAAAATTGGGATGCACAGATAGAATTGAATGATTTTGTTTTTTTTCAGTGTACAGGGTTACAAATGAATCACAGGTGACTCAGTGCTCAGCTAGGCAGAACTTGGAATTAGTAGGCCATTCATTATCATGCTGAAACAATTCTGCTAGGTGAATCCTTGAAGATGAACAAGGATTTCTTGGCTACTTTCAGTGAGACAGTACACAAATGCATGCCTGCACATGCTTACTCAGAAGAATGTTTCCCTCTGTTTCCAAGTGAGTATATAGAGGATTGTAGTGATAATATTTTAAAAATCTATTATCAGAATAATTGTTTGTGCACAGCATGATTATACTTTAGAATAATGAATGCAGAAAGAAAGCAGTGATAGGCTTCTTTTAATGATTGTCCCTTTCACAGCTCCATCAAGCATACTCAACATTCCAGAATGCTGCAGCCCCAAAAGATAAGCACCACAACATCATAATGGTTCTCCATTCTGACAATGAGATCAGTTACTTCTTCCTCAGAACGGCTCTCTGACAGCAGAATATAGCTAGGAAACACATTCTGTTTTCTTGTCACAACATTAGCTTAGGAGGGCTGTTATTTTTCCAGTTAGACACCGATTGAAATAACTTCTAAAGCCATTGTTTTCTGAATTCACAGGTATAAATTGCAAACATAAAACAACAGTTCATATACTGCATTACACAATACACTACTATGTGGTTTTTATCGTAAGAACTACTCTGAGAATTTGGAGGAAGGACTGAAAGTAAGGTCAAACCATTTCAGCAGCAATGAAGGTTAACACTGTTGGATAATACAGACAGTTCATGCTTCCAAGCCTAAGATATGATACAGTATGTGTTGTATTAATGGGTTCTTCTCTTGTTCATCCCCCCTAGTTGTCCTGGATTGAATGTGGATTGGTTCCTGTCAAGTAACTTTATGCCCTGTCCCTGCCTTTTTAAAGTTCATGTACCCAGCTTTTGGGGGTGCTTGTAGTTGAACAGTGTTCAATATCCTTCCTCAATGAAGTGTATAAAAACACAAAGTAAATTGAACCGAACTACTTCTAAGCTCATCCTAACCTGTGTTTATTCTAATACTAAATGCTGTCTTGCCACACTTTTCACTGAATAAGACCACTCTGTTTTAAGTTACACCAGACTTTCCCCTTTTTCAAAACACTAGTACAATATCTAAAATAATTTCTTGCTTTGTTAATATAAAGACTGCCTAATTTCTCTCTGGGCTTGATTGGTAAAAGGAATGTGTGTGTTTTTCCCAGGACAGAAACACTTTCAACAGTAGGATGTTACATTTTTACAAATAGAAGAGCTAGCTTTTCCATTTTTGTTCTGGGCAACCTAAAGGCATGTCCAAAATGTAACCAGCACATGGCCTGCATCCCATCCTGGGACTCTGTTGTGACTTTATAATTTGGTTTTTTTTTTTTTTTTTTTTTTTTTGCTCTTCTAGCAACCCCTTTGCTTTTTTAATATGTTGAGCTGAAGAGATCTCAAAAGCTTACATTTTTTGTGATCCCTTGATTGTCCTGAGGAAAGATAGGTAATTGTTAATTTGGTTGCATCTATATTGCCAGTGCTGGGTCCAGGCTTTTGTAGGGCCCTTGGGCAAGACACCATTAGTGGGCCTCCTTCCTCAGCGAGTCATCTTCTCACACCCACATTGTTACAGCTCCCTGGCTCCCCTCCCATTGCTACTACTTGCTTGAGAAACAGAGCAAACAGACAATGCTATCTGCTGCTTCTCCTTGTCTAGGCCAGAACAAGAGGCTCTGGGGCTTCTGATCACACAGTCCCTGTTGGTTGCCCAACTATGCCTACCTTGACACCAGGTCCTGCCCTATGCAGCTTGAGTGCAGGTGGACAGGGACACATAAAATTGTGCCAAGGGTTGGTTATTTATTTATTTTTTTTTAAAACATTTCTATGCCGCCCCATTCACCGAAGCCTCGGGGCGGCTCACAACATGAAGTAAAATACAGAAATAACAATGTAAAAATAACAATATGAAAAATAACAATATAAAATAATAATACAAAGATTATATGAATCTTTGACTGCAGTAGTCACTGGCTGAATGAGACACATAAAACTGGCTAGTTGTTGACTAGTATGTTGTCAAGTAGTATCAGGAGGAACACTGCAGTTCTGCTTATTGTTCACACATTTGTTGTAGCAAATGGGCGTTTTGTGATTCAAAACTTCTTCTGCATAGCTGACCATTGTTAAAACCACCCGGGGAAACTAAATCTTAGGTTTTCCAAGCGTAGGATCAGCTAAAATGTAACCTATGAACATGCCTCTGCGGACTGGCTGGGTTAGTCAGACAACAGCAAACAAGGGGCGTGGCCTATGGGCAGCGCTCCTCCCTCTCACTCGAGCGCCAATGACTGCAGGGCTCCGACCCCGAGATCTTTTAATGGGAGAGTGGCAGCATCATCTCCTTCCAGCCGAAGCCCTTTGCTTCGCCTGGGTCAGCATCACAACCGTAGAACTCGGGAAGGCGAAAACCGTTGCTGACCCTGCGAACGCTTTTCGCCCCCGCAATTAAAGCAGGGGGCAAGATTCCAGCAACCGTTACTTCCCTACCAGGAGTGACGCACGCCGCAGCCTTATTGGCGAAGAGTACAAGCTGCTAGACTGTGATTGGCTGGAATAAAATATATGGGCGTGGCTGGAGCGGAGACTGTTGTGGTAAGCTCTGGAAGATTCCTCCGCCCGTCGTATAAATACCGAAGGGGACGTACTTTCTGCGGAGCTATAGTTGCGCTGCGTGTTGTGAGGTTGGTGGCGAGTTTTTGCGATCGGCGATGGGGAAAGATTATTACCGGATATTGGGCCTGCCCCGTGGGTCCACAGAGGAGGACATTAAAAAGGCGTATCGTAAGCAGGCGCTGCGTTATCATCCGGACAAGAACAAGGATCCCGGAGCCGAGGAGCGATTCAAAGAGATCGCCGAGGCATACGACGTGCTGAGCGACCCCAAGAAGCGCGAAATCTTCGACAAGTTCGGCGAGGAGGGTGCGTGGAGTTGGCTGGAGGAGGGCGAGGGGGCTTGGAGGGGAGGGAGAAGCTCGTGGTGGGACAGAGCAGCCGCTTGTGTTCACATGGGAGCAAGTCCCACAGAGACCGACCAGTCGGACTTGCTCCTGGGTAAATTAATGCGGGCGCGCACCAGTTTTTTTTTCTCAATCGTGCTGTAAGTCTGCAAAAGCTGCCTCGATCTGTTTGTCCCTTCTGTTCTGGAAGGGATTGAATTAAATAAGGGAGAGAAATTGCTGTGCAATGTAAGCGGCCAGATGCACAAATAACCCTTCTACGGTATTGAAAAACGTTTATGCTAGAATGAATGTTGAATCTTTAATATGCTTCAAGAACTTGTTTTGACTGCAGAAGAGGGTTGCTGTTGTTGAAACGCATGGGAACTTAAATTGAACAAAGTTCGCTGCCTTACTCGTAACGTTGTGCTCGAATGGCTTTCAGCAGAACATCAGAATACTTTATATTGCGTACTTTTCCGCCCAATTGCTCTTTTCGTTTTTGCTGACGTTGCCTCGATAAGTGCCGTCAAGCTGCGTTCTGTTCTTCTAGGTCATAACTTCCCCCTGATTTTTCCTCTTAACCTGCCTTCACCGAATCTTACGATTTTTTTAAAAGAAGAGGTATTTTTGGTGGCTGTTAGAGTTGTTAAGAAGCATTTCTCTATAGAGTTGTTGTTAGAATGACAGTTTAGCAATTAATCCACCAGGACTGGTTTCCCAACAAAGGAAGGGGAAAGTGGGGGAAAAGAACGAACAAGTTCTTGTAGTCCTGGAAACTAGCCAGATGAGTTGCCATCTTTGAATTGTTCTGATTCTGTTAAGGTCACTCCTCAAAAATCCACCATTATCTTATAGGTTCTTCCTGTCTGGAAAGCCTACTCAGAAATCAAGTAGAAATCATTCCATTAAGGAAGATATTTTGAATAGGGGGCATAGCTTTTAAAATTAACGCTTCAAAGATTTGTTAAGATTTTTTGCAGTAGTAAAGCTTGCTTTATGTATATGCCTCCTGTCAACTCATTCTGGCTTATTTGTGGAGGACTTGTTTTGAGGAACATCAGTGGTGGCTATAGTGCATGAAATAAAAGCCCTAAATGTACAAATACAAACTGCTAGGTTTGTAGAACTCTCTTGACCCTCTTGCATTCATAGTACATTATTGAACAGTTCCCTATAAATTTGTGTTGGTGCCATGTACTGCTTGTATAAATTGGGCTGCATGACAGGCTATCTAAGATAGGTGGAGCTCCAAAAGTCTTCTAGTAGCTGCTAGAATATTCTAGCACTTTCTTTTACTAACCTGTCTGTTAGAATATTTCATTTGATAGGATTACTTTCCCATAATAATCTTTATAGATCAAATAGTTTGTAAGTTATATCAACTTGTACATTATATTAGCCTATTTTCGCTTTTTGAAGTAGTACTATGTGCATAGCAACATTAATTTGATTGCTGAATATGAAGTAGATGGCTAGTTTCTGATTGATTTGACTTATACAGTAGGGTTCTTAACAAAGGAATCAAGGAAGGGGGAAAGGAGGAGAGAAAAGTTAGAACACTTCTAAGGATATGTGTTAATATATATTTTTTGTTGGTTCCTGCAGATCAGCTCTTTGATATGGGGTGTCCTCACAGTATTTAACTACAATCCTAATAATAGTTCTTTTAACAGTAAACTTAAATGTCAAAGTAAAAAGAATATTAAAGGACAAGCTTTTCAGGATTACACTTCCTAATGTAACATAAAAGATCAGTTCAATAACTGTTTCAAGAGGTTTTATTTGTATGTTCTCTGAATTTCAGGACTAAAGGGAGGTGGTCCCAGCTGCAGTGGAGGAGGTCTTAATGGCACTTCATTTACCTACACCTTTCATGGAGATCCTCATGCTATGTTCGCGGAATTCTTTGGCGGGCAGAATCCTTTTGATACTTTCTTTGTGCAGAGAAATGGAGATGAAGACATGGATGTTGATGACGCCTTCACATCTTTTCAAAACTTTGGCAATATTGGCTTTTCTCGAGGTCGGGGAGGCCATGAAAACCTACGCAAGAAACAAGACCCTCCCATTACCCATGAATTGAGAGTATCCCTGGAGGAGATTTATAGTGGATGCACCAAGAAAATGAAAATTTCTCACAAACGTCTTAATCTAGATGGGAAGAGCACTCGTAATGAGGACAAGATTCTAACAATTGAAGTTAAACGTGGCTGGAAAGAAGGAACTAAGATTACATTCCCCAAAGAAGGCGATCAAACACCAAGCAACATTCCAGCTGATATTGTCTTTGTTTTAAAGGACAAGCCACACAGCACTTTTAAGAGAGACGGGTCTGATATTATATACCCAGCCAAGATCAGCCTCCGTGAGGTAAGTGGTGCTGCCAGATTTGTTAGTGACACATGTTTGAAGTTCCTAAATTAACTTTACTTTTGCTATTTCCAATCCAGTAAGATGCTTAGAAGCATCTTTCCAGCATCTGAACAAGTTCTGTGTTGTAAATTTATGTCTGTCACAATACTGAATGGCTAAGTTATCAAGACATCAGAGCTTCAAGGAACCATGCTTGAGGCAGATCTCATCTAATAACTTGCAAAGTGGGACACACTGGGAATTCCTGGTGTGGTGATGTAGATTCATTTTAGTCTACCTTATTCTATTTCTTAATGAAGATATAAAATCACAATTAGAGTTCATGAAGTAAAACAAGAATTAATTTTCTAGAGGAGGCTATCTTTTCTACCTAAAAAAAATGTTCTAATCTCTGCTCTTTGTTTTTATTTAGGCTCTGTGTGGCTGCACTGTGAATATACCAACACTAGATGGTAGGTCCATACCAATGGTATTCAAGGATGTCATTAAACCTGGAATGAAGCGAAGAATTCCTGGAGAAGGCCTTCCCTTTCCCAAGAGTCCAAACCAGCGGGGTGATCTTATTATTGAGTTTGATATAAGATTCCCAGACAGAATTCCACCGTCTTGCAAAAGTACCCTAGAACAGATCTTGCCAATATAGTAGGACTGACAGAGCTGGACTGCAGTGCCTCCAAACCCAGAGGATTTGGGGCTGAAATCAGGATTTCAGGGTCTGTTTTGGCAGTTGGTATGGAGTACCTTCGTGTTGCAAAGAACTTTTCAGAGAGTCCAGATCTTGCAAGATGAATATTGCACTGCTCAGTGACTGTAGACCCAAGTTGTCATTGTTGAGAACTCTTAACAGCAATGAGCAGTTACTGATAAAAAGTCAGCAGAACATCTCACAATTGAACATAAGGATGACAACCAGTCATGATTCCTGCCCTCATTTATTTGGCTTGCCTAAGTTAGGGCGTGCCCATGTATGTTCTCCATTGAAAAGAATGAGACTAAAATCTAAACTGGACTTCATAAGTAAACTTCATCTCTTGTCACTGCTGTATTGTGTTGTCTCTTGTCACATTCTACACATCCTTTTTCCCAGTGAGATATCTTCACTGTTCAGTTCTCTAGCTTTTCCACTCTTCTAATGAATGCCCTTACTAAGGTTTTCTTAAGTGGTGCCATCTGCTGATGCTTCTGGAAGGAAAGTATTCTGAAATTTAGCAATGAAGATAATTTTCCCTCTTTCAGAAGCATGGGTGGACATTCTGAGATTGTAAGATTCTGGCCAACAACACAGCCTGATAACTTCTGGAAAGCTTGTAAAGAGATACAAGCTTTTCAGCAAAATCTGAGTTTTTTCCTATACACTGATGAGTCACTCACCCTGTGTGTAATGATTGGGCGCACAGAAGATCTGTGTCAAATATTCATAGTCAAAGACTTGTTTGAATAAACAGATTTCAAAGGGTGTGAACCTTTGAAAAGTATGTACAAAAATAGGTATTTTTATAGGGAAGTTTTTGTTTCTAGTAAACAATTGCCTTCTGTAAATATTCAAATAAAAATTGATATCAACTATTAAAAATGGGCAGATGCTTCAGGACAAAAGTAGGTAGTCCTTGGTTTGTGGTTGTGAAGCAAAACCAGACAAGTGCAGTATTTTCCTCATCAATACAGGTATTTCAGTAATGCACTGTTCAAAAACAAGACTACAATGGAATATATAGGCACATTCAACAGTGCAAAGAGCATTTTTTAGCTACAACACAAATTATGCACCTATTTTGTTACATTTTCCACTAGCCAGTGTTCTGACTAGGCATTCAACTGTGCTGTCTTGATCCTAAAGAAGGATTAAACTGGCATTGAGTGGGAAGGAAAAAGCTGAAACTACCATAGTCAAGCTTAGCCAGTTTCTTCTAGAAAGGTGTCCTCAGTTTTCTCTGCAAGATCACTTCTTACCCATTCTTTTATGCAAAATGTTCTTAAAAGGAGTTGTGATTGACCAATGATGTGGGTTTTATAGAAAAAGGAGAACTAGAAAATTTTCTAATACTCAAATTTCTGTCACTGCTTTGTAGTATCTCTCTGTATGCTTCATGTATATTTTCAGGATTGTTCTCTATGTGTTACATGCTTCATTCTTGTTGCATTGTTAACATACTCCTCTCCAAGATATTTGTGTATACCAACTTGTCTTTTTTCTTAAGTGTTTTTACTATAGTGGTGCTGTACACTAATCTTGTGTTTTGACATTTTGACTTAGCTCAAAGTAACCAAAGTTACTGGATGAGTCAGGGGAGACCTAATGTGTTATTCAAGAGAAGAAATGAGGTGCTGTGTTAAGGAATGTAGAAAAAAAGCAGTAGTCCCAGTCTTAGTTTCAGTTTTCCTTCCATCTGTTGAATGTTTAGCAATAGAGGGCAAATACACCATGTATAAATCTGGTCCAGACACAGCCTGAGTCAACTGCATCATGCCCAGGAAGGGGTTGTCATACTTTATTTCAGTTGCCCCACAGGCAGTTGAGCACTAGGATTTGTCAGTGTCTGTTTTAGAAGAATAACTTAGCAAAAATGATATCCTATGTGTAGCCCAGCTACCATAATTGCACTAAATAGTTTCCCCAACATCACTGCAGTTGACACTGTGCTGTAACCATTACTAGTTCACCAAGAAATGTACGTTCAGCTATAGAACATCAGTCTGTCTCATGTTTCAGGTGCTATATGTTGTTTTGCACATAAAACAGGTATTTGTGAATGTTTAGCACTTAATATGCATATATGAAAGATTCTTCCTGTGGGAGAAATTAGTTAGAAGCCCATATTGGTCTTCAGCTGATGAGCCAAGACCCACTGCTGCAGTAATGGCCCATATGCTTCCATGAGGACCATTCTATCCCTGAACACATTTCTTGCCCTACTTTTTAAACAGTTTCTTACTGGTAGCTGGAGCTGTGAAATTTATTTCTTTTGTTGCTGAAAACAGTTAAGAAGAATGGCTAGTATGTTGGGAATACAGGCTCTACCTTTGCCTTGTCTTTTGAGGAGGTTACTTGCTCTCCCATGGCAATCAGATTGTGATGGAACCCACAACAAGTTTCTCAAAATTGCCAAATATGCTGAAAGCCCAAGAAAAATTCCTAGCCCTGTGCTACTAGATTGTACTGACAGCAACAACATGCTAAAAGTAGCTGCATTACAGCAGTTATTTTATCTGGGTGCTTCTGTAGCAGTCTTGTGATAATGACAATGGTCACGAACTCTTTGCAGAAAGTCAGCATTATGTAAACTTATAAAAAGTTTCTGCCTGCTATGCCCGACGGCCTAATGATAGTATCAGGATTATATTTAAGGGGTATACTCTAAACTGCTCAGGGAAAGTCTAGGCCAGAGCGAAAGGGAAATAATGTCTTTCAAGTGTACTGCCTAGTCTACTGTTTATATAAAACTCATGGGAACTGCATGACTTGAGAAAAATTTGCTAGAAGAGATTTCATAATAACTAAAGAAAGTCACTTATCAAAAGTGTGAATGGGAGCTTCCACCATATTGTCTAAGGTTTAGCATTATAGGAAATCTCATTCTGTGTGCAGAGACTGCCCTATGTGTCAAGTTTGCCTGTGTACTTTTTTTGCATGGATGCATATTTATGCTTGAAAGCTGTGGCTATCAGAAGCTTTACTGTTTGCGGATCTACAGTGCAATAGATGTATGTATAATTACCACATGACAATTATGTGCATACAATTCCTTATCTACAAGCATTATAGAAACTCTATGAGAAGAACCCCTAGCTCAGATAAAGACAGTAGTCTGAATTCCGTTTTACTGTTCAGATTCCATAATTAGACCATCTTCCTGTAACATATGGTAACCTATCCCAGACTGGCAAATACCACAGGTTAATTCATCAGGTACACTTCAACCCTGTCAGAGCTGGAGCTGCTTCAAGTATGGCTAGCATTTTGCCAACTAAAATACTCCTTGTTGCCAACAGTCTGCACCATGTCTGTGCTATGTGTGATTATCAAGTATATGTGTAGTCCAGTAGGTAGAGCTGTAACTGGCTATACCTTCCATTGTATGCACTGCATATGTACCATTACTGGAACGTGTATATACAAAGATGAACGATAAGTAGATTAGATGCCATTTCTAATGTTGAAATGGTTTATTGTAGGAATGCCTTTGAAGTTGTGTTGGCTCATCCTTTTGGCTCAACCATATTCCTTGGTTAAGTTTGTAACGAGTACTTCATGCAGATGTGCAAATATTGCTGCCATATACTTCCCAGACCTTAAATGTGTGCAAATGTTCAGCTTTAAAAAAAAAGTCTGTCAGGAAATTGCAGTAACCAATAAAAAAGGAACCAGGACAAGTGGGGGGAAATTAAAATCTCCCCTTTCTGGACTAACTGGAGTCAGAAGTGTTGAAAAGGTAGAAAATACTGAGGATTACATTCCCAAATGGGGAGATAGTCTTCTCTCCCCATATACCTAATGTTTGATGCTTCTAGCTTGTGCTATTCTTTTCTCTTACTATAACTTCTTCCACAGTCCTTTGCAACAGTGTTCAAAATAGGTGACAGTGGGCCTCTTGTCATTACTTACTGGATAGCCATAAGAGCATCCTAGTGAAAGTGGTAAAACTGTATTTTTTAAAATTATGGCACCCCCCCCCCCCCCCCGCAATTGCAGATGCAACTAGTCTTTACCAATACCCCTTTTAAAATATTTTGGGGACATGACCTTAGAAGCACCTAAGAGTTATTTGACTAAAGGAACAATATAGAAATGCTTTAAATAAAATAAATTGCCAGTTTTGTTCATCTGACAAAAGGTAAAATTTTTGATTCCAGAAACCAGATGTTTCAATCTTGGAAAAACATAATGGAATTCCTATGAAAGTTCCCCTAAAAATGGTTTTACCATGCAAGTTCAATAGACTAAGAATACTGTAGCTGTTCAAAATTCAGTAGTCCAGAATAACCCATAATAGAATAAACCCATAAATGAAGATGCCAAAAATAAACTTTGAGAAGCAATGTAAAAATGATAGTCTGTTTAGACAGGTTAAGCAGATGGGATGGTGGAAGAAGAGGACCATCCCTCTTAAATGTTAGTTGCCTGCCTGCACGTGTATATATTATAGGTGGCTTGATAACATTGTGCTTATACACTGATGCAAATTGATAGCTTACCATGGACAGTTAAGACGGTGCATTGTGTTTAATATGAACAGACCCTGCAGAGAACTCATGGTGTGTAATGGTGTTCTAGTCCATGCTGGATTGTTGCATCATCAAGACCCAGGAGATCAAAATGGAATTTGGGCCTTGGGCTGAAAGAGGTTCTAGGCTGCTGCGCTAAATAGCTTGGAGCCAGTTTTTAGTCTCCCAAGGTTTTCAATCTTATTTTTAGTACATTTTAGATCACTAGTCTGATAATCTGCTGTTTCTTTTTTCTCCTTAAATACTGTAATGTACTTTTGGATTTTATAGATGTAATGTTTTAAACTCAAATTACTGAGAATGGTTTTTATATATGAAAATTATTAATGAACTGGAGTCTGGTTTGCACATTGCAACAGTATGCAGTGGTAGAGGCCCATACAAGCTGGAATGGAGCCTTCTGTTTTTTGATGTTACTCACCCACTCTGCCCCAGAGAAGATAAATTCGACTTATATGAAATTGAAGAAAATTTGTTACTGTATTCGTTCTCCAGTAACTGGCAGTACCCTAATCCCACCCACCAGCCTTCTTCAGGCAACAGGATATCAAACTAAAATTCTCAGTAGCTCGCTGGCAGGACCCGGGGGTACCCGTGCAGATGAAGGTGGAGGCAGAATGGCTTGCTAGCATGCGGGGTGGTGGGTTGTGGATGACCTTCAATGCACTTCTATGTGAGGAGGGCAGCAAGACAGAGCATCAGCTAACCCCTGCCCCTAGTGAGCCTCTAAGTAATGGAGGTATAGCCAAAGTGGGGAATTCATTACGTTTGCTGGTCTGCTGAAGAAAAATTAGTAAGCTGTTTTAATCATTAAAAAGAAAATCTAGAATGTGTCCATTCCCCCACTTAGGCAGGCCACAGTCCCAGCACTGGCAGAACTTTCTCCTTGGCGTGCAGCGAATTTGCAGTGAGGAAGATCGTAAGTAAACTTCGTAATATATAGTGTGGGGACAGCTTATGGTTGTTCCGGCCTGCTCCGAAGGATTAAAGGGGGCTGCCACACCCGACCTTATGCGCTGAATTGAGGCTCGCTGCAGGACTGCCCCCGGTCACAGTACCTGTCTAATCCCCTTATCAAGATATTTGTGGAGATAAAATGGCGGGAGACGGGATAGCGATCAAGCATGATAGACACTCTGAGATGGGTGGAATAATTACATGGAAGTTCTCCGAGCTTACTCGCACGCAAGCACACACAACCACACAGTCCAAGCCTAGCAACAGCCACTCCTTCGATGGGAGTCTACACGTCGACCTTTATCTGGGTTCCTCTGAAGTCTCCAGTTACATCTTTATCATTTTCACTCTCCTCCTCAGCCAAAAGACAAGACAAGACAAAGGGCTCTCCGAGGTGTGGAGGCTCAAGGGAGAACTTACACGCACACACCCCAGTCGACCCCCACCGGACGTGGCCGTGGGGTGGATGGCGGGCGAGGCTATACACTCAAGGCGCTCGTTTCCATTCCATCTCTGCGTTCTCCTAGCAGCCCTTCAAGCTGAAAACTAGTTTCGGGGCAGGGCTCGTTGGGAATGTTAGTCTCCTCCCAAGCCGGCTTAAAGGCCAACTCGGTGCAATGAGAGAGCGGCATGCCTAGCCCACAGCGCGCAGCACATAAGCGCCAGGCACCGACAAGTCGTGCTCTCTCCTGCCATCAGCTTGTATGCCTCGGGTTCAGACCGCGCCCGGCCTTCCGCCTCGTCACTGGCTGCAGGGGCACAACTGAGCTCTAGGAGGCCGTGAGAACAAGCGCGATCTGAAAGTAGCCTTCCCGAAGAGGAATGGATCGGAGCGTTGGAGAAATGGAGTTTGCAGGATCCCGAACCTTTTCCCAAACAGGCCCTTTCCTCGCCCCTTTTCAAAGGTCGCGTGTTCCATTCGTTCGTGCTGTTTTTTTTTCCTCCGCGCTCTATTCCGCCCCTTCCATTGCGCCTTGAATGCGGGGGGAGGGAAAGGATTTGGGATGAAAGACCAGGAATGTCCCGCCTTAGTCGAGTATGCTGCGATTAGCTAAGGAAGTATGCGAAGTGTGCTCCGATTGGTCGGTGGGCGCGGTTTTTGGGGCCCGCCTCTGGCTGGGGACAGGTTCGGCTGTGCTGCGCTGTAGTTTGGCTGAGGGACGGGCCCGGCGAGGGAGCGGACGAGGGTAAGAATCGTGAAGGAGAGGGCTTCGTGGGGCGGGTTCCTTTTCCAAACGGGGTTTCGGATACAGGAAGGGGCGCCTGAGGATGAAGGAAGGTTTCGGTCATTGCGGGGATGAGGGAGGGAGAAGAACCCAGGCGTCTTGGCTTCCAGCGTTTCCCCTCATCCCCACCCCCACCCCCTCTCCGCATGAACAAGCTTCCTGCCTGTTTGCACATGTAAAAAACCCGACTGGGGTTGCCTGGATACGAAACACGTCGGAAGGTGTAGCAGTTGCCCGAAACGTCTAACTTAAATGGATTATTAGCTGGTCCCAGGATTCCCTGGATGGAGTTCTGGATTGTAACTAAGTTGATAGTTTTCCAGAACACGCTTCAAGTTCTGTTTTTCTTGAGAGAGAGGGATAAAATAAATGTTCACGTTCAGCACTGCTGTATTCTGACAGGTGAAACGTTCTGGAAGGTTAGAGACAACTAGCCAGGTTTTATAATCAAGTACACTTTAGACCCACACTTGTTTAAAATGTACTGAGACCCTTGGCTTTTGTTTGTTCACCCCTTGCTGTTTCTGCTGCCAGTAGGCCAGGAGAGTATGCAGGCAGGTTAACTGCAGGTTCTCATTGATGGCAGGAGATTTAGTTTCACTACTTATGTTAACCTTTGTTTTCCTTTGTTGTGTTGAGGATAGCTTAATAGCAACATCCAAATTATCTGTAGCAGAGGAAACTGTTTTTCCTGTCTTTCTGAATGGTATCTACCATCCCTCCAGTGAAATCAACCCTACTGCTTTCCTAGGAAACTGAGAAACAGAAAAGCCACTTGGCATTAATCTTCCTTTTATGAAAGATTAATCTTTCTACATGCCATGTTCAGCCCTTTGAGGTCTCCCATCTCCCCTAGCGATGGCTTCTTTTTCTGAAATGAGGTGGTGTTCCTCAGTACTTTTGCTGGATTATGCTTGGCTCTGTAACTGGGTCTTTTTCTCGTTGTTGCTATAACTGGCCCTGCTTTTAGAAGTTGGAGAAAACCATTTGTAGTCTAGTTGCCATTGAACAATTGGACCCTCCTTCCATTTCATTCTTAACTCTGGGAACAGTTTAAA